CATGCAGAGTCGCCACATATGTCTCGCTGCAGAACTGATCAAGACCAAGGAGACAGTTCGAGCTCCATTCCGTGATATGTTGTATCAAGCTGGAGAAACTGCATGCGAGTCGGGCGCGCGATCGACAGGCATCTACTATTTCGCCCACAGTCTCATGCTTCTACAAGACGATCCATGGGACGATAATATGCCGGACGTATCCTACCAAGAGACGCTGCAACTTTTTGTGCGCTCGGCAGAATGCTATTGGCATCAAGGTATGTTCGATGAGGCTCTCAGCTTGATTCGGACTACCTTCCAGCATGCCCGCGATCCCTGCGATATGGCTAGCTCCTTCATTCTACAGTCGAGGGTGTTTGCTATTCGCGGCGATAGTTTCGGGTGAGTAATATTCCAGACCTCTTCTGTGTATGCACCTGGAGCAGATTGCACGCTTGCAAGGTAGCATGACCCTTACATGTGTACCTGCCGCCTTTCATCACTACAGTCATCACGATAGTCAGCTAACTGTGTCACCATCTACAGTGCGTTCCAGGCTCTCAAAGACTGTTTGTCTTTGCTAAACTCCCCGATTCCTCCGACCACATGGGAGGCGTGCGATGCTCAGTTTCAGCAGATATATGGCACGCTTCAGAATATCGATAAGGAGGAACTACTCAAGCGCCGTCCGTCTCCTGATGACCGTGTCCTTATGACTATTGGGCCTGTGTTCATCGAACTCCTTAGTGCGGCGTTCTGGTCAAATAGCCTGCTTTTCTATCAGGCGACGCTGAAGCTTATCACCGTCCATCTCGAAAAGGGTACCATGTCACAGGTTGCCCTTGCGTACGTGCATCTGGGCACTGTTGCGGGTGGTCGTTTCGGAATGACGAATTTCGCGGTCGACATGGGTGCGATTGCCAAGCGGATCTTTCAAATGGTAAGTTATGGTTGTACGAAGTGCATGTGAGACATATACTGATTTCGTAACTCTACCGCTGCAGTTCCCTGAAGACTACTACACCCTGGGAAGAGGTCAAACTCTGCAGCCAATGTTCTTGGGTCACCTCGAAGCGCCTGTGGGCGATCTGATCCCGAGCTTAGAAACAGCCTTGCAAGCTTCACTGACTGCTGGCGATCGCATCCTCACACTTTTAAATCTCGGTGTCCAGGCTCACTTCAGAGTCATGGCATCATATGACGTTGCAGAGTTGGAAGCCTGGATTGAGGAAACACCGCTCGATATGCGAAACTGGCAGAAAGACTTGCGGGGAGGAGTCTTTCTCATGGCTGCTCGCCAATATGCAAGAGCGCTCCAGGGAAAGACCGACTCGAGCAATGCTCTGTCGCTCCTCTCAGATCACGATCACAATGAGGCCGATTACATTGCGTTCCTCGAAAACACGGCCAGCAATCCCAAGCGTCCGAAGTCTATATATTTCGCCACTAAACTTCCGTTGTTGGTACTTTTTGGTCATCATTCGGAAGCAGTGGCTCTTGGGGAGATGCTGCTTCCGATGCTCAGCAGTCTCTGGTCCGAAAGACTCAATTACTCGGTCAGATACTATCTATCGCTAGCATACATGGCTGTTCTCCGAGATAAGCCTGCTCATAGCCGGAGAGACGAGATGGTAAAACATGTTCAAGATACCCTAAAATTGCTCGAGACATGTTGCACCATCACTGATGTCAACTACCGGGGCTGGATACATCTTCTCACAGCCGTCCTCGGGGATGTCAACGCCGACCCGCAATCGGCGTTGACGAATTACGAAGCAGCCATGGAGCATAGCGAACGTTACGAGTTCGTTTTGGACGAAGCGTTTGCTCTCGAGCTATACACTGCATGGCTGGTAGACAAGAAGGCCTATAGGGCGGCTCGACATTCATTAAAGGACTGCGTCTCGATATATCGAAGGATGTCAGCGTATGGAAAAGCAACCCACGTCACGAGCCGGTACGAGTGGCTAGTGCATCGCGGTGCTTCGCTCACGACAGTGGACCAAGCTGTACAGACCTCGATCGTAGACACGGGTAACACGGCTTTCAGACTCGAGCAGAATGACCATGATCAATATCTAGGAGCGGAAACTGCGGTGGATCGAACACAGAACTGGATAGTCCCGGAAACACGGCGCCAAGAGTCTGCCCCAGCTCTAGACAATGGTCTCTCGGCTGTCGGCCTGGACATGCTCGACCTATCATCAATCTTGGAGTCGAGCCAGGTCCTGTCCAGCGAACTGGTTGTCGACAAATTGATGGCGAAGATGAGTACCATCTTGCTCGAATCTACAGGCGGTACCTTGTGTGGCATAGTGATTGAAGACTCGCAAATCGAGTGGTCAATTGCCTGTGTTGCCACCAATGAGCCTGACAATGACAGTGGATTCTCTTCCGGAGTCACATCTTTCCCCGCCAGTCAACCTCTGGATACTGTGGACGATGTTGTTGCGCGGCAAGTGACGCTCTACACACTCCGCTTCCGTGAGATAGTTTTTGTCCAGAACCTGCTGGAAGACGATCGCTTTTCCAATGTGTCGGATGCCTACCTGCAGCGAAATCCTGAGGGAAAGGCAGTCATCTGCATCCCGATCCTACACAGTGACCACCTTCTTGGCTCAATCTACGTCGAGGGTCCACCAAATTCGTTTACCGAACGTAACACTCAGGTTCTTCGACTACTGGTAAATCAGATTTCCATCTCTCTAGCCAATGCACTGCTTTTCAAGGAGGTCGAAAGAGTGTCGGCAAGCAACGAAGCAATGCTTGAGATGCAGAAGCGTGCTCTGTCTCAGGCGCGGGCAGCAGAGGTCAAGGCAAAGGAGGCTGAAGCCATAGCTGTGCGCAATATGAAGCTTAAGGAAGAAGCCGCCAAGGCGAAGAGTTTGTTCTTGGCCAATGTGTCGCACGAGTTGCGCACACCCTTGAACGGAGTCATCGGTATGTCCGAGCTGTTGAAGGCTTCACCGTTAAACTCAGAACAAACCGGATATGCCGATTCGATTCGCGTTTGCGCTGATACACTCCTGAGCATCATCAACGACCTCCTCGACTATTCCAAGCTTGAGGCTGGGAAGATGAACGTCTTGGAGATGCCGATATCGTTGAACGAAACGATCGCAGAAGTAGTCCGCGCTCTAGCCTACACGAATGCCGAAAGAGGCCTCAAAACCATTGAGCAATTGCATCTGGATCCGGAGATGCTTGTCATGGGCGACCCTGTTCGACTGCACCAGATTCTCATGAACTTGCTGTCCAACAGCTACAAATTTACGCCAAGAGGATCTGTCACTGTCCGCGCCGTTGTTGATCAAGAGACAGATGAATGGGCAGATGTGACATGCAGTGTTATAGATACTGGTATCGGTATCCCAGACGAACAGAAGCAGAAATTGTTCCTTCCTTTCTCGCAGATAGAGTCCAGCTCTGCTAGGAGTTATGGTGGCACTGGTCTTGGTCTCAGTATCTGCAAAGCCCTCATAGAGAACGTTATGCATGGTACAGTACGTCTTGACAGTCAACCAGGCCAAGGTACAACAGTCACGTTTTCGCTGCGATTCAAGAAAGTGCCAAAAGCGGAAGCAGGAAGTCGGCAGCAAAGGATACGAGAGCTAGATCCTATGGCGAGGTTCTCAAGCCAGGAGAACAACGGTCATGAGCAACTGTCAGGTACCTGCATCGATCTCTCCACAATACCCAGACGGGAACTACGCGTCTGCATCGCGGAAGACAACTTGATTAACCAGCGCATCGCAATCAGCTTCGTGCAAAAGCTTGGCTTCAAATGCGACGCCTATCTCGACGGATTCAAGACCATCGACGCTCTTGAGCGTGCTTCGGAGAACGGCCGCCCGTTCCATTTGGTCCTCATGGACGTGCAAATGCCGCACTGTGATGGTTACGAAGGTAAGATATATCCTCTTACTCGTCTAGCACCTAGATACTAACCATGGAAAGCTACAAAACTCATCCGCAAGCATCCAAATCCCGAGGTCCGAAATGTTCTCATCATCGCCATGACCGCTTCCGCCATTCAAGGAGACCGCGAGAAGTGCCTAGAATCCGGTATGTTTGAAAGCTCAATCTGCGTCCGTAACCTTTACTGACTCACCAGGGATGAACAATTACCTTGCGAAACCGGTCCGCGCGCAGACACTCAAGGCGCTACTAGACTCATACCTGAACAACAACAATGAGGTGGAGGAAATTCCCAATCTTGCGATCGAGGCGAAGAAGCTGGTCAAACAAGCGTTGAACGAAGCTGAAGCGCTGCCTGATATCACAAGTGGCAACCAAGATCTCGCGAAACAAGCACAGAACGGAAATGCCGCAGACGAGGGGATGAAGTTGGAAAGGCCATCCAGTGTTCGCATGAGCACCACCCAACACATATTACCCAACGGCAAGACGGAGCCTGTACCGCCTTCCGAGTAAACCCCGTTCTCTTGGCCAATATCAGGATTGACGGGTGGATGTTTTGCTACTTTCCGAGTTCCCGTTCGCTTTGTAATAGGCCGGTCGTTCCTGCATTTCACGGCGTTCTTTGTACAGAAGGGGGTGGGTCACAGGGTACTTACGCCGCATTCTAAGCACATCGTAGCATTCTCTCAATGAGCTATTCATGACCGAATATTCGTCAGAGTGCGGATCTGAATACATACACGTTCGCTTTGTTCATCGCGTTGACTCAGTCATGCACTTGTCAAAGCTTCACCGCGCGGGGTTATAATACAATGTAATGACCCCCCAGCATGCACATACTCTCAGAACAGACATCTCGACGCGTAAGCTCGCAGCACGAGCAACCTGACGGCAGCATTGTGCTCGCCGGATCATCGGCCAAAAGCAGACTTGGCGCCAGCACCTTGCTTCTGGCACGGACAGCTGGCGCCGTCTCCACTCTTATTGACGCCGAAAAATGCCGCGCACCCTGCGGCGCAGTGACTGAACCACGAAGTGGCTCATGAAGTGGCTCAACGAAGCGGTGGCACAGTCGTCGCCAATAGATCGTCACTAGAGTCAGAGTTCCGCGACACAACTTTACCACCTTATACAACACCGGTGGTGAGGATGAGTCTGCCCTCGCAGATCTGCATGTCAGAAAAGGGCCTGCGTCACCCCCTTCCCCTTCTCGGCTAACGGGATGTGCGTCAATTGGGCGTGGGCGCTGGGTTAGCCGGCATCCACGGTTGAGTTTGTTGGCAGAGGGTTGAGTCTCTGGCCTTCCTTCCTGTTTCTGGTTTTCTTTCACGGGTTTCACTTCTTTCACATACGTATTCTCAAGGAACTGAAAATTCGCAACGACACGCTTGATCTACCTCTATTATTCTATTTAGACTAATCATTATCTTGACTACTCTGCGAAAAGACAACTGAGCTGAACATGGACATGGACACCATAACACGACCATCTGTAGAATCGAAGCGACATCACACTTTCCGCCGCCATCGCAGCGGAAGCCATCTATCCAAACACTCGCTTCTTCCTTCCCACATCTTCGAAGGCACCGACGCTGTACTCCAAAAACGCAAAATCGCTCTCGACCGAGTCATAGATACGCACCACGCTCTCGAACTGAAATATGGCCACGTAGCAACACCCACGAGTACCGCCAGCGACCGACCGACTTCATCATCTTCATCCATCTCCTACGATCCCTTCACCACAGATCTCGGCGACCTATCTATACCCGACGCTGAAGTGCGCACGTTTCGATATCTTCTTCACAGATGGGAGCCCAGGATCGAATGGGCCGACGCAGAATTTGACAAAGCGATCGAGCGACGAAGGGAGAGCTTCGAAGAAGCTGCCATTAAGCACTTCATCAGCCGAGTAGCACTGTGGGATGCCAATGAGGAAGAGAAACAAACCCAGTCACGCAGCGCATTCTCGTTCCTGGGTAGACGGAGGAGATCGAGAGCAAAGAGCGATGCGAGCAGGATGCTGAGCATTGCGGAAACGGCGAAAGAGGATGCTGGGCTAGACGCATTGAAGGAAGTTACTACTAGAGAGGGGTTGGCGCAACTACTCTGGACCTTATTGGCGAAAGATGAACCGGCGACCGCGAGATTGAGAAAGGAGTGCAAGCAGGCGTTGGATGAGTGGTATCAGGTGAAAATCATTACAGATGGGTCGAGGGACAGTTGAGAGGTGTCCACAGGTCTCTTCATTGCCTGGTCCGATTTCGTAAAAGCTGTGGCTGTCATGTTTTCAGATATACTATACCGGTAATAGATCGTGGCTCTCGGGTTGAGAGATGTGAATTTATGCAGATGGGACAAAATACAGTGTTCTTGTTCTTACTGTACCCCAGTGATGTCATCAGCACTACCCGATGGGTTCCGCTTCCGATCGGAACCAATCCCGTCATACATCTCAACCTGTTGTGAAACGAACTCACAAACACGACTACGTTCCATCCAACATGCCTTTCCTCCACATTGGCTACAAGCGCATTCACTACACCGACTTGAAACCGCAAGATGGGAAGACACGCGAAACGTTCATCTTCATGCATGGGCTGGGCTCTTCACAGAATTACTACCAACCAGTAACCAGGGGCTTGGTCGCAAATGGATTTCGCTGCATTACCTTCGACAATACAGGGGCTGGCCGATCATCATACACGTTTGTCGAGCAAAGTATTGAAACGTTAGGAGAAGACGTGATTGGGATTCTGGACGCGTTGAACGTTGACAAGGCTGTGTTCGTTGGGCACAGCATGGGAGGGTACGTCAGCAGCCTACCCGGGCAGAAGCCTTGGAGGACGCGACTGCAACGACCATGACAACTGACAAGCCTCCAGCATCGTCGGCGCACACCTTGCGGCTGAGCGAAGTGACCGCATTGTAGCAGCTATTCTGATCGGCCCTGTATACCCCAACCCTGAAGCAGGCCCCCGCTTTCACGAACGGATAGAAACCGTTGCGAAAGACGGTATGCAACCCATGGCCGACAGCATCCCACATGCTGCAGTCGGAAAGAAAGCGTCTCCACTGGTCAAAGCGATGATCCGCGAGTTATTGCTATCACAAGATCCAGCGGGTTATATTTCCAACTGTCGAGTCATTATCAATGCAAAGCCGCCTCAGTACAGCAAGATCAGCGTGCCTGTACTCATCCTCGCTGGTGAGGAGGACAAGAGTGCGCCGCTTGAAGGGTGCAAGAAGATGTTTGAAGAGATGGGCAGCAGCGAGAAGAAGTTGGAGGTCATGGAGGGCGTCGGACATTGGCACTGTCTTGAGGCTTTTGACGAGGTTGCGAAATTGATTGAGGGGTTTTACCACGAGATACAATAGGCAATCCGTCCTGGTTATTTCCGAACAACCCGCGGAACGGGGCACGCACTCACGGAACTGTAGGGTAGTGGGGAAGTTCTGTGTTCGTTTCATCGCACAGGCCATTTTATCTGCGGGTCAAAAAGGGAGGAGGGAACCTGCCAAGTCATACCGCCTTTCTGTGATGCTTCGTACTGAGTTCGCAGTGTGCGCATTGTGCCTACGTGGTGGAGTTGAAGAGGGGTTCGTGAGGATACCACGTGCGAGCCGATCTTCCAGACGACCCCTGCGATGACTAGCTTAGCGACAAAAAAAGCTGCAATGCAGACTCATCTCCGCGTGCGAGTAGGACGCAATTGGTGGTGTTGTGCTGCCGCATGACATAGCCATTGGCGGCGTCCCTGGCCCGATCAGCTGCATCATCTGCATTGGATATAACCTTGGCGCATGGGTTCCACTCTTCAAAGAGCGTTTGCAGCGGATAACTGTAAGCAGTAAGGCAGCGGGCCGCGCGCCCACAACACCTCCATGTAGGAGTAAAGACTTTTACGGCTTCAAATTTGTGTAAGAAAGGGCTTTGGGAGGATAAATGTATTTTGGGGTAGTGGTTCAGGGTTCTGCGCCGGTACCCGCCGCAGCGGTTTGGTGCAATCTTCCCTGACGCCCCTCTCAGCAATGCCCACGACGCCATGCGCAGCGCTTCATTTGGCATCCTTTACTTTTCAGGCTCGACATTTCCGCGTGCGCTTGCCTGAGTCGAGCGTGGGTGATCTTGGCCCGATGTCGCTGGCCTGTCGTTCTTTGATTTGATTCGGTCCTTCCCGCCGTCCGTGCAGCACTCGAGGTTGTGCCGGATCGACTTGTCGGTAGACGAGGCTGCCACTCGCGTCTATTCGACATGGCCTCGCGCCCTCCTTCCCTTATCACGAGCCAACCCGAAGTGATCAGCGTCCGAAGCTGTGTGTGTGGCCTCTCACGCGCTACCACATCATCGCTGGCATGTGAAAGCCGACGACATCATACTTCAATGTTATGTCCTCTGCCCCCCCATGTGCGACTCTGATTGTGACATATTTAGTGCATCTGTCATGCTCCGTCTCGAACGCACGGAAGCTAGCGAAATCCTTCTCCAGTTTAATCGCGCCGCTAGTCTTTTCACGCGCCTAGTCTATTCAGGCCCCGGAAATCGATTCCTCGGAGGCGGTGAACTCCCAACCCTTTTCGTAGAGGTGCCCACGCGCTCGGCTCAAACTCGTCAAGAGATCGTGCATGCCGTGCGTCTCGCTGCATGCTGGCAGGGTCTGGGCCAACCAACGGCCAAGATCGACATTTGGGACGTTTTGATCTCTTCTTTATATACTAGGCTCTAGTTTCCCTCCTACTGACCGCGGTTGATTCAATAGTCCTCCAGGCGGGTCCCGCGGTTCGTCACTTGACTGACCCAACAATTACTGGCGTCACATAGCCCGCCTGTGGTTCCAGTTTCCATTCTCTTATACCGCTTGTGTGTGCCGTTCGCGCGAGCAATCCAAATCTGTGTGTTTCGGTGTTGGCACTGGCTGCTGGTATGGGCTTTTACCCCTTGAGCACAGAACCTTCCTATTTGGATACTGATATCCGATCTAGACGAGTACCGAAATTATTCACCACTAAGACCATATTACCGATTCAATATCCTTCAAGACACCTCACATCTACGTCACTCCCCGTTCTCGATCTTTGATAGATCGGCGATGAATCGAATTGATAGTGTTGCGGGTTCCTATCTACCCAAGATACCCAGCCAAGAACCACTGTGCAACAACAACACCATACGGCATAGCAAACATCACAAAAATAAGGTCGAATCGATCCCCTCCTTCCAGGTTGCAGACATGGAGCCACGACGACCAGTATCAGAGCAGCGCTCACGACCGTTACGACAACAGTCAACCACATCATCAGAAAACTCGAACAATAGATCAAAGAGCCGTGGCCATGGCTCAAAGCCCTCCTCGCGACGCACTTCTTGTACCATTGTGGACCCATCAAGACCTGCGCGCCACTACCGAGTGAAGAGTTTCCAAACACCCCCCGCCACCACAACCAGTCAAGACGTTGACGATGTCCTTGCCCTGCACTTTCGCAGTTGCAGCATCTTCTCGAACCCATCCTACCAATCAAACTCTGGTCTCCCAAGCCCATCACTGTCTCAAGGCGACGCATTCGGTTTTCCCAGCGCCGCAACGCGTTTCAGTTCAGACAGTCTGCGCGTAGTGGAAGAAACATCCATGCACCGCCAAAGCGAAGACACAATTGACGCAGAGAAGACCAACACAACCATGCACTGGACGTCACCATGCACGCGAAAACGCGAGTACGAAAGAATCGACAAAGCCAACAGCGGTCTACGAGGTTTCTTCCGCAAAGTAACGCCACGATGTGTGTCCGGCACCCACGAGAAGTTTTACGAGAAAGATCAGTCAGATGCTGGATCTGTGCGACGTTATCGCATGGACGATTTGGATGACGCGCATATAAATGAGAAGCACAGTACGCGGCCGCGGACGAGTCCTACACCTAGGCCAAACTCGAGACCTGGCATGAAGAAGCGGTGGACGTGCTTCTAGATGAAAAGAGGAGAGAAGGAGGGAGAGAGAGAGAGAGCAAGAGTGACATTACGCAGCTACGATTTTGGCATATTTGCGCAGCATTGAGAATAGGCGTTTGCTATATCACGATACCCACGGCATGTTTGTTTTCGCGAGCTTGGTGCTTTTGAATCAGAGAGAACGCATTATACCACTACGTCCATAGAGTAGAATTTTGTCGTAATTTATAGTTTTGCATTGATCCTGTGGTAGTCTTGCTGGTGTGGTGATTGAAGCTTCAACAGGCGGTGAGCATTGCGTCATGGCATCGCTTTTCTTCATAGATTGGGTATTTTGTGCGTGATATACAAGGGGACGTGCAACTCAAGTGAATTGAATCATTGGTATAATTGAATGCGTATCTATAACTTGGACTCCTCCTTGACTGTGCCAATCTTGAGCTTGGGTGCGTACTTCTTCAATACACTCTCGTTGTGGTACTGTGTTTTGGTTAGCAAATCCAGACTTCACATGCAATACGGCACTCTCGATGATCAATTCATGGGTCCAGCCTGCCATGAATCTGCTGGTAGCGAGTACGTTCAGCGCGGCGGCACCGAGACCAAGCGCGCAACAGCATAATCCGGCATTGAAAAAACGCGCGTGTCATTTATCCCAGGCATTCTTCGCCTCTCGCCGTTTCCGTGTATTCGCTATAACGTACCTTCCAAAACTGCTTGCTGGCATCCTTCCCACCCACTCTCTTCAAGATCTTAGCGCCACCGGGGTGCTCATCCACAAACGAATCCATCTTGTATACATCGTTGTCGACTATTATGTACAGTCCCTTCTCGACTGTGTTGTGCTCGGCGACTTGCTTGGTGGTGAGAGACTCGGACATGGTGGGCTTGTGGACGCGTTTCGGCGGCGGCGGCGCGACGGCAACGGGAGGGTCTGGTGGAGGTACGTCGGCGTTTGAAGAGCGAGAGGAGGTCGCGACGATTGAGTCTAGTTGGGGACTTTAGGAGAGATTTGGCGGTGAAGAGCTGGTGAGTATGGCTATGGTGATGCGATAGAAGTGATCACGGGCGGAGTATGGGGTTGATCTAGTAGTAGCTCGGGTTGCGGCTCGGTCGTGGAATGCTATATTGTGGAGGTATGCCGAGGTTGATGAATCGCGCTAGGGCTGCGCATGGTAAGCTGGGTTGCGGAGATCGTGATTGGTGCTGACACGTCATTCCTCCTTCCCTTATCGATCATCAATCTTCCAAGGCCGTTGTGTCCTCCCCAGGCCTGGACATCAGGCATCGCGGCGGCGGTGAGCCTCGCTGGTAGTACCCATGGATTTTGCAAACTCTATCGCCACACGCTGCACCGACCGTCAAAGCAACGTGTGCCGCAGGCTGGACTAACACACGTCATATTCCAAAGAAGGTTCTATTGCGCTTTATCTCAAGGCGCAGTTGCTTTCTGTTCAACCTTGGTACTGATGAGGCCGACACCATTCACTCGGTCTCTATGCTTAGTCGCTTAGCCCACCACTACCATAACATGCGATTAACGGGGTACAGCGAATCAACATATTAACAGGACAGCCAGCACAACTTCCTTCCTCTCTTTTGCTTAGATGCAAAATGACTGCGAAGTGGAGATGGCGTCCGGTGCAAGAACTTTCCACGCGCTCCTGTCTCTCCAAAGCTACCGCCATAACTCAGTTCACTTCACTAACCATCCACCTCTCCAACTAGCTTGTATATCTCCCCAAGCACGCGATAAATCGACTGCACTATCGCTCAAGTACTGTATTCCTCAGTCGCACGATATCATGTCAACGAAGCATACTGAAGCCTCTATGCGCAACGCAGAGGTAGAATCACACCTTCTTCGACTGCCCAGCGCGCTTCGCAACGTGATCTTCGAACACGCACTCACCATCGATGAGGGAATCTGCTATCGCACGGACAAGCTGGGTGTTGGCTGGCTGTGTCTCCGTCCACAGGGATCTGAAGAATACAGAAGAAACCTTAGCTGAACTCCAGCACTGGTAGGTAATGTTCAAGAGTTGGGTGAGGAGGCTTCACCGCGGAAGCAACAAAAGATTACAGAGGCGAATCGGTCTATCAACAAGCCAGCGGTAGGCACCAAGGAGACGATGTACCAAAGGCTTGTCACAGTGAATGAATATGTGGTCACGAATCAACTCCAGTTCACCAACAAGCAGCTTCGAAGTCAGACCAGAGCGATGGCTATTCGTTACAATGATGTATACATCCGGGGTCCACAGAACCACCTCATTAGATTCTTCTACAGCATCATGGGCAACAAGAGACTGTGGATCTAGAGGATCCACCACTCGATGAATCGGCTAGTGGCAGACTCCCACTTTGATGACTGCATGGCCTCCAACTCGACGAAGAAATGCACCCCCGCTTTGAGATTGTCTGTATTGGCCAGAGGTGCACACAGAGTTACTTTACCTGCATTATCCATGCAGCAAAAGGGTCGCCACAAATCACCGTTTCCAGGTAGGATCACGCAGAGCGCTTCCGTACAAGCAGTGTTTGCCGATTTGATTGGCGCTCCTCCACTACCATGGTACATCACGATATTGTTCTGGGGGAAAAGCTTCGGGGAGGTTACGATGCGACGTTTCTGCGAAAAAGATGGTATTGAACAAAAGTGGCTGATCCTGTTCTTACCATGTGGGATGGAAGGCTTGCTATCTGTGGCCGAAGAATGCTTTGAGAGGGAATTCTGGGGTTATCGTGGTTGGACAGCATGCTTGTAAGATACAAGACGGACGGCGGAATTGATAGCGCAACGTCTTGGTGTTCTACATTTAATAGCTGACGAAAGATTGAAAATACAACTTCAGCCCTAGAATGCTACGTTCCATACTCAAATCGCCACAATATATACATGTATTCCGCCTCCACAATCACGAAGTGAAGTGTATTTATGCCGCGGGGCTAGCAACCGAAGTTGTGAGCGGGCCGCTCTCAATGTATGTGCCGGAGAAGAACCAGTCTTCAGCGCCCGTACCGTCGTTGCCCTGGCGGGGCAGACGAAGGACACCAAGGTGCCAGTCAGCACCATTGGAAGAAGTGCTGGTGGAGAAAGGCCCAGCAGTCTTGACGAGCGTGCTGTTGCCGGTAGAGTGCCAGAAGGTGACTTGGTTCTGAATATTGTTGTATGAAGTCAGTACGTGTATCACATCAGTTCGCATAGGAGCGCGACTTACGGAAGAAAAGTTGATCTCGTAAGCTACGTTGTGCCACTCGTCCGCCTTGAGCTCGACCTTCCACTTGCTTTGGCCACCAACCATCCATTGCCTGCATTGGAGTCAGCATATAGGCCGGATCGAGTTGATATATGTGGGTTGGCTCACAAGTTGGTGTTGCTGGTGCCAGACTCTCCGTTGACCCATCCGTACTTCAGTTCCGTGAAATGGCTCTCGAAGAAACAGATCTGGTGTTCGTTCGTCGCACTTGGAACGTTGGTTGTAGACCTCTTGATCGAGAAATGGTAGTAGACTGTGCCCTGGTTGATAGCAGCTTTCGTCTGGGGGATGAGCTCTGTCCTCCACATGTCGCTGTTCCACTTGGCCGTGTTATCGATCGTGATCTTAGCGCCTTGCTTGCTGCCAGTGTCTCCAGAGTTCTTGTAATTCTGCGATAGGTTTACGTATTTAGTGGTAGCACCAGATCCGTGGATGTAGTACTGGTAGTCTGGAAGAAAAAGAAGCGAACGTCAGTTGTGTTCACCGTGTAGCTTGATTGCAGCACTTACTGCCCACTTGGTTTGCCCAAGACCATTTGTCCAAATCAGAGGAAGTGGTCATGTCATTGAAGCGACCATCCCAAAGAATTGTGCCTATCTCTAGTCAATGACATGTAATATGCCAGGTGTGAGCTAACAAACCTGCGGATACGGCGCTCACGAGCGCGTTGATGATAGCTGCCTTTCCGAACATGTTGACGACTGAGAGTAAAACGATCTTTGCTTGGAAGGAATCGGACGACTGATAAACCAGATACCGACTCTCGAGGTCTTCATGACGCTATATAAAGACCGCCTCACGTCAATACTCAAAGTATCCCGACCCGAATCTGGAGGCGAGGCGTCCATTTCGTGCTTAGAGCGCTGCACATCAATATCGGGGAAAAAGCACATGGCCAGCTTTCTACATTGAGTACGTACTCAATGTGCACTGCGTGACCATCATTCTCAATCAATCTATATGTATCCGCCGCCTGTGCACATATAGTTGTGGACCTAGTAACGGCCAAACGGTCCGGGACACATTGCGCCTTGTCTCAGCCAGACGCGGAGATGGCGACCCGGTTTTCGTCACCGCGTCCGCGGCACATGGTTCGATGCCGGCAACTTAAATCCATACGAAAACGAGATGATGGCGGGCTTGTTAATGGAGGAAGGCCGATCTGGCAGGGTGTCGAGATTAAGCTACATTAAGCCGAGGCCTACCCCACAATTAGATCGAACTAGAAAGCTTCGAATATCCAGCCTGTCAGCATTTCGCGTTGTGACATTAACTTGAGAATTGTCGCTACATGTGGCTGTTTCTTGAGCCATGTTAATGGATGCCCTCGGCATGACATTGGTTGCGGCGCGGGCGCTATTGCCGTGCTGCATCTTCCTCCAAGATTATCCAAGGGGACAGGGGAGAAGAACGCCAACGCCTCGATGTCTATCGCCACAAGAAGCCTCGCGGAACGAGGATGTCAACCACACCGAAAGAACTTTCCAGCCCTTCGGATCTCTTACTCAAATTTAGTTCCAAGGCTCTCCTACTAGTAGCTGGTCTCCCAACCCCACGATGCACCAACTACCCAGGTATCGATTATCGACATGCGTGCCTGACCCTACGCAGTCGTGGTAGTCTCAGGCTTTCTCACAGGCGAAGACTCGACCGCAGCGTCTGTTCTTTTGCGCGGCGGAAATGTGATGCAAGGAATTTCGCGCCAAATCGGGGTCACCTCAGTTTGCTGTGGACATAGGACAGGTGGTTTGCGTGAAGTTGCGACTTTGGCTGTGGGGTCAAATGTGTATCAAATTGTAAACGAGTTGAGAAGTTCGAGGAGATAGTACACGTTAATGGTTGCAAGAAGTACCGCAGCAGCTGCGACCTTGGTCTAAGCGGAGATGCGACTTCATCAGCAACTGTGATGTTTGTCGTGTGCAAGTGAATGAAAGAGGTGAACGAGACGAAAGCAGCCGCGGCCAGCGCACGGGCCGGCAGTTGCCTCGGTGACATCACAAACAAGCTGCGCAGAGTTTCCCAAGTCTGCCTATTGCCCATCACAGCGACCACACGAGCCAACCCGCGCCTGCCTCACGTCCGCCCTGCAACCATCTCAGTCGTCAGCACCGCTGAATCGTAAACTTAATTCCGCGACAAAAAAGGTCCCCACCATATCGACATGGCTGACGCGCGCGGAGAGTACTGGTACTACGAAGATGGCGTCGACCCTAACAAGATAACGGTCCCTGAACTGAGGAGCATCCTGCTGAGACATGGCGTCACGTATCCGTCCTCGGCAAAGAAGCCCGCTCTGGTTGGCATGTTTGTCGACCTGGTCCTCCCACAGAAGTCGAAGGTCCAGCGGATGCAGGCACACACGAAGCGATCGACGCGGGGCATTGTAGACGTCCCCTCCAGCTCGGCCAGTACGGTCGAGACAGACGACGCCGAGGACGAAACACTTATTGCGCCTACCCCTGCAAAGACACGACGCACAACCCGACGAACAACGCGCGAGCCAACAGAGGAGGTAGAGGTGCTGGCACCACGCGCCAAGACACCCGCGCGCGCTGTGCCTGCCAAACATAGCAGAGCGCTTGAACCCGAGGTGGACGAGCGGCCTGCAGCTAGACGCACGCGGAAGAGCGTCACTCCTGCGCCCAAAGAGCCCACGCCTGAGCCGGAAGCGTGGCATCGCAACGATGCTGCCAGCCCTTTCACCCAGGAAAACCCGTTTCAAAGCGGCAGCTCTCCCGCGGTCCCAGATACCACATCGCGCGACCGGCGTAGGAGGACTACAGGATTTGGTCCACAGGAGAGGCGCAAGAGCGATGCGCACCGCCGAAGAACCGTCCAGCCCAAGGCTGAACAACTGGACGAGGGCATCATGGTACCTACACGCGGAACATTTGATGTGGCGGACCCGCGCACACAGTATCAGGAAGACGATCTCGCAGACACTGGCGAGGAGTTCACTCCAGAGGAACAACTTGAACTAGTGCGCGAGCGTGCAAAGGCTGGCGAGGTCGACATTCTCCCTCCACGCAGACGGAGGCAAAAGGGCAAAGCCACTGGTACGATCAAAGCAATGGCCGGGACTCTACTCCTCACAGCATCAGCCGCTTTTGCTGGCGTCTGGCGACAGGAAAAGATCGATGTTGGCTTTTGTGGCATCGGACGAGATGCTACTGGACTTGGTGGTATGGAGCTACCGAGCTGGGCAGATCAGCTCCTCCCGCAGTGTGAGCCCTGCCCACCACACGCGCAGTGTTTCCGTGGGTTGACTCTGAGGTGCGATCCCGATTTCATCATGAAGGACCATCCGCTGTCCCTCGGTGGCCTGGTACCTCTCCCACCGACGTGTGAGCCAGACAGCGAGAAGACACGGAAGGTGAATGGTATCGCAAACAAGGCAGTGGAGATACTGCGACAACGCAAGGCCCAGTATGAGTGTGGAGAACCAGATGCGGCAGGAAATCCAGTGGAAAGCCCTGAAGTCAGCGAAGGAGACCTGAAGCAGCAGATGGCTTCTCAAAAGAGCAAGAGCTTGACGGACCAGGAGTTCAGCGAGCTGTTCGACAGAGCCTTTCCTGAATTGACTATGCGAGAGGAAATAGTCGAAAGCACCGATGGGTAAGCACTCTCCTTTCCAGTACTCCAACCACTTGTGCAACATATCTGACGTGGAATTGTACTAATCAGTTACTCTTCCTTGGAAATAGAACAACAGGCGGACGACGTCTCGCATCCACCTCTCTCGCCAAGCTCTCCCTCTCCTGCAGCGTCCGAAGATCCCTCCGAGAATCCTTTGAACGACATCTTCTCCAAATTGTAATGGTGCTCATCCTGATTGCCACTGGATCGTATGGAAAGTACGCATACACCAGCAACCGAGCAATGGAAGTCCGCGCGAAGCAGCTAGCAAGCGACGCATACGATAGACTCCAGGACCAGGCCGCGTTAAGCTATTACGACTCTGGCGCGGAGAAGGGCATCAGTATGACACAACTGCGAGACGACGTCTTGAGGACCGAGTTCAACGCATCTCGCCGACAGAAGCTGTGGACAAGGGTGCAGGCGAAGGTCGAAAAGAACAGCAACATCCGTGCCGGTGTCCGAACCACAGCGAGCGGCGATGTTGCTCGTATGTGGGAATGGGTCGGCCCTGTGAAGCGCATTGACGACGGGCGGAGCCCCGAGAAGCGCGAGAGTGGCAGGTTCAGTCTCGGCATGGGCAGCAGCCCACTGTCTGCATCTAGAGATACGAAGGAGGTCCAGAAGTGGGAGGAGGGACATCCGATTTACTAGTCTTCACGCTCGCAGCTTTCATTTGTTTCCCATCGCGGGTCTATGGATTAAGGATGATATATGATTAGGGATCTGCACTTTTTTTTTTGGCACGCATGATACCACAATTCAATTCTTACTTCGACTGCACTTCAGCCTTTCAACTCACTCAATGACTAGTAGATATGTTTGGTATGGTCTGGTACGTGCCCTCGACGCATTGGCTGTGGCTGGTGAGTGGCGCAAATACCGGCTTACTAACCTAGCCGAAGCCCACACAACGCTAGCAATATCGGCCCAGCGCGACCACAACACCTCCAGCAACACCGCCAACTTTTCGCTCATACTAACCACAGAGCAAAATCCGTCAAAATGGTGAGTGACATTCTAGATGCCAGAGATATTGCGAAGGAACACGACCAGTGCGACGAGCGAACGAATGCGAATCTCCGATGACGATGGCGAGGCGAATTCTCCGACCCCGCGACACCGTACACGACGATACCCCATGAGAAGACCGAGATATGGCGGAAGACACTTGATGCTGAGAGGGTTGGGATTGTACAACATCTCTTACAGAGGGTTGCTGGTGCGAGGGGACATGTGAGGACCTTGGCGTTGAAGAGGCGGCGACTCAACACGCACCATATCATGGACTCCTCGCATCGCGCCGTATCCGGGACCCAGCTGTCAGGGCACAGTGTAAATTTTGGCATCTTTGATGGTGACAATATCTCACCAAGATGCTCTCAATCGCGACCTTCGCATCACCGCACATCCTTCGCCATCGCCTACATCGGTCGCTCGTCTCGCATTGGTCGCCAAGATAGGAAATGGGGAATCTTATAAGCATTGACCTGAATACTGACTGTAACCTTCCAGGTCAACGTTCCCAAGACCCGCCGAACCTACTGCAAGGGCAAGGACTGCAAGAAGCACACCCAGCACAAGGTCACCCGTTAGTGATCCACGTCCACACACTCGCATACCCGTATACTGAGACTGTGTAGAATACAAGGCAGGAAAGGCCTCGCTGTTCGCGCAGGGTAAGCGTCGTTATGACCGCAAGCAATCCGGTTACGGAGGTCAGACCAAGCCCGTCTTCCACAAGGTACGATCGCACGCATTCGAGCTCGAGAGATGGGTACTAACTCCATGCAGAGGGCGAAGACCACCAAGAAGGTCGTTCTCCGTCTAGAGTGCACACAGTGCAAGACCAAGGCACAGGTAGGATATACTCACCTCCGTCTACCTCGCAATCGCTAACATACTCGCAGCTCGCCCTCAAGCGATGCAAGCACTTCGAGCTCGGTGGTGACAAGAAGACCAAGGGTGCCGCTCTCGTCTTCTAAGCGTGTACCTTCTTTCTCTCTCTTTTGCTGGGCTCTCGGCGTAGTCTTCGGGCGGATGGAATGGATGGCTCTACCTTCGACTCAAGCAATGCATCAATCATCAGTGCGATACGAATGAAGGCGTGTGAGGCGGAAGATCTGGCGACAAAAGGTCACCAGCCACGAATTTACGGACTGTAACCTACATATGCATCAAATGGAGCTCGATTGAAGGGACCGCAAAACATTTCCAATTAACGCAAGTAGTGATGGCATGATCGGTGCCAAGTGATGACTTCTAGATGCAGCAGGTACAGCCGCGCGGATCGTTACTGACGGAGTCACGTTTCAAGTAGTGGCTACCCCTCCACCCCACTAACGCGTCGCGCCCTATCTTGTCAACTGTCTTGGGCTTCGCTTATCATGTGAGGTCACATCGTCCCTTGGAGTAATCTCAAACAATGGCTGACCACAAGAAAAGTGTTCTGATCGTTGGCGGTGGTGCCGTCGGTGCAATTGCAGCCGTCAACCTCGAAGTCGGTGGACTCGCAACAGTAACCGTTGTGCTGCGGTCCAACTACAACATCGTCAGAGACAAGGGATACACAATCGAAAGCTGCGATCATGGCAGATTGGATGAATGGAGACCTAGCGTTGGTATGTTGCGAACTTCATCAGCGATGAACTTGTCGATCCGCACCTGCAGAAAGCTAACACACCAAGTCCGCAACACGATCCCGAACCTTGTCGAGGAAGGCCTTCCACCATACGACTACGTTGTCCTCTGCACCAAAAACACCCCCGACATCTCCCCCACCGCCGTCGACCTAATCACGCCGGCGCTCCCCCAAAACAGCAACAAAACCACTCTGATCCTCCTGCAGAATGGCCTCAACATCGAGAAGCCGTTCTTGCGACCTCATCCCAACATTCCTATCCTCTCTGGTATCTCCATGATTGGCAGCGCGGAACCCTCACCCGGTCACATCGTGCAAGACGAAGGCGACAGGCTGCTCATCGGCGCCTTCCCCACTTCCAACATCAATCCCGCTGTACCGGAGCGTCGGGCTGAGGAGTTTGTGGAGTTGTATGGAAAAGGTGGGAAGACGGATTGTCAGTACTCACCTAATGTACTGCATGATAGGTGGAAGAAGTTGGTGTTCAACGCTTGTTTGAATCCAATTTGCGCGATCACAGGATTGGATGATGGACGCCTCAGACTTGCGGATGGAGCCTTGGATGGCCTTGTTCGACCGGCTATGCGGGAGATTGTTTCGGCTGCGAAGGCGGTTTGTGGTGTTGAGTTGGCGGAGGATGTGGTCGAGGCGACTATTCATGTTGATCCGTTGGAGAGTTACTTGAAGCCGAGCATGCAGCAGGATGTGGAGAAGGTGAGTTCAGTTCCTGGTTCCAGTGCTTTATATGAGAAGAGCGAGGTGCTGATATCGACAGGGTAACTTCATTGAGTTCGAGAACCTGCTGGGTGAACCGTTGAGAGCAGGGAAGGATGCTGGTGTTGCTATGCCGACATTGGAGGTGCTATATCAGCTTGCGAAGGCCATGCAGTGGCGGATGAAGGAGAGCAGGGGACTTGTTGAGGTACCGAAGAAGAAATAGTGCGGTTAAGCTGACGTGGTGACTCTTGGTCTCGTACATCGTATTGTCAGCTAATTATCTACCGCGTTGGAAAAGAATCATTGCATCACTCGAAACTCTAGTGCAGACTTGACTGAGAACCGGTGAGCATCAAAGATGTGTAGTATGCCTTTCAAGCTTTATGATCTGATAATCGCATGCTGCTTGAAACAAAGAGAAAACCCCAGTCCACTACGCTTGAACAACCACCGCTAGCGGACTCTTTTGAAGATAGAAACCAAGGGCCAGGTATCATCACGAGATACCGGATCCCAGCGAAGGGCGAGAGGGTATCGAGATTTTGTCGCCTAGATTCGGTTTCCTCTGGTTCGCTCTCTAGATACCATGCTCCACCCACTCTCTCAAGTACTTGTTTCCAACCTACTACTCTGCTTCTGGAATAACCTCGTCATCCTTCGCGATCATGTAATCCGCCTTGACGACGGGTACTGGGAAGTTCGCAGGTAGGTCAGGGAAGTACCTTAGGTTTTCGGCCTGTAGCTGCACTAACTGCACTTTTGGCCCCCCTCCAGGTGTTTCTCCAACACTCTCCGCATTCCTCCAACTTGGCATGTTCGGATGCATCGAAGAGAAAGTATTTGCTGCTTTCGCCACGGTATGCATGACTAAGGGAGAGAACAACCACAAAGAAGTAGATAACGTCATATTCCTGGCAATTGGCGAGAGTCCAGAAAGGCTTGTAACGCTTGAGTCTCATTAGGGGGGATGTCGTTGCAGAGTCGGGTGAGGCGTGCGACAGACTCCACGCTCTCACCATCGAAGCACTTCTGATCATCCTTCTTGTCGCATCTGATGCTGATGGTCTTAATCCAGGACCTTTTGGCAATAGATATCGACGACACCCAGGCAGTCAGTATGTCGGACGGAGACTCATGTCCCGAGCCCTCAGAGAATGTGACGTCGTTGAACTTGAGCTCCAAACCAGCAGTCGCTGCATACAACTGCTTGTTGACATACTTGAGCTGGTTGTATTCGACAAGCTTCTCGTCATCCCCCTGGTGGTAAGGTGCCTCGCGATGGTAGAGGTACGGCTTGTCTTCACCGTCCTTAAGCATGCGGCAATGCAGCGGCTTTGAGTGGGTGAGAGAAAGTTGGTAGATCATGTTGCGAAGCTCGGCCGGTAAGTCCAGAAGAAGCGATGGTCGTTGAGACTTGTTTTCGGGGAGATGAGGAAATTGAGTCGGGTCAGGGCTGCAACTGACATAAGAAGTTATGCTTGAGACCCTCGGTTGACTAGTGGCCGGTGGTCTTTCCAAGGTTTGCTCTGCGCCGCCAAAATTGGAAGGGCGCGCTGACCTTAACCTACACTCGAGCAGTACAACTCGTCTCTCACCCAGCTGACCCGCATTCTTTGCGTGATAGCGTCATATCTTCATTTTCCCCTACAGGTTGTCCACTTTTTGCACTCGCCGGGACTGACTTTAACTACATTTCCTTGACTTTGGGTTCAGTCCTAAAACCAGATCGCGGCATCTGTTCGACCAGACTATGGCCAACATACCGGCTTGTAACGCAGAACTCATGTATGGTTACCTTGGTGTCTCGATCAGAAAGCTAAATTCCGTAACGTCACGTGCAAACCCAAAACCTGACTCCAGGGCGGCGTGAAGCGTGTCGTACGATTCCAAGATACGGAAGAGTGGTTAGAGTCCATAGCAGGTTCAAGGTTAGCTAGCGTTGCAGCATTTCGGTGAAATTCTTCAGCAGCGGATGGGGAAACATCCACAATGACAAGAGGAGACGTTTTCTCTCATCTCGATCAGGATGGGTGCGGCATCGCTATTCGATCGGAGAAGGCGACGCTGGTGGAAGCGTGACCATCCGAAGCAAGGCCGGAGGAGTTGGCGATTGGATAGTCATGGGTTCGCGTCGTGGGAGTGGAGGGGAGTTCCTGAAAGCAGAGCGGGCCATAGCCCTGCCGCTGCAAGGGCATGAAGATCTTTTATCGTAAAACCGGTAGAGGCGGAAGATCTTGGGCGCTGACAACGTCGCCATAGCAGGGTAAACCAGGTTTTAGTGGGCTGAGGAGCGGAACCGAGGTGGCGGTGCAGTTCGGCTCATGTCATGCTTGGCGAATGACGAGTGACGACGCTGTGAACCAACTGGGCTGCTGGCCACGACTGACAAGAGTCAAGAATCTTCTTAACCTTCGCACGTGAACCCGCCCTACCCATCACCTGTCGCTCCTGTGACTGTTCCATACGCCTCGCGCACCTCACCTGGCCACCCACCTAACAACAACCATTCTTGAGCGCTTTCGAGCGCGCGCGCCTAGGCTTGGAATCCACTCAGCCACGCTTTGCTGCTTAGTATCACAACCAGATCAGCACTTTTCAGCCGCGAAATCAGCACACCGACAACCGACGGTCTCATAACCTCAGGCATCAGCGACTCCCCAGGCCTGACTCCATTCACACAAACGCGCCTCACCAGGCAGAACATCAACAACACCTTGGCACAGCCAGCGCATACGATCTACCGAAAATGGCGCTCAACGGAGTGCGCCGGAAAGACACGACCAAGGGACCGCCGCTGCGCGTTCTGTCGTTAGGTACGTTGGTGATATGATGTAAGGCCTCAGTATGGCAGGTGCTAACCCATGTGACAGACGGCGGCGGCGTGCGGGGGTACTCCATGCTCATCATCCTCCAGGAATTGATGCACCGCACTTTTGTCGAAACCGAAGGACGAGCCCCAAAACGGCACGAAGTTCCCAAGCCATGCGAACACTTCGATCTCATTGTAGGCACCGGCACAGGAGGCTTAATAGCTATCATGCTGGGGCGGCTGAGAATGGACGTTGAGACATGCAAGGACGTCTACGTGCGCATGACGAGGAGAGTCTTCGAGACTGACAAGACATTTGCTGGCATACCGTATCGGTCGACATTGTTCAAGGCATCAAAGCTGGAGGAGGCCATTATGCAATGTGTTCGCGAACACACCATTTACGACGACGAGGGCAACGACAATCACAACGGGCAGGATGCACCGCCCATGACCCCCGGAAGCGCAATTTCGGGCCGCATGCAAAGAAGCGCTAGTAACGCCAGCAACTACAGCCAGATTGGCATGACGCCCGTGAATATGCGCATAGCCGCCATGAAGTGGGGGAACCCTCACGCTCAGCTATACGACAACAGAGAAGAGCGCACTAAGACGTGAGTCAGACGCATGCCATTAACATGCCAAGTTACTAACTATTTGCAGCGCCGTCACAGCTGTCTACAAGGGCACCAACAAATCTGGCAACGGCCAGGTTCTCCTCCGCTCCTACGATTCCCGCAAAGAACCTCCGATCGAGCCAAACGCCACGATATGGCAAGCCGGCCGAGCAACTTGCGCGACTGCCCTAGCATTCAAGCCAATTCAGATCGGCCAATCCGTCTTCCTCGACGAGGGCTCCGGAAAATACAACCCAGCCCCTATGGCTCTCGATGAGGCTGTTTGCAATGAGTGGCCTGGACGCGAAGTTGGTGTTTTTATAAGCATAGGAACCGGAAAGCGGCCAGAAGGCACAAACGCGCAACAGCATCTGTGGTGGGAAGGCTTCGTTTCCGGTGGCATGGGTGACTTTGCAGAGGCGAGACGGAAATTGATCCAGAAGATTGAAGACTGCGAAAGGACACACAAGGAGATGAAGGACCACCTTGCGAAAAGACAAGTCAATCCTGAGAACTACTACCGTTTGAACGTCAACGTCGGTGTGGGAGAGTTTGGAATGAATGAGTGGAATGCGCTCGCTGAAATCAGCACCAATACGCGCATGTACTTGGCAGACAAGGGAGTACAGGGCATGACACTTGACTCGGCAGCAAAGATTGCAAGGATACACTTCGCAAAGGTGCGATGGGAGCGCGCAGCCAAGGGAGAGTCACCATTCTCGCCAGGCGCTCAAGCACCAAACAAGCCTCTTCCAACCGTCCCGGACCCAGCGCCCATGGCAGTCGAACTACCAGCCGAAGAGCTGGCGCCAGAATACTACACCAACATACATCCCGCCTTCCGCCCTCCGCCAGAACCGCGCCGGCCATCAGACAATGACAAGTTCCTGGTCGTGTCCTCGGACGAGTATCCGCAGTCAGCGGCGAGTACAGATGGATTCAGCGACTTCCAACCCAGACATTCGGGCGAACTAGTGTCACCAGGACGTCGCTCGGATGAGCAATTTTCGGCAGGACGTCCAGTATCCTGGATGAGCTCTGCGCCCAGCTGGGATGATCGTCTTTCCAACGCTCCACCTAGACCACCTAAGACACCTTTGCAGGATGGACTTCACCCCCCGCCTCTATCAGGTACACGCACATCACCCCCCGCTGGCTCTTCCTTCGCAAGGCCCCCTCCTGGTGCACCTCTGCCGTACCCAGATACTGACGGTCCGCCACCGATTGTCAACAAGGCGACGAAGCCGGATTACACGCGGTAACAAAGTGCGAGGTCAATCTTCTTTTTGCATATATGCTTGAATGGTGTGTGGAGTCTTGCATGGTCTATCTTCACAAGGGAGTGCCCATATCACGATATTTCACGGCTGATGGTTTCGTTGAGAGAATAGTTTAGATACCCATCGAAGTTTTCTTTGTTTTGCTCAATGTCATGAACTTTTTTGCATAGCTAATCGTCTTTCCATGCCGCTTTTCGTGTCTATCCGTCATTAATATCCTCAAGATTCTGACATATTTGGAAGAAGGGGAGTTAAAGATCTTCCTCGATGTCTTCATTCTTCGGCTCCGGCTTGACGGGGGTGAGTTCCTCGTCCTCGTCCGCTACGACCTCCTCGGCAACCTTCTTCTTGCGTCCACGCTTGGTGGGTGTGGCTTCTCCCTCAGTACCAGCGTCGCCCTTGGCCTTGCGCTTACGCGGAGTAGGAATCTTCTTGACACCAACCACATCGGCCTCGTCGACACCACGAAGAGCAGCGAGATCGGCCTTGAGGGTGCCCTTCAGACGGTCGACCATGATGCGACAGGCGCCGACCGACTTGCCATCCGGGCGAGGCGCATTCTGTGAAGCTATTAGTGGAGGATACAGGGAAGAGGAGGGTACGTACAGCGAAGTCAAGCTTGACGTTGGAGAACTCGACGAGGTTGAAGTAGTACGCGAGCTATAGTTCATTGTTAGCAGTGTACAGTAGAATGTGTACGTGGTAAGGTAGGAGAGGCATGTACACGCTGACGGTCAGTCCAGCCCTTGCCCTTGGCACCTTCGGTGTCTGACATGGTGGATTAGTTCCTTGCTGTTGCGGTGTTGTGTATGGCTGTAAGGCAGAGTGTAACGGCAAAAGGACTGCTGGTGCGAGGTGCGAGGTTGTACGAAGATGAAAGGTCGAGGGTCAGAGACTTGTTTATATCTGGCGGCGCAACTGTGTTGGTGAATGCGGTCTTGGCATGTGTGGTAACGGGGTGAAGGTGAGTGTGCAAAAGTGTAGAAAAGTGTACACGTGCGTCAATCTAAGTTGGGAGATTGCAACGCCTTAGGAAATGAGGGATTTCATCAATGAGATTATGTCAACGAGGTACGTGATTCCCAAAACTGTGTTGATTTGTGGAGTATGTCTTCGATGTGTACGGCATGTGGAAGCTGAAAGCGCAGCTAAACAAGACCAGTAGAAAACTCAATACATGCCGTGAACCTATTCCGAACGCAAGACGCCGATATGCGTTACAAAACGCTTATGCCAACTGCCTTATATCCATGTCTGCAATGCCATAGTGGTGCCATCTTGGTTGTTCAGATATCCTCAGCCTCCTTGAGGATGTCATCATCATCTTCGTCCTTGACCTCCTCTTTGACGCCCTGATCCCCCAAGTCATCCTCGATCGCAGGAGTGGGCAGCTTCTTCTTCGGGCGACCGCGACCTTTCTTGGGAGTGACTTCGGCGTCGCCACCGTCCTCGTCGGCCTTTGTCTTGCGCTTGCGGGGCGTTGCAGGCTTCTTGGGTGTAATCTCAGACAAAAGTGTTCCCGTCTCCGTAGCCTCCCACTCCGGCTTGAGGACGTTCTTGAGTGCATTGATCTTCTGCTTGAAGCCGTTGGCGTTGCGACCGGCCGGGTAACAGCCCTCCTATGTCATGTTAGCGCGGAGCACTTTGTATATTACGGATGTAAAAATGATACTTACGTTGTAATTGAAGACAGGATTGCTCTTGTGGACGAGATAGAGCAGACTGGAGAGCTAGTCAAGGTTGGCATCGCGCGATTGACAGAAGTGCAGCTGGCGTTGGGTACTCACCAACTCACGGTCACTCCATCCGGTACCGGTGAGCTTCTTGCTATCCGACATGATGTCTTTGTCGTTTTTGTTGTTGTTGTTTTTTATGTGAAGGTTCGTAGTGTGGCGGAGTGTGGAAGAGAAGATGGATTGAAAGAGGTGGGAAGTCAGAGGACGGGAGGCTCAGACAGATGTTTATATTCAAGGTGAGAGGACCGCCAAGTGCTCAGATCAATCAGAGCTTAAGCTCATCGTGAGTTCGTAAAGAGCAAACGCGGTACGTGGTGTATACTGCAGTGTGCACCATACGTGGTGAAGGTGAGTCAGTTGCTCACGGTAACGCGATAGCCGCCTGTGGATCGTGTATGCTGGGTCAATCTGACTTGATCGTTCTTAAGAAAGTGACTCATCCAGAATATACATGTTTCAAACTGTCATGATGTAGTCCATAGCCATGCGACACGCTGAACTGGGTAGCAGATTTTGCTCGATACCCAGAAGCTAGCCGTAATAGCAAGCACTGCGTTGTATGAAATCCATCAAAATTGCACATGGGTTTCAGCATGTGTTCTGGCATGTATTACGCAATTGTCAGGTGTAGGTGGACAGCCGAAGATGATATGAAAGCGATGAAGTGACCGACAGAAATGCAGCCCAGAGGAGCAAGATGTACATCAACTTGTATAGCGTATAGAAATCTGGCCATAAAAGGCCTTCTTATTGTAGCAGAGATATGTTTGCGAGTGACTGTTCTTATGCCGAACCTTTCTCCATCAAGAACGTCCTGTTAATCGCTGGGTTGAGTTGAACTTCCTCTGTCCGGATATCGATTTTTGCAAACAACATTTTAGTTCATATACAACCTTAAGGCATTTGCATCAGATCGCATAATATCTAATAACATTGGGATCAACTGTAAAAAGACGAGGTATCGCCTTGCTCGAAAGCAAGAAAGCACCCCATACCCTAAACAGGCAGCCAAATACAGCCACACACTACCCAGCCACCTCAACCACCAAGCCGACCCGATTCGACCCGCTCCGACCATCTTGCATACGGCATGCGAACCGTTGAATCAGTGCGTACCGGTGTATGTGGGTCCGGGGTAGAAGCGGGCCTTCCCGTGCTTCGTTGAGCCATGGCCTGCGGCACCGAGGCTGGCATGGGTCTGTGCCTACTATAGTTCGAGGGGTTTTGATAAGGGTTTGCCGTGGTTTACGGGATTGGTCGGGTTGATAAGAGGAGGTTTGCGAGGCGTGCTGATCATCTTATCGTCTTACTGTATCTTCGTGAGCAGAACGCGGATCAGGACTCGGACAATGAGGGGGTCCGTGTCCGGGGAGTGTTGGGCGGTTTAGATGTTCTCAACAAATATTCCTCTTGAGACTATACGTGAGGCGTCGGATATGCTACTTGTGTAATATGAATAGCATCAATCATGAAGGCTGGGAGATCACAGAAGAAGTCGGGGAGATAGCAGATATTGTCCATAACATAATGTATTCATTCCACAGTGCGCTCAGCTGCACCAAGTCGGAGGTATCTAGGTGTACTACAAGTTATCGTGAGAAGCGATTAAATGTAGTAGGGTATCGAAATCCGTCCAGCCATCCCACAGAAAAGGAAATTTTGTGACCTATTGCCCAGTCTAAATGATATCAAGACCGAAAGAAGAAAAAGGGTAACCCTAAGTGGCTAACCCCGACGCCAAAAAAAAAACATGTCGACGAATTGGAAAGCTACAAGTGAGCGACACCGTTGGTGACCTCGGTGACACCGACAGTGGTGCCGTTCAACTTTTCGCTGGCGTAAAGTTGTTGAGAGACCTTCTTGTCGAAGTACTTGGGCTCGGTGTATGGGTCATACATGTTCTTCTTAATGTACGCGTCGAGTTGCTCGTCAGTGAGACCGCGGAGTTCAGTGGCACGGTCAACACCGTTCTTCTGGGCCGCACGGATGACACCACGGGTGACGATGACGGAGACCTCGCGAATGCGGCGGATGTCGGGGTACAACCAGCCATCGGCGCGCTCTTGCTTGTTCAATGAAGTTGATAGTGACTCCGCAGAGGCGTAGATCATATCTTGGGTGACGGAGACAGCCTTGGAGATAATGGCGCCAAGTCCGATACCAGGGAAGACATACATGTTGTTTCCTTGGCCGGGAGTGAGCATTTTGCCGTCAAACTCCATTGAGGGGAAGGGAGAACCGGACGCGAACAGGCAGCGTCCCTCAGTGGCGATGACGGCCTCCTCGAATGTGCACTCGGATTTGCTTGAAGGGTTGGAGAGAGGGAAGATGATGGGGTGGTTGTTGATCTTGGCCATCTTCTCCAGGATGTCCTTGTTGAAGGCACCACCGATAGTCGACAGACCCATTAGGATAGTGGGTTGTACGTAGTCGATGAGGCGGCTGAGCGACTGGTATTGGCGGCCGTTGTTGTCGTCACGAGCGAAGAAGACCTTGTGCTCGGCCAGCTTGTCACCACGGTCCAGGGTAACGAGACCGTTTGAGTCGACGAACCAGAACTTGCGCTTGGCCTCGTCCTCTGTCAGGCCCTCCTTGATGAAGTACTCGACGATCTGCTTGGCAACACCAACACCGGCACTGCCAGCGCCGAGGAAGATAGCCTTGTGGTCTTTGGCAGGAACACCAGAAGCCTTGACAGCGTTGATGAATCCACCGACGATGACGGCACCAGTTCCCTGGACGTCGTCGTTGAACATGGCGTATTGGTCTTGGTAGCGTTCTAGGGCGGGGAAGGGGTTCTTAAAGTCCTCGAATTGGATGACGATGCTGTCACACGATGAGTTTCCTGAAAAGGTTATGGATGCAAAGTACGTACCTGGGCCACTTGTCGGTAAGGGCAGCCATGAGCTCGTCGAGGAACTCCTTCTCCTGCTCGGGAGTAACCTTGGGCATCCTGGATCCCATGTAGAGAGGGTCGTCGCGGAGGGCCTTGTTGCTCGTTCCAAGATCGAGAGTCAGGGGCAGGGTGCTGTCTGGCTTGATACCAGCGCAGGCGGTGTAGAGAGCGAGCTTTCCGACGGGAATACCCATGCCGTTTACGCCAAGGTCACCAAGACCCAAGATACGGGATCCGTCAGTGAGGACAGTGATGTCGACCTGGTGTGGCCAGTTGTCGAGGATCTTGCGAAGGTTGCCGCGGTCGCTCCATGAGAGGTACATGCCCTCGGGTTGTGTCCAGATCTCGTGCCATCGTACGCAGGCCTCGCCGACGGTGGGGGTGTAGATGAGGGGAGTCAATTCCTGGATATGTTAGATATTTGATTTGAGAATACTACTGAACAGTCACATACCTTGATGTTCTCGCCTAGGAGACGGTAGAAAAGATGTGGGTTGGTGGCCTTGAGGTGGACGAGGTACTGGAACTTCTCAATGGGCGCCGTCTTCATGGCAAGGAGCCTGAGGCCTTGGTGGGATTAGTAGTGATATTTGAACAGTCGTGAATTGACATACATCGCTCGCTCTGAACGTCGTAGCTCTCGACGGCGGGGGGAGTGAGGCCGTATGTGCCCAGGGTCCTGCGGACGTCGGGCGTGTAGGACAGGTCGTAGTCACCGGAAGTGGTGCTCAGTTGGCGGGCCATGTTGGGGCGTGTGGCGGAAGGCATGGTGTCGTTTGCTATAGTGGCCATACAACGAACGAAGGAGGGTTTTTGGATTGAAGAACGGAGGCCTTGGGCGGGAGCCGTAACTTTTATAAGCGGTCTGAATCGGTGCATTGAAATGAGCTGAAACGACGCGTCGGCAATTGAAAAGGAATTAGGAAGACAGCCCGCCTGGGGCGCGGAGGATGGGGGGGCTACATAACAAGCAGCCTATCGGAGGGGTCTAGGTTCCGCAACAGTCAGTCTGTGAGGAGATCCGTTCTCGCCGTCAAAGTGTGCCTGTAAAGGAAGCATGGACCAGCCCGTTGGTGAGTTTTACGCGAGTCCCTTCCCCAAGTTTACTATCTTGCCGCGTGCACAACTGCAGCTTTTCACACTACACTCAAAAGAAACTGCGTTGCATTTCGTAGCATTCTACTACCACTTCAGACTGTCTACAGTTCGTCTTTCCAGAATTTTGCTCGAATCCTGAGGGATGCCGATGCTCGTCGTGTCACAGCCACAGCCACCGGGTAGCAGGGGTCATGACTGGACGTGCATACGAGTCGGGAGCAATCGGAACGCCCATATTTGCCTTGATGGAATGCCGTAGGATTCTTCCATGGGCTTCAATCTTCGTCCGCTCACCTTCTGTGCTATCTTGCTTTTGTCGGTACTCTGACTTAGCTGGAAAGTAGCCCGAACGGCTCTCACCCGCGCCCTCGTCTGTGGTATACCGCTGTTTTCTTTTGGTCAACGACTGCATGCCTGTAGCCCAATATCGAGCTCGTTGCGAGGTCAGGCATCGAGGCATTTTATTTCCGCAGTCAATGCGCAGCGCCGCGTTGCAACAGCGTGCTTATTATTAATCGCGTTGATCTTACGGGAAATGTCTCATGGCCATTCGCCACATGGTACCTTGGAGGGCTGTCGCGTTACTCAGGTCAATAGCGGCCCCGATGGACATTAGCCAGAAGCCATCACCGTCTACTCCTTCGCGGGTCCGCACCGGCTCCATCAAGGCACACCGCGACCCGACGAATTGCTAAGCACTATGAGCGGTGTGTCTTTGTACCGCAGACGGAGCCGCTGGGGGCAACTTTTTTTTACGCACACGGTACACCCCTGAATGTTCGCTAACGGACCGTTGGTGCCAGGGGAAGCGCATGCAGCATCCGATTGCTTTCGGCCCATGTCTGCGACAAGAAGAATGGGCGCCTTCACGAGTAGTCAGTCGACTGTCTATATCCGTGCTATCCGGTTCGCATCGTAGTATCGGACGTCCGATTCAATGCACGTTTGATCTCCTTTGCGATATCGACGAGGTCCCAGACCCTATACTTGCAGATGCGACAGTGGATCACCCGCGCGGTTGTGTGGGGAAAGCTTGATGGCTTGGGTAAGGTAGCCGCCCTAGGGCTCTGCGCCCAGTTCCTGCTGCTCCGAGAATTGGGGCACGCGACTCCACAGTCCACAGCACCACGGGAGGTTACGGACAACTTTATTGCAATTACCCGCATCCGACTTTCACATTGACATCCGCGGAGGCTGGCTGACGCAAGCATCATTTATCGACAAAGTCGCTAATTATCAATGGATTGCCTCCCCTTGCAGCAAACCTGCGACTGTCATGCAGCTGTCAAGTCTCACCGTCTCTTGACACCTGGAAAGCCATGGCGTGCGAGTCAGCATCGTACATATTAGATCTGATCCAGCACACGCATGAAGCCTTATGGCCGGAGCAGACTAGCATGGTTAGCAAACTACTAGTCCCTGACAGTTTCAGATCTCCTAATATCTCTTCCAGAAATCAGCCCTCGGCGCATCTTGGGAATTGGACACCTAGGCATCCCACGCTCCAATCCGATAGACAGTCAAGGAGTCTGTACACAATACGATACACCTAATTACTTAATCTACCGAGTTAATACAACCCTACTGGCTTCTCAGACGTATTGTTTGCGGTCGCTGTATGCGCGAATCGCAAGCAATGTTCGAGTTGGTACCATGGCTTGGTGCTGCAAAGCCTACTGGAAAACAACAACACGATCAGTCTACATAGACCATACACCTAACGAAAACCTGCTTCCAGAATTTTGAAGCCTGATCAAGAAACATTTAGGTTCATCTGTCAGCTGGCGTCGAGGCTGCTTGCTATGACGCGGCGATCCACGGAGCCACTTCCGCGGAGTTGTGATGGACTTTTGGTAGCTGTGAGCCTGTTCACGATTGCCATAGTATCCGAGCTGTTATCGAAACGGCTAGCCCTTCCATCCGGAGTACGCTCCATCATTGTGAACCGGATCCGGATGACTGCCTTGCTGTACCTTTTTGGACTACATTCCAGAGCTAGAAAGTGGCTTACCTCGGTATCTGGGAGCTTTGCTTTTGACCCAAACCTGTACAGCCGCAAAACCACCTCCAGAATAATTGGATTCTGATCACCATGTCCCTGGATGAAGTTTTTTAAAATTGCAGACGATAGAACTCATCAAAGACACGTGCTCAAGAGTGATGCGCGAACCATGGGTGCCATAGATTGGGGAATGATACCCCATGTGGCCTTGGCGCATATGTGGAGCCGCGGGATCGACGAACGGCATGACGTCGAGGCGCTAGCTTCCCTCGTCATCCTGATCAACGCGTCGTTTGGGAGCCTGAAACCTTGGTACAGCTTCAATGTAACCTCTGCCAGAGCGCTCTCAACTTTTTATCAACCACAATTGCACTCCACTCCACGTGAAAGTGATACAGACTATCGCAATGTCACTCTCATCATGCTTCGGGTCGCGCAAACGCGACGATGACCAGCGTCCCTTGTTGCCTCAGGTATGTCCACACAGTCGCCTACAGCACGACGCGTGCTAACACCGAGCGACAGTATCGCGATGATACAACGCTCCAGCGCGAGGTGCATCAGAAGCTCCACTCGTACCAGATGCTTAGGGCGCTTTCCATGGGATTCATGCCGTCGAATGAACAAGTCATCATCAACCTCCGCAGCTTGTTGTCTGCAGACGTTCTAAACCCAGAGAACCCAGATTTAAGCGATTCAGGACGTCTGCTTGTCAAGTTTACGAAACAATGGCTCCATCAGTTCATCGACACGATGAACCACAAGAACAACGAGGACCAGATCCAGGACTTCCTCTGGTACCTTTCCAAGTCCAGGATCTCTGTTGACGTGGAGGATATCGCCAGGCGCACGACAAGATCGAAGGCGAAGGCCGATGCCACTGCAGGTACATACACACAGATGCGCCTAGATATCGGCCACTAACACGTCCATAGCCTACCAGAGCCTCCAAACCGTCGGATCTCTCCTTCTTACCAACTCAGACTTCCGCATCTTTCTGTCTGATCTCCAGACTGTCGGACGCGAAGTCTTCAGAGACACTGCATTCACACTGTCGAACGTATCCAAGAGGGCTGCAAAGAAGATCGAGCCCTCGCAGGCAGAGTACAAGGCACTCAAAGAGCCAGGCGCTGATGAGGGCCCTGCACCCTCGGCTGAGGATCTGGGTAACGATGTCGCGGAAGTAGCCAAGGTGGTTGGGAATGGTGTGGCCAAGGTTGCTAAGAGGGCAGACGTAAGTCTAGGACAAAAGCTGCAAGGCGATGAGGGCGAATCTCTCATGTACCGCCTGAAGAAGACGGTCACAAACTTGAGGCAAAAGAGGGACTACAACGACTCCGTCTCGGTGCTGGCACAGCTACTGAAGCGCTACGCTTTGGTGTACTCTCGCACGGTCGAAGATGCCATGGGCACGCTTGAAACCGACATCGATACGAATCCAGCGATGGACAAGGCCGTCAAGAACTTCTGGACTTTCATCAGCTCTTTTGGAGATGAGCAGGAATGGAAGAAGCTCGAAGACGCCTTCCACAAGGTCTTGGATCACTCCCGCAAGGATCCAGAATTCGAAGATCTGCTGACCGACGTTGGTAACTCCCTCCAGAAGCTACTCACCGACCCCGACTTCTTCGATCATGTCGACGAGAAGTTCCAGGAACTCCGAAAGAAGGCCCAGGGTGTTGGAAGCGAGTCTTCACTACGCCAGGATGTTGATGTGTTCTTTGAGCAGGCCCAGCGAACGTTCATGGCCGTGACGCAGGATGAGGACATTGCGAAGATGATCAAGACGAGCACGAGGATCTGGAACATTCTGTCGCCTATGCACAACTATACCAACAGCGAGCTGGTGCAGGACGCCATCAACGTCTTCGTTCCTCTTGGAATTCAGGCCATCCAGTACATTCCCATCCCCCGTCTGGAAGTCTCTACGCCCGAGATTGACATGCTCCTTGAGAACCTGATTATTGAACCTGGAAAGACCGTCAACCACACCTCCTTCCTGCCTTTCCGCTTCAAGGTAGAAACATACAACGACTTCGAACTCCGCAAGGCCCGCTTCCGTGTAGCGTCAAAAGCTACTTCCAAGTTCACCATCAAGATCGACGGTCTCTCGTTCCGTGCAGATGAAGTCGGCTTCCTTCTTCGCGCGCACTCCGGTCTCCTCCGTCTTGCCGACGAGGGTATCGCATCTTTCCAGCTCGACGAGCGCGGTATCGATATCCATCTCGACGTCGAGGTTGGCAAGGAGAAGCTGGAACAGATTCTCACCCTCAAGGCTGTGCGCGTTCACATCCACAAGCTCACCTACAAGCTTCGCAAGTCCAAGTTCAGTATTCTCGGCTGGCTGTTCAAGCCGCTCCTACGCCCCATCGTCCGCAAGGTCATGGAGAGGCAGATGGCCAAGGGTATCGCCGATGGTATCCATGCTGCCAACCGCGAGCTCATCTTTGCTCGCGAGAGGCTTCGGGCTACGAGGATCTCCGATCCAGACGACCTCAAAACCTTTGTCAAGGCTGTCATCACTCGTCTTACACCCGCCGACGATCCAGACGTTTACACGAGGGTTGGTGTCGAGGCGCCGGGCAAGGGTGTCTTCGCCGGCAAGTATGCACCCGGTAGTGTTGTCAAGCTGTGGGAAGAGGAGGGTCGTCGTGCAGCGGAACGCATTGATGACTGGGATGAGGGTGGCTGGAGGAACGACGTTTTTGACCTACACGCCATGACAATGTCTTAGGCGTTTCATTGCTTCTCTCACGATCGGCTCAATTTGCAAGGTGTGCTTTCCTTTTCGGCATGGTGTCATGGGTTTATGATCATCTCAGGGCAAAAATGTTTTCACAGCGGTATGGCCACGGTTTGCTTGTATGCGTGTACACGCTATCTTAATGTAGTACATAGTTCAGTTGATAGGCTTGTTACAAAGGTGTCAAATCATGATATTGTCTACAAGTCTGCTTTTAGGCAGCCATCTGAATCATGAACGCCTGCCCAAACAGCGTTATCATACAGTATGTATCCCACTCAAGCTGCGAGCTCGACTTTTATCAAATGCTAAAATGATCTCTCTCTTCCAGATGGGAAAGCATCCAGCCTTCCCACGTGTCCCTCACAAATCAGGGTTCCCAACTATTCCCCTCCCTATTCACCTAGAATGGAGGCAGATAGAAGGGGTATCCACCATTCTTGATGCGGAAGACGCTGAGCAGGAAGCTGTACATGCCGAACAAGACACCGGTCCACAGGAAAACAGCGAACGACTGCGCGCGCGCATCTTTAATCCTGGGAACCTTGATGGCGAGAGAGATGGCAGCGAAAGCGAGGATACCGTAGATGGCAGCAACAATCTGCGACTCGAGACCGTACTGGCTGCTGAAGCCTCCGGCGAAGTAGTTCATACCACCCTTGCCGTCACCGACGACATACGGTGTCTTCCTGATGTGGTTGAACATGTGGCCACTGGTGAAGAGAAGCACGGCGATGAGGCTAACGGCGGCCCAAAGGTTGCGGTTCTGGAGGATTGGAATGACGTATGGCCAGGCGACTGAGATTGCCGTGATGCCGCCGAGAACGATCACGGTTGCGGAGATGTAGAAGACCCAGTCGATGGGACGGGAGACGGAGGGTATAGGGACATCAGATGGAATCTGGCGCGAGATCCAAGCGTGGATCTGCTCGGCCTTTTGGGGGCCGGCGGTGAAGTCGAAGCGGACGGGTGCGGAGTCGACTTTTGCGTTTGCGCCGACGGTTGGGTGGAAGTAGAGTAAGACAGGTGCGGTTTGGAGCATCATCTATCAATTGTTAGTTTTGGAACGCTTTTAATAGAGAAATAGGGATATCTCACCGATTGGAAAGTGTTCTTTCCATCAACAAAGTCCAGAGTACCAAAGACCAATCTCGTCTTTCCGTCTTTGTCACCCTTCATCCAGCTCTTGCCCAGCAAATCCCATTCTGGCTGGAAGTCCCTGCAGAGCATGCATCCGAACCTCGGCTCCAGCGCAGTCAAAAGCACAGCAACTCCATAATCTCTCGGAGACTTTGTTAATTGCGCGTAACCGGCGTCGTCGAGCTTGAGCGGATGGCCAACGGAAAGCGACTTGGCGCGGGCGTCAGTGAAGCGGTCGCCGGTCGATTTCTTGGCAGCCAGAGCTGTAAAGGGCAGCAGCGAGGCTGTAAGGAGCTGTAACCACCGCATTGTGTCGTTTGGCGGGTGGAGAGTTGGTGTGCGGAGCTTTGGTGGGTTGGACGAGCTGCTTGGGAACGTGGCCTCGAGCTCGGAGATGCGGCGTGCGTAATGCCAAGGCCGACACCTAGGCAGGGGTGCGCGACATGGGCTTTGGAGGTCAGCACTCCGGATTGTAAACCTCACAAGGACTGCTGGACTACTCAAGAGGCGATTCGTTCCTCCGTAGTATTCGCATATTGCCTCTATCTTCTTCGAAGTCATTCTTTCACTTTGTTGTGTTGCTAGCTTCATGACGGCCATCTGCGCTCTGTTTGTTTACCCAGTCGCGTCTACCTAAAGCCCCACCACATCCCATCCTACATCTACACCTAGCGATACACTCGCGCATCATTGAGCAGATATTACACCATGGTCGCCACTATCGAGGCAGATGTGGACATCAACTACGAGATGAAGGATGTCAGTAAAAGACCGCTGGACCCTGTTCGGCTGCAATGCCCTCAGGCTTTCCACTAACCCTTTCAGCTTCAACATTCGCTACGGAACGCGACTTTGGAACTCAGTCTCGAACGGAGTAAGCATTCGGTCGAAGCTGTCGTCAAAGACGAGGAGATCCGGAAGTTGCGAGTCGCCCAGTGTCTCCTCCAAGACGATAACAGCGACCTACACGAACAACTCGAGGAGGAGCAGGCGCGCTCCGACGAGCTAGAAGCATCACTCGAAGAGGCTCTTGCGCAGTTGGACGAGCAACGAGCGGAGGCAGAGGCAGCACAAAACACCATCCGCACCCAGGCGCGGGAAGTCGCGAATCTCAAGGTAAGCACGTCCGGCCTATCGATCATTGCGCGATTTGCTTACTTCTCTTAGGCTGAACTCAAGGCTATGGAAAACGTCACGTCCGATTCCAACAAGATACTATCCGACAAACTCGCCCTCTCTCGCGAAATCTCATCACTACGCCCCGAAGTCGAACACCTACGCGCCCAGGTCGAAGCAAACACCAGTCTACTCTCCGAGAAGCTCGCGTTGCAACGCCAGATGACTACGCTACAAGTCGAACTCGAGAACGAGAAGCGAACCTCCGCCCGTACCATTGCGAAACAAGGCAAGAAGATGGAGCAGGATGAGGACCTCCGCAACGAGTTGGAGGAGGTGCGCAATCAGCTCGCAACGGAAAAGAAGGACCGGATGAAGGCCGAAGCTGGGCTTACAAAGGCTGAAAAGGCCATGGAGAAGGTGCAGGCCGATCTGGAGTCGCAGCAACAGGCAACCGAAAGTCTGCAGGCCAAGGTCGAGAGCCTGTCCAACAAGGAAGCCAGCAAGGCTAGCAAGCGCAGTGAGGCCCAAGATGCCGCGATTGAACAACTCCGCGAGGAACTACAACAAGAAAAGGCTGCACGCCTACAAGCAGAGAAAGCCCGTAAGGACACCGCCGCCCGCGATGCAGAGATCGAAGAGCTGCGACAAGAACTTGAACAGGAGAAGCGCGAGCGTCAGAAGGCAGAGAAGGCGTCGAGGAAAGGTTCGCAGCAACCAGACGAGCAAGCCGAAGCTGCAAGGAAAGAGCTAGAAGAAGAGAAGCGCGAGCGCAAGAGGCAAGAGAAGGAATACACCAAAACCTTGGCCGAACTCCAGGGCAAGAACGCGGTCCTCGATGATAAGCTGAGTGCTTTCCGCGAAAAGCTGCGAACAACAAAAGAGAAGTTGAAGGAGAAGGAAGCTGAGCTTCAGAGGGCAGACCGGGCGCAGACCGCACCACCTGTTAAGAGCACCGCAGCCGCATCTAGCAAGCCCGCAAAGACTGCTCGCAAGCGTATGGCTGCTACCGCTGAGCCAGAGACTATGCTGGGTACACCGGGAGACGGCTTCCCTGCGAAGAAGGCCAAGCGCGGCACTTCGGTCTCTGCCATGGGTGATACATCCACCTTCTCCCTAACGCCATTCTTGAACAAAACGAGCACCATAGCACTTGACAGCCCTATCATTGAAGAAGAGGAGGAGGAGGAGGAAGCCGAGCAACAAGTCGAAGAAGAAGCTGCCGAAGAACAAGCTACTCCAACAGCGCCTCCCAAGAAAGCCCTCAAGAAGACTGCCCAACCCAAGGTCAAGGCCCTCGCTCCATCAGCATCGAGCAAGGCAAACGCGAAGCCACGCAAGAAGAACGCTGTCCCCGTCCTCGAAATGGTCTCAGAGGAAGCATCTGAGCTCTCGCACAACACATCCAAAGACGCATCCGAGAACGCACCCGTATCCATCCCGACCAAAGACGACGATGGCCCATCCAAGAAGTCCAGCAAAGTCAAGCCTCGCAAGTCCCTCATGTCCTTTGCCACATTCACCGAGGAACCCGCCGCAGAGAAGAAGAAGAAGCGCAAGCTTGGTGCTGGTGCCGGCAAGACACTCTTCGATTCTGAAGATGCCGAAGATGCTGCGCCCCTGAAACCTGTTGGTCTCAGCAAAGGTCTCTTCGCGGCGAGGGCCCTGAGTAAGAATGTGTTGGGTAAGCAGGGGCAGGGACGCCCCATTTCGGGCGGGTTCAACATGATGAGTGAGGAGGCGTTTACCTTCTCGCCGCTCAAGAAGGATCGTAGAGGGGCGAGTATTCTGAAGTAGACTTTATGGGGTTGGGGTTGTGAGGTGCTGTACAATATTCGTTTGGTGCATATTTGGCGTTTGGTGTCACGTATTGGCATTCATTAGACTTCAGGTTATATGCAATACATATATTACAGTTGCATCTTACAATACAGGAGCAATGCGAGATACTATCTTTCATAAGTCAGATTGAGGAACACATAGACACTTCTGTAGGACGTCCGACAGGCCGAACTTCTGTGAAGACCTCCGCGCTGCTACATTGCACTTTTTCGAACACTTGAAAATGTGTCGTATGCAAACACGCTAGAACTCTAACTGTCTTGTTCTGGAACTAATGTAGGTCTGCAAGTAGGCCAAATAAATGGACCTGGGCGCTTAAGTAGCTGGAAAGCCATGTGCGGCGCGGAAACAGGACCATGGCGCTGGGGCGTCGTAGGCGAACAGTATATATAGGCCGTACTAACTGTGCCTCTTCAAGGCAAGCAAACAACACGACCCCAAAACAGACCAACAATAAGGTCGTCCCCTGAGTAAGCAGTTTCGCGATGGATCCAATGGAGTCGCAGTAAGATTTTGAAGAGGCATTGTCTGTGTAGTCGAGGGCCTGATTGGGCTGTGCATTATTCCCACACCACTCGTCTCAAGATGAGGGATGAGGGAATTGATGCTCACCGGGGACCTGGAACGGAAATGAGCAAGGCAATACGGAAAATGCGCGAACACTTCGTGAGGGATTTACAACTCGCTCACGGCGCGGCGAAATTGCTCGTGAGCGATATCTGACCGGTGCGGACCGGAGTACGAACACACGAAATGCGAAGACATGCACTTCATACACGGTGTAGATAGTACTGCCGTGGCGCATCCCTTATCCAAATGGCTGCAAGATGACTTACACATTGAAGTCTTTCAGAAGGCAGAAGAAACAGCTCACAACTGTGCCGTAGAGAAGAATAGCCAGCACCAACATCATTTGCGATACCTCACGATGTTTTTCCACACCGGCGCGCTTACACGTCGGAAATAATCTGTCAAGCCAACTCACCAGCCTCCTTGGGCGTCGTTAGTCCCCTTTGGCCTAACATCCGCAGCCGAGCCTTCGCCACGAAATCCACCTACAGGGCTGAATCCAATGGCCGGGGCACCTGTTGCCCGATCCACGAGGCGCGTGATAACGCCGAGATGGCTGAATTGGTGTGCTTATCGAATGGCCAGATCGCTGACGTCGGACATGTTTGAGCACGCCCTCTGTATGGCCCGTTTGCATATATCGAGTGTGCCTTGAGCGTATTTGCACGTCACGAGTAGACCCGAAGGGTGTGCACTGGGCTTGGTTCCCGACTTAGCCGAGTGCGGGAGGCCTTGGACATGTGTGTCTTGTGTGCGACGTGGATTTGAATGTTTTTGTATCAAACTGCAGAGATGCGCGCTGGGGAGAAATGCCATCATTCAATGTGATGGCGTTTGTCACTCTATCTCAAGGTCACTAGTAAGCCTTGTGTAAGGTAATAATGGATGCGCATTCGACGCTGTCATCAAGAGTCCCTTTGGTCGCATGCGGTGGGTGAGATCAGGAGCGCACAGCCCCAAGAAGTGGCCACATACTAGCGTGACAGGGACCAGGGATCGAGCTAAGCTAGCTTCCCCGCTCAGAGTGCATGGTGCTGTGAATGCAACTGCCTGGGTGCATTTAAGCAAACGACACCCTGGTGTTGTCAAACGATGTCCCACAAGTATCCTTCTACCATCGCCGAGTCTACATCTTCATCTTCTCGACCCATTCTACACGACAACGACACCATCAATAATCAACGTACTACCGCAACTATGAGCGAAGTCAACGGAAAGGCACCTGTCAATGGCGGCAGCCATTCACCTCGCACTGACGAGCCGATTATCAAGGTTCAACCACCGCGACGAGAGGATCTTCAGCCTAGCTATGCGAGGGTCATCCAGCCTGACGATGCGGATGCTGATACAAACGGCTGGTATGGTGGCATGGTATGTTTACCTTGAATCCATATGCTATGCGCCACTCTAACACACAACTAGATCAACACCTTAGGAGGCTGCATCGGTACCCTCGGTGCCATTCCATGCTGCATCGTCTGCCCCAACCCCTACAAGCCCGTCAACCAAGGAAACGTCGGTCTCGTCACCAAGTTCGGACGGTTTGCCCGCGCCGTCGACCCCGGTCTCGTCTACGTAAACCCATTGTCGGAGCAACTCGTCCAAGTCGACATCAAGATCCAAATCGTCGAAGTCCCCAAGCAAGTCTGCATGACCAAGGACAACGTCTCCCTCCAGTTGACATCTGTCATCTACTACCGCATCACCTCGCCCCACAAGGCCGCCTTTTCCATTTCCAACATCCGCCAGGCGCTTGTTGAGCGTACTCAGACGACTCTTCGCCATGTTGTTGGTGCGCGTGTGCTGCAGGATGTGATTGAGCGCCGTGAGGAGATTGCTCAGTCGATCCGTGAGATTATCGAGGAGACTGCTCTTGGTTGGGGTGTTGAAGTGGAGTCTATGCTTGTCAAGGATATCATCTTCAGCCAGGATCTGCAGGATTCGCTCTCTATGGCTGCGCAGAGCAAGCGTACCGGAGAAGCCAAGGTCATTGCTGCTCGTGCTGAAGTTGAGGCTGCCAAGCTTATGCGTCAGGGTATGTTATGGCTGTTTGAAATGCTCGTGAGACATACGCTAACTTTCTTCACCTTTGTAGCCGCTGATATTCTCAGCAGTGCTCCGGCTATGCAGATCAGATACCTCGAGGCTATGCAAGCCATGGCCAAATCTGCAAACTCCAAGGTCAGTACATCGAACTCTATGAATATAACCTAATAGCTGACACGGCTGGACTAGGTGATCTTCCTTCCTGCGCAGAACCAGACTGTTCAGAGCGCGCTCGCTCAAGCCGACTCCGTTGGCGAGGGACCAAGCTCTCACGGCGCCAACCCAATGGGCGTTCAGAGTTCAGCAGCACAGGAATACGGCGGCAACAGCCACGGCTTCCAGAGCGCTATCAACTCGCATGTCATTGAGAACATGTAAAGAACTGGCTTAAACGTTAAGTTCTCATTCTTCTCTGTATTCATGATTGTCCTTTTTGATTTGGTATGCGATGATTATGAATAGGCAATGGCAAGGTAGATTGGAAGGAAGCTTTTGATGATGGACTTGGGATTTGGGATTTTTGGCTTTCGCGTTTCTTGATACCCTATTCCGGCAGCAGTATTATCATTTCACTCGCTACTCGTTCTGATAGACACTTTTACGATAATGATAATGCCTGATTATACGAAATGGAGCTCTCTAAGGCAGAGGAAATTGTAATTTCTGATATATCCGGCGTGTGACATACCACCTGATCCATATGTGGCTGAGGAGTGCGTAATAAAGGAGGCTTCCTTCACAGATGTACGGCATGTATGCTAGTGCCGTTGGCGGTACCGCTTCCTTCGATTGGACGCTTTAGAACCGGGCAAACTTCCATCCATTGAAGCCGCTTTCACGATAGCTGGCCAGCGAATCGACGAGAGTGCCTTTGCCGACACCTTTGCATATATCGTTGAATACTCGGAGCTTGGTGGATGCAGCGGTCATCTGTAGCTCGCGCATCTCCGCTACTGGATAGGTTGGCTTGTCGTCTTCGCTGTCAGTTTTTCCCGAGGATCTGCTCACGGCCAGGAAGCGTCGAGAGGCATCGCGGTAGTTTGTATGCTGTTCAGCTCGCTCTGCATGGAGAAACTTCGTTGCAACCGTCTTTATGAACACCCCGAGATCGGCTGCGGGATATCTTTGCAATCGATGAACTTAGTTCCATTAGCGGTCGATGAAGTCTTGCTCGATACTGATCTGCTGGGATAGAAATTGCCGCATACGAGGGGAAACTAAGAGACGAAGAAAAGGACATGGCACACCTAGGAGGAATTCAGTTTTTTTGGCAAGAATGATAGTTGATCACATAGGCTATTGTAGTCGACGCACTAAACTATCGCTACATCTATTAAATACTCGAAAACGATCGTCGTCACCAACCCCCCACGATGCCTTCTTCGATAGTCACTACCAAACGACTGAAGTATGGCTCGCGCTGCGTGACCTCATCGGCGCCAAAACCAAATCGTATTAGCGCCAACTCGCAGATGTATATAACAGCGCTCTCTTCTCCTCTTCTCTTCTTCGCAACACCTCTAAATGCATGAATGACTCTCCAAAAAAGAGTTGTTCGTTCGTAAATGAACTTTGGAAAGTGAAATGGTTGGCGATGACATGAGCTCTTTGCGCCAAAAACGAGTTGACTTGTGGCCATGTGGCGAATACGATGTAAGTCGAGTGACTCGAAAACAACACTCGAAGGGTATGTCGAGTCCAAAAGTGAAGTTTCATATGCTCATTCGTCTACTTCACTGTACTGCACTTCTCCTCGACTCTTTCCAAACCATCCATTTACCAGGTTACGTCACCTTGTATACTCCAAAAAGTCCAAGCGTACATGCCATGGTCGCTCACTCAAACGCACAATGCTTGCTCCGTAAGATGCTTTGAAACAAAGGAAAATTTGAGATTTAAAAATAGAATAGTAATAGGAGAGGCTCCAGCTCCAGCAAGATGATCAACAAGAACGAAGGGAAGAATAACAGGGTGTCTGACCAGAAACACGGGCTTATGAAGGAAGAACACTCTTATCCGTCGTCCCATTCCCGTTCCCTAGTATCGGTCGAGCCTCCTTCTGTTGTGGCTCGCCATATGCCCACTTTGTCGCTGCGTTGACGATGTTTGCGCATACTGGGTCAACGTGCTTGACCCATAGAGCTGCGGTTCGGTATAGAATGTAGTAAAAGACCGCAATGGCGATGAGAATGTGTGTCGTCGATCCACGCTGCAGGTCCTGTTGCTCTCCCTTCTCGTTCCTAGGGGGGTTCATCGCGGAAGGTAGGTAGATCATCCAGGTAAGTACGGACTTGATAAAAGTGTTGTGCAGCAGGTATACGGGAAAACTGACGCGACCGAGGAAGTTGAAGACAGGCGATGTGAGGAGTCTGCGTGCGTTCCTTGAGAAGAAGATCCCCAGCAGGACAAACGCAGCTCCCAGGTGGTCCCAGTATCGTCGGATATCCGTCTTGTCAGCAGTCAAGCTGTGCATGATGGTGGCCATTGTGTGCGACCAGCGTGTGTTGTTGGCCGAGTCTTGGGGAAATCCAGCCATGAACATGCCGCAGATTATCATGATGGCGGGGATGGGGGCCGGTAGGACGGAGGTGGCGGCATCCTTGTAGTGGTTGTGCAACTCGGCTACAAACATGCCCGTGACAATGTTGAGACCCTTGATGGAGCCAACTGTGAGATCTGCTCTAATTAGCGATTGCCCTATTCCATTGCTGGTCAGAACTATACATACCTTTGCCGACTTGCCAGAAATACATGTACATGACTCCGTAGATGATAAACCGTGCTTTCGGTCGCACCAAAATCGTAGCAAGCATGGTTGTATAGACCATGAATGCGCCTTCCAAGAACATATGCAGTGTCCACTGTGTGCCATCGTACTCGTCCCAGCCGGTGGTCCACGTCTCTGTTTGCGCCCTAAACAGCGACTTGAAAGCCATCCACAGCGTAGGCTCCTGTCGGTGCCAACCCTGCCGTATCCACTGCGCATCGACGTGCTTCGTCATATGGTACGCGTTCGTATTCGCCATGAACCAGGTAACGATAGTCGCCGCCATGGTGGGGAGAATCAGCCTTCCCGAGCGCGCGAGCGCGCTGCGTGCAATACCGTGGAAGGCAGCATCGTGATTTCCCTGGCGCGACTTGCTAATCGGCCCAATCGAATTGACGTATCCAGTTACGAGGAAGAAGAGAGCTACGGCGCTACGACCTCCGACGGCAAGACGGAAGAAGGGGAGTTGGAAGAGGTGCGGTGCGGTTTTTGCGTCTGCGGCGGGCTGGTGTAGCCATGGTACAAAGGCAGTACAAAGGTGACCGCATACGACCATGAAGGACGCGATGCCTCGGAGGCCCTATAGCACATTGTTAGCCCCGGCTACACAATTGTGCTTGTGACGGAGGGTACGACTTACATCTATCCAGTTGGCGTCGCGAGGAGGCATGGTGAGAAAATGTAGCGTGCAAAGCCAAAAGAAAGTCTACTAATCAAGGAATGTGAGGATTTAAGAACTATAGAATGTGCTCAGGCGCATCGCCGTGGCTTCGAGACTTGCTGATGCGTGCCCCGGTGGCTTGGAAATTCCGCTGGTGCCGAATTCCGGGTACCAAGAAGGCAAAGAACAACGGCGCTCGTAATGATGAAATCGCTGCAGCAAAGCTCAAAATCGACGGCGAAGAGGGGGAGCAGAGGTCAAAAGGAAGTGTAAGCGTAAACCAGCAGTTTGGCCTCGAGAAGCCAATGCACCCTGGCCCTACCAGTGGGGGCTACATCTTTTCAGGAACGCGCACCCTGCAGTAGACGCGGCTCACTGGGCAGATGGTGGACAGTTGGATAATGCCAAGAGAGGCTATCGGGAAGGTCACTTTAGCACTCTCCTTTGGCGTGCCATCAGTGGTTTGCGGGCGCGGCAAAAACCCCAGGTAATGCTTGAACTTGATGGCAAGACTCTCCCACAGATCACCCCTGAGCCGCAATGAGGTTGGTGCTCATGTCGCGTGCCCGGGCAGATGAAGCATGGAGCATGAAGATTGAGGGAAACGGCTTCCCGCGCTAACAAGCTGCATCTGTGGCCTTTACAACTCCATCGCGTAGCGCTCTCCTGACTATGGTCCCTATATCTGGAACTCTCCGCTGGCGGATGTAACACAGCCATTGCAGCTGCACTTAGCCATGATCATCCGGAACCGTTCCTTACTACGAGACCAAATTTAACGCACAAATACGAACCACGAGACGAAGATTTAGCACTCCGCAAAGCCAACTACCCGCGTATTCGGATCACGATACCAGTACCACTGCTCATCGGCGCATGGAGGCGTAAGCTAGTGCGACGCCTCGTAGAATCAAGCACACGGAAGAACGTTTCGTTGTCTTGGCGGGCTGACGTGGAGGGCCGCTTTAACCGAGACTGCAACCCCTGAGCCAAGTTAGGGGTCGCTGCAATGCATCGTCATTTGCCAGAGCGTCCGTCTCCGATAGAGTGCCGTTTCAAAGCTGAGCGGTAACAATGTCTTGTGTGTCTTGACAATCGCGCGGCAAACTTGCCAAGATCTCACCGCGCATGCAGCTGCGTATACAGAAAGAACACGCCTTGTTACCCAGGTAATTCTCTCCTTGTGTTTGCGCTCGTCTCGTGATAATCCGATAGCATTCTCGTGAAATTGCTGCGCCACTTGGAAGAACATATTTCCACTATCACGATAGGCTTGAGTCAGGATTCGAGATACGCCTTCAACGCCTCTGTCATTGCACTCCACCCGCCTTGCCCATCGTAGCATGTGGCAACTGCTCAAAGCCGCTACCCAAAACTACAGGCAGGCAGTGTACTTGCCGTACCTGGCGTCATCTTCGCCCACGACACCCCGATCGAGAAGCCGGACGCGCGCTCAAGAGCGATGACATTGTCATTGGCCTGACATAAGTTGGTTAGCAAATATCGGTATGCATGGCTGAGGTTTGCCGGATCGGAGAGCCTTACGTCAACAAGCAACCAGTGTAGCTTCTCCTGCAAATACGTTCCAACGACAATCGCATCCATACTGCGCAGTTCCCCCATGCGCATCCCGTCTTCTAGCGCTACTGTCAATACGACCACGCCATTGGTCTTCATCTCGGTCTCCTCCACACCAATAGTATTCTGGAATCCCGCGTATCCAACGAACCCAGACTCCGAGATCCATGCCTGAGTACTTGCAGGTCCGGTGTTGATGTTCATGTCTGCGTCCAAGAAGACGAAGACCTTGGAAACACCCCAAGGACCCATGTGTTGCGCGCGTATGACAGCGGAATACTGATACTGGACATCGCTGCCCTACGGACTGGCGATATGCTATTCGGTACGTGCGGTGTCCCATGAAAACCGCGACGTTGCACTTCCGTATAGTGCTTTCACTCTACCAACCAGAGCGTCGGTTGCGGAGAGCCCGAGGAACTCTGGGTACGTGGAGCCGAAAACCGAGTGGTCACGAACGGAGGCTGAAGTCCAGAAGTCGCCTGCTGCATTGCGATGGAAAGGATGGAGAGCTGCTAATGTCAACTTCATCCAATACCGAGCACGCGGTCCGCAATGCACTAACGTGTATTCTCGTCTGCCTCTGAGTACGGTGCAGTCGCAAACGTTGGCCAAGGGTTGATATGATTCTCAACGAAGCTATCCGGATGCAAGCTTTGCCAGATAGCGAGTAAACGGTCGACGTTGCTGCAACAGTCGGTAATCTTTCATCTGAACACTACGCGGCACTTGCGTATGGAGCAACCAAAATATGGGATCGAATGCCGAATACGCTGCATCATACATTTGACCTCCACGGCCAATGGCATTATGCAGAGTATCACCCGATTGCTGTCTAGAGACTCCGCTACGAGGTCATTCTGGGATTTCGCACTTACGGCCATACTAGTCGGATATCTCTTCGTTGAATTCCAGAGTATCCACGGTACACTCTTGGAGTCGTCAACTGGCAAAGGATGGAAGTAGTAAGCGTACAGCGGATTCGCAACGGATATTGTCATCGTTGACTCTCCACTTGGAACTTCAATCTCGACCATATCCTGTTGTACAATTGAGGGGAAGGAGCTCGTGTCCTTGGGCGGTATAGCAGCGGCGTCCCAATATGGCATTCGAAAGGTAACCAGGGCGTTGCACATCCTATCTCTCGCTTCTCCAACCGGAAACTCTGAGATTGTTTGTTGGGCATTGGAGTAAAGCAGTTCCTACTTACGGTCAGTGAACGAGAGAATCTGCAAGTCTTCTTCCATACTTCTATCAGGCCAAGATAGGGCCTGTGCCATGTGGGGAACAGGTTGCTGCCGTGAGCGCAGTAGCCGTTGCTTCCGTTCGGATGTTTTCCAACCTCATCCCACGGTATATAAGGCCGCCCGTGTATTCCTGATTGCAATCAGCATATTCTAATAGCAGGACCTGGTTCGATGTTGGAGTAAAAAGTTACATAGCTTACCTGCGATCTGATAGTAGGAGAACTTGTCGTATTGACCTATACTCTGCAGTCGTCGCAAGCCCAACAGATAGACGTTGAACTGATCTTTATTCCGTTCCAACTCTCGTATCTCTATTCTGGGATGTATAGTATCGATGCCCAGTCCACGCACGCCAAGAACAGGATGGATTGGGCCTGTTCGTCGGATTGTTCCACTGTTTCTTTGTACGGCAGTTGGGTATGCTGGGATACAGAGGGTGCAAACAAAAGTGACCAGCCAGAGCGCTTTGATGAGCATTTTATCTGCCACCAAATTTGAGTTAGCGTAAAACTCAGAGTGAACGTTCAAGAGCATGGAAATATTGACGAAATGATGGCATAACGCTTTGAGAATTCCGAGATGAGCAAAAAGCGGGCTTCCGAGAATGTGGTAACGACATCAACTATGAGCTGATCCTACACAGTCAGACAGTATACCTGTTGCACACGCTGCTCATCTGCTTATCCTTTATCGTGCACATGTAGCTAAGCGCGATGCCCTTACACTGGTGACCAAGCCTGTGTGGTACTCGGCTCAAGGCGGTAAGAGTAGAACCTAGTTCTTCATCATTACGCAAACTCAGCATGTAATTGAGAAGGCACCGCGTCGATATGCCGGGATGCTGAATGTTTACTCGTTGTGTTCATTATGCACGGTATGTATAGCAACCCCGGCTTCATGATCGAGATCTCTGCGATATGGCCGCGACTAGACAGCGGTATTAGACCTATTCGCTTTAGTTCATTGATGTTGTATTGAATGGCTGAGAGTAAGCTGTACACGACCCTAGTCGTAACCTCAAAATCGCCATATTGCGACACATTGCTGACGACCCAAACCACAATGACCGAACACAACGTTGCACCTTCCTATTAAAGTTCAGGTGTGGTTGAAGCCACAAGTTCATTGCAAACATAGCAAGAGAATATCGCCTCTAGAATTGTGTCGTATATGAAAACCTTCAGGCTAATGGTAAGCCATTGATATGCAAAGAGACGCCGTCGACTCCAAGTCATACAAAACGTAATAGTACAGCAACTAGAATAGTATTCAACACACCAGGACATCGGCTAGTCCAGATTCAAGTCCATACTCGCATACGCATATTATGCGTGGTCACCTTCACCAGTCTCGTCGTGATGCATTTCAGTCCCGTGAAAAGCATCGCCGAACGCCGAATCATCGACAAGGTCCAAGCCCAGGTTGTCATCGTGTCCATAGTCGGCCAGGGCGTCTCCGGCGCTATCAATGTTGTCAAAGCTTCCAAAGTCGGCGGTATCGAACATGCTGCCTGCATCAGCGTCGATATTGGATTGAGGCATTCCGCCGACATTGTTCGTGCGCTGGTTGTTGCTCGTGTTTGGCTGCTGGACACCGCCAGCTGACTGCTGTGCATTGCCTGACTGGTCGTTCATCGTCCAGTCTTCAGTCTTGTCTCCTGCACCCGCCATGCCGGACATTTCTACATCCAGATCCAGAAGATCGGCTCCTACATCAAGGCTTGTATCCTGTTGATCGAATGTCGACGACTGGTTCATGTTGCCGTGGGGTGCATTGGGTGTACCAGTGGCGGACTGCGATTGACTCGGTGGTTGTGATAGTCTAGGCAAGGACATGTTGCCGATGGGTGTACCATTGAGTGATCCCGATCCGTATTGATCCAAAAGATTCGCGGCCGAGTTGTCTTCCATTGATCCCTGGTTGTTCATGCCATTCGATGTGCCATTTGCTTGCTGCTGGGCTCCGTTGCCATTCATCTGCACTTTCGGCGGAGAGGGCTGCTGCACTTCAATGAAACCGCCCTTGTCCACGCAGACGACCGCCTTCTTCGCATCAAACGTAACACCTAGCGACTTCTCCAGATCTTGCACAACTCCTTCGACCGGGTTTGCGTCATCGCCATCGCTCTCGGTAGAGCGGGATAGATCTCGTAGTCGGCGCTCGGCTTTGATGTAGGTCCTAGTGCGCTTCAGCTGTGCCACCTTCTTCGCGTGCTCGGCCTTCATCTCGTCAATTTCAGCCTGCTCGTTCTTCGTGTACTCTGCTACGCGCTTCTCAAAGTCCTTGAGTTGGTCTGCGTCCAGCTTGTAGTAGTTCTTGATTTGGTAGTTTTCCTTTCCTGGCTCCACGTTCTCAGCTCCCGGGACGTCCAAGATGCCAGCAGTAAGGGGAGCAAGCTCGCCCATGAGGCCTAGGCCTAGATCGATGGGCGCGATCTTTCCAACAGCGTACGGCGATGAGAAGATCTCCTCCATCCACTCATGATGTTGTTTGTAACGCGACAAGCTAATCTCGCGCGGAGTGAGGAAGTCGAAAGCATCTTGTGTCGCATTCTCCTCCTCTTCAAGCGTATTGTCTGGTGCTAGCACGCCTGCAGCGGGTTGGCGGGGTTGAGGTTGCGTCGGCAAGCGCTGGCGTTTCGCTGGCGGAGGTTGCGCAGCATATGGTCTGCCAGGCTGCATGGGGTTGTAGTAGGGCTGAGGGCCTCTCATCGCCTGTTGTCCGAACTCGACTTTTGGCCAATTGGCCTGGTCGACCAGCATGAATTCCTTACGCATCAACGGTCCAGCCTGCTGTAGTTGAGCGCGCATCTGTAGCTGGGCCTGGACCTCTCGTGGGATGGGTATTTGGGCGGCGGGCATTCTGCTTTGTGGGTCTGCGGGTTTGTAGTGCACAAGCCAGAGATTGGGATCGATGTTTCCAGGGCCTGCGGCGATTCGATAGCGATGGCGTGCATGCACAGCATATGGTTCGTGAGGGTAGTGGTAGCCACTGTTGTGGACAAGAACTTGGAGGGTCTAAGTCGTGTTAGGGTATTGCGCGCAAATGACGCCTTGGTATACATACGTATCCGCGTACGTTCATATCGTATGCGGTCTCGGCATCAGCCCACACCATTCCATCCGAGGCGAACATGGTGCCCATGCGCGGGGGCTGCCATGTGAGGATGACAGTGCCATCTTGGGGAGGGGCGGCAAGGTAGGTCCACGCGACGGGAGACGTGTCGCGCACGATTTGTGGGCCTTTGATGAGGTACTCGAGGGCTTGCGGAGCTTGGAGGCCCGGGAGAGTAGGGAAGCGGTACGAGGATATCAGGTGCACATGGGGAAGGAGGTGATTCGGCACCTGCGCACTCGGATCGGGGGCATGGTAGGCTTGGTTCATGCCGTACATGATGGCGGAGATGATGCGACAGAATTGCCGCGTCGGTCGGATCGGTTTGGGTGGTGATGCAGCGGGCGCGAAAGCTGGGGTTGGTTGATGTCTGGAATCTTTGGCGCGTTGGGACCGCGCGACTGCCAAGATATGACTGTATGCGGTTAGCGCGAGTACTCGGCTTCTACGAACACATGTTCAACAAGTACCATCGATCATGATGTACACAAAGGTGTTACTGTGTTGTACATTAGTGAAAGGCCATGTAAGTATAGCGTAGGTTTTCAGCGGAGACTTTGCTCCGTATGTTTAAGACAGCTTCTTCAGGGAGGCAGGTGTTCTCCTTCTGCAGCCGGCCTGATGTCGACACACCCGTGCAGACCTGAAAGTTCCTACATCTAAGCCTTAAGGTATCATTGGAGCTGGAGTCAGCTTCGTGCACTATGTTTACTGTCCTCTCTGGGCAGTCTTTTTACACAATTAATCCGTGCTGACCTTTACCTAGGTACTCATCCTACACAACTGTGGAAGGATGGGTTTTCGAAGGTTCTCCACCAACACTACAATTGACCAGCTATCGGGCATCGATGACACGTCGCTATGAATAATGCAGCGCCATGTTGTGATCATATACAGCAAAGCTGAATGCAAGGTGGGTAAGAAAGTCTTCTGTTGCGAAGCCGTTGCATCTTTCCTCTTCAACCTACCAATATCTGGACGTTGAGTCTATGCAATTAGAGCCTATGTACCTGCAACAAATCGTGACGCATCCTGAAGTAATTTGACCCTCTACTGTACGAAGATATGTGTGTGTATGTTGTTGGCAAAGCTATAAGAGGCTGCCGTACCTGTGACCAAAAGAACGAGTCAAATATTCGCGTGAATTAGGAACCCCAATGAAAGATGCAGCTTTGACTGTCGGCATATTCCGCGAGTCAGCGTGACAACCTGCATGGTGTTCTCTACTAGAACGGGCAAGCTGCTTCAGTGGGGGGGGAAATGCCATCCGCCCCGCAACACGAACTTTTTTGTAGATGCCCTCAAATGTATCGCAGCAGACAATTGTATAAGAATATATAAATTGTATTTTGGTGGTTTTTCATCAATCACCGATCACCGATCCCCGCTCCCTTCTGGGCGGCGGTGAATTCGTCAGTTCTCAGCGTAGAACAGCAAAACCGGGCTTGTGGTTTAGTGGTATAATACTCCCTTAGCATGGGAGTGGTCCAGGGTTCGATTCCCTGCAAGTCCATCTTTTTGCGCTTCTGCGCTGCTGTGCTGGAGGGCATAAGAGAGTGTGGTGGAGATTTAGGGATTTTTGAGATTTTTTTTTAGGTAAGACGAACATGACGACCCGTCGCTCTATGCGGGGGATGCAGCTTCTTTGCTCAAGAACTCGCGTCTATACTCATGTCTGCTGCTATCGTTCGGCCATGTTCTTATTTTGTAATTGCCTAATTGGCTTTGGGCGTGTGGGGGCTGTGGGCAGCATTGGATATCCCTCATCTCTATCAACCCCTTGGTCAAAGTAACGTGACAATAGCTGCATATTGACCAGCGTGGTAGATCAGTGTAATGCATCAGTTTTGAGCACATGCGACAAAAGTATGCCGACTTCAATATGGTTATGTTACTCTTGTACTCCGCAAAGAACCCCCTACAGATCTACCCTTTGAGTCTGTTGAGTAGCTCCGCATCGGAGAAGATGTAATCGTATACACCTCTGTGGAATAAAGTACAATCTCGCAAAGACGGTCTTGGTTCACCCTTCGCTCGCAGCAAATGCTGTCCTCACTCGACCGCATGTCTAAAGGCATTAATCGCCACATGATCTGGCGAACCCAGTGACGGGTCCGCGTTCAAAGCCAGCCTCACAGTGTCCAGAAGCTCTTGTAGCACCGTCCCCTTCCATGGGTCTTTGAAAGCATTTTGCATCGTGCTATTGTAGTTGCGCATCACGTCTGTTGGCAGTGTAGAGGTCGGGTCAGCGCGCGTCCTTAGCATCGCGCAAAAGTGTCGCCTAGAAAGCCCCTGTGCGTCCTCTTTCCCGAAGAATTGTGGATCGGACTCGATGTAATAATTTTCGACACAGCGCGAGAGGGCGGCTTGTTGCTCAAGCGTCGGACGCGGGTACATCTGCTCGTTGGCCCAGTCTTCTATCTTTTTCTTGTACTCATTCGTCGCGCTTTTCGCGAGACCGACCTTTCTTCGCTTTCGCGGGGATTGGTATCGTTTGCCTATTCGAAACTCGTCTCACTTGTTGTTTTGGGTGTGGACTATGAACGAAACGTGCATTTAATTCGTCTTCTCTATGGAAGGGCTGATGGAGGGACTGAAGCAACAGCGCCTGGCGCAACTACCGTTGCCATAGGTTGTCAACCGTTGTTTGGCTTGCGTAGCCAATAACATCTCCTTGTAGTCCATAGCCTGTCAATCTTCTTCCCTGTGCTGCTTCCGCGAAGGTCTTTGCTCCGATTATTAATGACCTTCCGCATGGACGAAAGGAATGCGTTCCTCGCCCGGTCGTTAGTAAATCTATCATAAAGTGCTGCATCATCGGCAAATGTGTTGTGTGCCTTGGTATATTACAGAGGATTGATTATGCGAGGACTTGCAAAACAGTCGGCGCAAATCTGCGCTCCTATTGTGTTGCTTTTCATGCCGACAAACAACATTATAGTCTCTTAAATCGCTTTGTTGATACAAGGTCGGCAAATGGCTCTACTGTTTCTGCAGACTCACAGCGCTTGTGAGGTACGTGCATCCGGCGCAACGAAGAGGCATACGGCGTCAGCGCCCTGGCTCTCCGATTCGTAGACTCACAATTGCCGTCTTATGTATATCGCGTCCGGAGATGCTCCTGAGGAACTCCAGTGATGGAACATTTGGAGGCGGTGAGATGGTAATATGACCGACCGACCGAGATGAGTGTGGTGTGATTCAAGGTGCTCTTCGGATGAAGAAGGATCAGGGTGGTTGATAAAGCTGAGCGATAACCTGCTGACGCGCCAGACACGGACGGGCCCTTCAATGTTGGATGCCAAGACGGGTTGAGAGGAGATGAGACGGAGTGTGGAAATCGCTCAAATGATTGCGGGGTGAACACCAGATTAGCACAGTTTGGCGTCTTGGCCGGCGCCCTAATACGTGCCTTTCGTGGGAGATCAGTGCCGAAGGCCCTGCGCCCATATTCTGAAGCGTAGTCACTCTAAATTAATGAAGCAAGAAGTCATCAAACAATGTGTACCAAAGCAGTGGGTATATTGAAGTAAAGACTGCTCTAAGGATAGCGAATGCCAAAACTACGAAGGCCAACCTCCCCTATTCATGCGACATGAAATACTAATGAGTGAAGTCTAGTACCCTAAACAACGTGGCTCTGCTCGACGTGGGGCTCCTTCTCATCACTGAGGTTGTTGAGGCGCTCCTTAGCAGCCTGTCTGGCGATAGAATCCATGTCCACGGGAGCGACTGCGGCGGGACCGTCGAAGATACGGGCGATCTCCTCAAGTGTAGGACCCTGTTGTACAACATTAGCATTGTTTTCATGGGTAGATCAGGAGTGTACATACCTTGGTCTCGGGGTAGACGAAGTAGACAAAGACAAGTTCGACGGTAATCCAGAGGGTGTAGAAGAGAGCCAAGTTCCAGTGCTTAGGAAGGTTGTCCCATGCGACGGGGTTCGTCTGACCACCAACGGCAAGAATAGCCTGCACAGTGATGTTCATAATCATGAGACCCTTAGCACGGAGAGCGTAAGGCAGAATTTCGAGAGCGTAGGCAACAAGCAGACCAGACCAGGCGAAAGCGTAGAAGACACCGAAGATCCAGACAAATGGAATCTGAGCGTAACCGGCTGCGGAGTTGGTGTCGCCGGAGTTCTCGTAGATGGCGCAGGTGATGGTCCAGCAGACGAATGAGACGACCATACCAGTGGTTGCGCCGAGGAAGAGCGGACGACGACCAACCTTGTCGATCAAAGTAGCGGCGTAGACGGACACACAAAGAGCCAAGATACGTTCACCACCGGTAAGCTGATCCAAATGTTAGTAAGTGATTTCATGCAACAATTTAGCGATACTTACACCCATCTTCTGGTTTTCGCTGGTAATGCCGGCACCCTCATAGACCAAGTTGATGTAGTTGGAGAAGAGCGCGTTGCCGGAGTACTGGGAGATGATACCAAGAGAGATGAGGATAGCCAACCTCCATCGGTTACCCTTGGTCTTGACAAAGTCGACATAGCTAGAGTTCTTGTTTGCATCGGCTTCAAGACGAATGACCTCCCTCATCTCGACGTATTCGAACTGGACCGTGGCGTTGTTTCGGTCACCACCGGCATGGTAGTAGGCGAGAGTGTCCAGGGCCTCCTCATAGCGCTCCTTGGAGATCAACCAACGTGGGCCTAGGAAGCAACGTCAGCATGTATTTTTTATCCAGTGTAAAGTTTGACTTACTCTCAGGAACCCACCAAAGGAAGCAGAGCTGGAGAAACGAGGGTAGAGCCTGAAGAAGGGTGATAGACCTCCAAGACCAGTGGTTGTCCGCCTGAGATGTACCCCATGCGATCCATGCGACGAAGAGTGCACCCAAGTTCCACAGGCAGTTGTATACGGCGGTGAAGATACCACGGTGCTGAGGATGGCAGATCTCGGTGAGAAGAATAGGCGAGCACATCTGGGCGAAAGAGTTACCAAAACCGAGGATGAAACGGCCACCCATGTAGATCTGCCAGTTCGTAGAGAAGGTCGAGACAAGGGCACCAGCGATCATGATGGAGCAACCGACGGCGATTGGGATCTTGCGTCCGGTCCACTGGGTCAGGAATGGGACGAGGAAGAAGCTGACGATCGAACCGATGTTGTACATGTTGTTCATGAGACCCAGTCGGTTACCGGTCGGCTCATCGAAGTAGTCCTGCCATTTGCTCATCTGCTGCGAAGAGTTCATCATCATGCTAGAAGATGGTCAGCAAATCTCAATGCATTACTGGGAAATCCACTCACCCGTCGTAACCAGTAGTGGCGGAGGCAATGCAAAGGACCGAAGAGTGCCAGAACAGCTTTCGCATATTCGGGTCCTTGTACCAAATGACCTTCTCGAACTCAGGCACATCCTCGCGGACGGCGCTGTTGCCCTTGGCGGCTCCGACGTGCATACCAACCATCTTGAATAAAGAACGATGGAAATGTTAAGTGAAAGATTGACCGAAGTTCAGGACGAGTAGACTGTGCTACTGATGGGCAAAGTCCCTTTGGGTTGAGAATGACCCTCGTCCGGCGTCGAGTACTTATATTCGATCCACCTCCACTGCAAGCGACCCCACACCCCGGATGGGATGCTCCCATGCTTGTTCCACCGCGGGTTGACGGACATGGGTACCGCACTTTGCAGGAAGACTGGCTGACAGTAACGGCGGGAAGGGCCAGTAAGATGATACCAAGAAAGCTCCACCGAGCGATCTGTTGGCACCAGGCCCGTAGCGCCGTGGGACTAGACTTACAAGAACAGAGAAGTCCCGTCTTGTCATATCTAGGCATTGTACGCCAACGGAGATATCCAACGTCCGATGCAAATTGCTGTCTCCCCATGGGGCGTCCGGCTGTCTTCCAGAAGTCTATAACCTGGTGGCGCTAGAACGTGTGATCACATTTGACAATAGACCCAGACACGGGTTGTTGTCATTCATTGGCCCTCGAAAGCGCCTTGATATTAATTTCGTGATAGCCAGATACGACAACATTATGTTGCATTTTGGAGTAGCGACATGTGCAAAGGCGACTGCTGGCGAGGTCTATTGGTTCCTATGCCTCGGTCTGCTTCGACTCATGAGATGATAGACTCCTTCATCATGAGATGTCGAAGCCGATCCGCCGAGTGATTTTCGCCATCAAGCCATGCGTTCCCCGATTCTGTTGCTATTCCGCTATGCCCAGCGTTGAGGCTTGAGGCGCCCCCGGGCTTGATTGTAAGACACCTCGATAGCTCTGGATCCCCATCTGAACAGGCGACTCGTCCCGCGGATAATTTTGCTTAGCATCCGGTATGCCTCTTGGTGTTCTGCACTCAAGGCTTGGAAGAGCCAACCAAGAGTCCGCTCACGGTAGGTCAAGCTTACCATGCGATGCCAGGACCAGCCAAGATGGATAAATGGGCCTGCGCGCCGGATCTGGAGCTCTGTGACTAGCCCTTACAAAACATTTGTACTGGCGAAGTCGTTTCATGATTTTTCGCATTGGCAGACGTCGATAAGGCTCAGACGGCTTCGATGTACGCATCCGGATAGGGTGTGCAAATGGTTAGGGGGAAGCCACGCTGTGCATACGCGCAAGCGACGAGGCGGGACGGTGTCCAGGTGCACATCGGAGCTATGTTGCAGGCCACGTGCAGCCTTGGCGGCATGCACCGGCGGCAACCATGGAGGTAATCAATTGCGAGGTCGGTGCTCGTACTAATGCGACACATTCAATTTCCTGGGAGGCATATGTGTGTAGAGAATTCCACGCGCCGAGCTGTTGGAATCGACAGTATATTGTTCATGCGCAAGCGAATAGGCTAGTGGGGCCCCTCTTTCCACCGCAGAACGCTCCACCCCGTTCCTCTTTTCGCGTTGTGTATTCATGTCGTGATTGATGGCGCTTAGAGACATGACACCAGGCCTCGCCCTGGCGAAGACAGGCCCCGGTCAGCCGGGACTGCGCAGCTCACTCGATAGCGGATCACACATTTAGCCGGCTACATCTGGTGGTGGCGTTGTGGTGGAATATTGCTAGACGCCAAGCATGCTATTCTTCCTGGGGCGGAGAGCGGAAAGGCGGCACGGTGATGGTTGAGACCTCAGTATGAACATGATTTCAACACTACTCACAGCCTTCATCCCCAAAGTGTGATGTGGCACGGTGCGAAGACTGACCCAGCAGCAACGACGGGCCGGACTTCGAGCCTGTGCTCTTCAGCGCACCTCTGAGCTAATTCACCAGACGGCACAGCACAGTCGCTGCTTGCCATCGTAGAAATTTACTGGGAGGTACAGCGCCTGTGATCGATACACGTTCTGATGGGACGACTCTTCGACAAGATGGTGGGCCACTTAGGTATCCCGAACACGATGCCGACGCAATACTTACCTAGGTACTATCGTCTCCGCCCCCGAGTTTCTGCGACCGAACGAAAGAACGGACCCTCGACTACAGTTCGGCATCGGAAGACATCATGGTATCGAATAACAGAGCCCCAATGAGATGTCAAATCCACTCGAGTACGAGACTCAGCAGAAGATTTGCGCAAGTGAAATTGGCGGGTGTAACGACTGCACAGCCGCCTTCTTGTCGTCGCAATAATACATATCGAGTCGACGGCCTGGTCTCCCTGATTCTTGGCATCTTATGTCAAAAGTAGTGAGGCTTGGTAGAGAAGAAGCTGAAGGATGAATGATTGATGGCGGGAGAGTTTCGTCATGGTGGCTAGAAGAATACATGGCAAGGGCCCTTTCCCGCATGCACGTCTCGCAGCATTTGATGGGCGAACCACGATGAGCTCTGCTGTTTCAAGAAATGTACAGTCAGGAGGTAAGAGAGATTACTACCAACATATAGGCTAGCTAATTACGTACAGCCGATCCAAGCGCTTTGTCCTCGAGCTCTGCTCGTTTATCCGCTTCGGTCTGTTCCTGCTCTCTGGTGCCGCTCGATGTCCTATCTGTGTACTTTGTAAATCCTTCCAGCCAAAAAGGTTGTTTTCACGAAGCTTGGTCGGCTGACGGGTGTGGATAAGCTTTATGAGCTGTTTCGGCACTTTGCCTGTGAACTTCCACTCTATGAGTCTCCCCAAGTTCTCGGCCACCTCCATCGCCATTCGGCTATAATACCCAGAGTGCTCGATGATGACTGCGTTGAACGCGTCGCAGTCCAATATCCGAGATAGCTTGTATTTGTTGAACAGCTCCTCACCCTCGGCAGGGTAGAGGGATAGACCGTCGTCGAGGTAGTTGTGGCCATCCTTAAGAACCAATCTGGTAAGTTCGCCGCAGTGGAAGTTAAGCTTGATGGTACGCAGACCTTTGCATTCGAAAGCAAGTTCTAGATCAGCGTTAACACCACACTCTTCCTTGAAGCAGCTGAGGAACCTGAAGTCCAAGTGACGGACGAGATTAAAGCGGCTTTGATCTGCACTCAGAGATGAGCGTAGAAACTGGTTGTCAACATATGAACAAACCATCATCTGTGAATTCTCGATGGTGGCGGCGACCGTCTCGTCGAACGTTCGGTGCGATGTATAGTAGAACTTGGGAAGAAATTTCGATCGAGCGGGGTTATCATATCTCTTGACGGCCTCGCGCACCTCTGTCACGTTCGTATCGATATCGAGGGCAAGTTTCCAGATCTCGAGGTGGAGTTCAGTAGGCAGGTCGAGGAACCGGTGAAATTTCGGCTTGATGGCAGGGGTTTCGTCGGCGTCTACGATTGCCTCGCTCACTAACGTCCACGGTTTACCTTTAATGTATTTAGGCACTGCATATTGTAAACATAGCTCGTGATTCCGTGCATTCCATAACGACCTACTCTTCTTCGACCTGGGTATCACGCCATGCTTCACTACCTCAGCCCAAGTCTGAAGATCTGAAGATCTGAATGCAAGATACTGGAAGACGGAGTTGCAGTTATCGTTGAGCCCTAAAGGTCGGGAAAGGCCCTCGTATCTAGTTCGAAAGTCGCTGCATTATGCGCGCCGTTCATGCCAAATCGACTGCTGGCTACGGAGAAGGGAAGGAGGAGGACGGGCATGTTTGCGGTTTCCTATACTGTCAAGAAAGGTCCTCGTACTGGAAGAGGGTCAACTTAAATCGTACAGAGAAGTGAATATAAAAACTGGGATGGCTAGATATCGTGGAACCGGGTTTATGAGCGTTTCTTCATATACGTGAAGGCAAGGCTCTACCTGTGCAGACCGGTAGTGAGTGGTAGATCAGACGAAGGAACAAGACTTCTGCTTCCTCGTTGTAGCGGTATGTGCCGGGCAGAGTTTGCGGAATTTCTCATTCGAAAGCATCTTTGTGCATTTGAGTAGTAATTGCGGAAAGTGTGGTTGGCTCGTCGTCTGTGGGCCGTCGCAGTACCATGGGTTGGAGGCGATGGAATCCATCTGCATCTCATCCTTGCAGATATTCGAATCTAGATGTGACCATTTCTTATTCGTCTACGCAAACAGGCAATCTAAAATGTACGGGCGTGCTCTTGCACCACCTTGTCATCTTCGATGACACAGAGATCCACGCCAGCAGTCACACGCAAACTCTCAGTATCGAATAGGAATTCCTCGTCCTTCTTCACAACCTCCAGGTAGAAAGGATCTTTGTACGCCTTCTCAAAATCTTCATATTCCCGCACCCAAAAGTCTGCCATGCCATCGTACGAGAGAGTGGGCATGCTTAGGGGCGCTTTGTGTTTGGATGTAGTATGATACTTGGGGCTGTCAGTACAGCTATATAAGCCGATGAGATACCGAACAAGGAGGGAAGAATGGTGGGAAAGCTGACTTGGACGTATTTGACTATGCCGTGACGTTGGAGCCATGACGTGATGAGAGGACCATGTTTGTTCGCCCAATGGTCATTGAACTCATCTTCGGAAAGCTTAGCATTGCGGTTCGCAAAAACAGTGATGCGTATCAATTCTTCGGTCGACATGGTTACTATTGCTGGAGTTGTCGCAAATGTGGCTGCCCAGGTGGTGTGGCTGAGATGAGGATGCCGGGTCGATGACGCATCACTGCCTGCAGGAACCCTGATCGGCGTCCATCACAAACTCGCCCCACGCACAATTCGATGTGCTTGTTCAGGACTCACGATTCTGAACTACTGATGCGATGTTCATCGGTGCACCTGTCGCTGTAGACCACGTCTCCAATTTGCTTTTGTACCGTACGCCCGATAAGGGTGGAGCTCCACCCCTCCACCCCGCCACTTCACTTTGCGCTCAATCACCAATCGCAAGAACAACCTTGGCTCTGCGACACCACATGAATAAAAGGGCCTTCTCACGTACGGCTAGCGGTAACGCCCGCCATCCGGCGTGGTGTTACCCGGAGCCCCTCATTCAAGGGAACGGCGTTGTTCGGTCGTGGCGGCGGAAGCTATTACCCGACTGCCGCATGACTGAGTAGCGACACTGTCTATCAAAGCACTTCGACTCCTGGGAAGCCTTGATAAACAGTTATCACTTGCTAAGATACGTTACCATCGTGAAGTGTTGAGCCAAAATGACGTCTATCGATCAGCCGCTGAACGGCAAGATACTCCTTATTACAGGGGGTGCATCTGGTACCTATACCACTGTCGATGAAGGAAAGGCGTATCTAACATGAACAGGAATCGGTCTTTGTGTGACAAAGCAAGCACATGATCTCGGCGCTCGCATCCTCGTAGCGGACCTCAAGACAACATCCGATTTCGATACCTTTGCTGCCAACAAGTCAAACCTCCTCTACGTGCAATCCGACGTGACGCGATGGGCCGACTTTGACAAGCTCTTCGAAGCGTGCGAAAAGCAATGGAACGACGTTCCTGATGCATACGCCATCTGCGCGGGACTTTTCGACCCACCCTTTTCCAACTTCTGGCAAGACCCTGAAGATCAAGGGTATAAACAGGTTGAAGTCAATGTGAATCATCCAATCAAACTAACGAGATTGGCTATCCGAAAGAGTCTGGGGAAGGGCAAAAGAGCCAGTGTCTGTATCATCGTAAGTCATACCAACATGTCAGGGTCGACTCGAAGGCCCGTCCTGTGGTCTATGGTGGCATATCTGACACCAGAATAGGCGTCGGTAGCCGGCATATCAGGCAACCTAGCAGCTCCGCTCTACTGTGCGACAAAACACGCTGTCGTGGGCTTCGTCAAGTCTCTTGGGCCATCCGAGTCACTCACTGGCGTCAAGATTACCACTCTCTGTCCTGGCGCCGTGGCGACACCGTTATTCGACGCCGCGAAACTCAAGCAATACTCTGTGACTACAGACAAAGCACTCACACCAGACGCATGCGCGACTAGTCTGTTAGATCTGCTACAGAAGAAAGAGTACCCATGTGGTAGTATACTGGAAATTACTCTTGGAGGGACGAGGCTTATTCCGGAGTGGGGTGTGGAGCCACCGAAAGGTGTGGGCTCGGGACAAGATCTGGATGAGCAATTCATGACGAACATGCTACAGCCTATCAACGACAAGTTAAATGCAGAGAAGGCAAAGGCATGAGGACACATATTGTAAAGGGTTTGAGTGTATTACGTGTGCAATCAGATTTTCGCTACCAGATCGGATTGAACCCACACACAAGGAGAATAGCAAAACCACTTCATACACGGAAATTCCTGAATAAGCCTGTAGCATACATCAATGTGAGAATGTGTAAAGTAGGTAACCGAACGGCAACGTAGGCGCCAGGGTGGTCAGGTTTCTTGATTGAGGTGGAACTCAAACTCGAAAACGCATCCTGAATGCCCTCAGTGTACCCTCAATTCAACCCCAAAATCTCCAGACCCCTGACATCCCCAACTCACAATAGCTTCAAATTCTTAACAACCCCATATACCCTCCTTGCAGTCCCCCAAATCCCTCTCCTGAACCACCTCCTTGACGGCCTGAACATCGCTTCCACAGGCGATATCCCCTCTACATTCTCCTCCCATGTATCTCTTCTCTGCTTCGGTTTCCTCAAACAGTTTGCCGTGAGTGTGCCTCCATTTCTCGGGGATGACAGCTCCGTCGTCTGCATCGTTGTCCTTTGCCCGCGCGACAATGAAGTCGCTGGTGGTAATGAGGGGGAGGGTGCCTATGCCGCTTGGGATGTATGGGCGGGCGACGGGGAAGATGGGGAGGCTGAGCCCGAGGGTGATGAAGAGGGAGAAGATGATGGTTTTGTAATACATCTTGTTGGCTGTGGTGGGATTGTTGTGTGTTGGTATGTTGTTTTGTGTTGTTTTGGTTTTGGTTCTAGTGGTTGGTTTATCACAGTTTTTGAAAGTTTTGGCTTGGGATGTACGATGTCTGCGTGATGATGAGGAGCATGAAGGGGACAGCAGAAGTAGGGTCTTATATAACAATAGGAAAATGCATAGTTTCATCAGAATTCAGTACCATGGTTTAGATGTGGATGGAGTTTCGACTCCACCATGCTCTCCAACCATGGCCCAGCGATTATTCCAGCCATAAAAAGTGCCGCTGGTTGGCGTCACGCAGCGACCGACCAAGGTCTTAGGGTAGCCGGGTTAACTTCGGCTGGTTATTAAAGTGCATCGACGAAGTTATGGTGTCGTGAAGTGGTCGAACGTCTTCCTGTTCCCTACTGTTCTTGCTCTATCTTTCACTTCGCGTTTTCTCTAAATTGCTATCCAGAGTTTACGGAGAAAGTGTCTCCAGTGTCTTGATTCGTCGCCATCCTTGGTTGGTGCAGGCTTCATGTACTGCATTTTTTACCTGCATCTCCAGATTGGCTCTCTCCCCCGCGTACTTCTTGTACAGGAGCTCTCCACTTGGGCACCCGATATGATACCGCTAGCGCTATTCGCCATGGCTCCTAATCTTTCCGGATGCGAGCAGGGTCGTCACTGAGAAGGTTGCAGAAACTTCGAGACGCGCACAACCGGCTCTCGCGTTTGAATCACGAATACTGCATCTAAACCTTGACACCATCTGGGGGTTGCGTTGGAGAATACATAGTTACCAGTCTCGCATGGTTGCAATATTTCTCAGTTTTGTATGCAGCAAGTACAGCACACTTCCAGATGATATTGGTCGTAGCAATCACCGCTGTCTAGCACATCGAAGCTTGTCTTTGCAGACTACTTGACTGAAACGAATAATTACGCGTTATCCATCACAGACCCTAGAAAGACGCGCATGTATTGTGATATTTGTTTGCGCTCACCTTTACTTCCACCTTCACCTCGGAACGGTCTACTTAAACGAGGCGCGAAGCGTGACATCAGTCCGCTAGCTTACTACTTGTAGACGCAGTCTTTTGTCCACAACCGTTACTCCTCCGCAACACTCAACAAAGCCACGCGCAAACATGGCAAACGCTTCGCGCCTTCAGGTCGTAGATGCCGTTCAAAGGCAAGTGCTCCAGACCTTCATGACACACTCATCGGACTGACGATTATTACAGCTGTCTCACCTCGGACAAATACTCTGATCTCACTATCAAGTGTCGAGATGACGTCTACAAAGTCCACAAGGTAATTGTGTGCACACGCGCCGGCTTCTTCGCTGGAGCTATGAGATTCGGTGGCCAGGTATGGAGAGCTTTTCAACGACATGAATGGATCTGACAATCAGCAGGGAGCTCAACATGATGTGGTCGATCTCTCTAAGGACGAGCCCAAAGTCATCGCATCACTCGTACAGTACCTTTACTCCGGCGAGTACGGTAACGACTTCTACAGTGTCACGGAAATCGACCATGCGGAACCGCTCAGCGCTTCGCAGATAATCATCGCGCGAGGCGAGGGATACAGCGCTGTCCATCAACGCAGCTATACGTATGCATTCCCCCCACACTTGCCTGCAGTCATGTTCATCAATCTCGGGGGCGTTGGATGCAAAATGGGTTTTGTGTCCACACCATGTCTGCTCTGTCAACTGCTGCTCAACCTGGAAAGGCTTCATTTGCAAGACATGCTGCAAGGCGCGAGGTCCACCTTCTCAACTCCTCGACCACTCAAAGATGTACGCAATCACCGATAAGTACGTCGTCACTGGCCTCAAAGAGCTGGCCTGCAAAAGCTTCCGGCGTGCTTGCGGTTACTTCTGGAACAGTGACGCTTTCGCCACTGCCATCGACCATGCCTTCTCTTCCACTGTTTCCAAGGACACCGACTTACGGAGCATCATCATTCAGACCATCTCTACGCACATGGCTATTGTCAAGAAGCCAGAGATACAGGCGTTGGTCTTGAAGCACGGCGATCTGGCGATCGGTATACTACTGAAGAAGATGGGCTAGACCAGCTGCGAACACAACAAACCGATGACAGGTATCCTCTAAACTCACTATTGAGAAATTGGACTTCCCAGACAAAAGCTCGGATGCAGATTGATGTTCAGAAAAGCATACCATGGTTACAGTGGGAAAAGGTGGGATGATCGTTCGAATGGGCAACAGCGCAATGGATAGCTCTTGAGTTAGCTAAATGTCATACCAAACAACATGATATCAATCCTCGTCTCTTCCAACGCCTGAACACCTTTACCTATAGCATTACTGCGTGATAGCCCTTAGTCCTTGCAAAGTCAACCCAAACATAACACCCCTCGCAACCCTAGGTTCTTGCAAACAATCAAACACCTTACCCAATGCCTCTCCACTAGCAGCCTGACCCATAACACTCGTAAGCGCTTGCGGCATACCCCTCTCTACAAGCAACTTCCTCGCTTTGACCCTCAACTTCTCCTTCTCCTCTTCGCTCATCTCCTTCGGCCATCCTTTGAGTTCTTCTTCGGTTGGCAGACCGTTCTCTCTAATCTTTCTGATATGGTACGCTAGTCCGGCGTCGGAAGCGTTGCCGTCGAGAACGGTGGTCTGGAGGAGTGATGTGATGGAGGAGAGTTGTGGGTTTCCTGGGCGCAGGAGAAAGGATTTTGCGGCGTTGAGGAGGGTGCGTCGGAGTGTCCAGGCGGAAGAGAGGGTGTAGAGTTCGTTTATGACGGCGAAGAAGAGCTCGATGAGGACGGTGGTTTCGGGCTCGGATAGTGGCGTGTGGGTGGGTGATTTGCGTGGTTTCAAAGATTTGGCAGGGGATGAGGTTAGTGATGTAGCTGATGGTCGGCGAGGTAGTGAGGGCACGGAGTCTGTTGATGGCCGCGAAGGCTTTTGGGGTTGTATTGGCTCTGGTTGATTGCGCATGGTGCTGTAGTCGTCGGAGATTTCGCTAGGCATTGGCGGTAAATTGATTAGTTGATCACCTCCCATCATGGGGCTGAGATCTTCAATCTTCTCGCGCGTGCTCGGTGCGCGGCTATTGCTTCGTGAGCCGTATCTGGAAGACCTCCCCGAACGCTTGCCATCGCCGTCAGGATTGTATGATGGCCGACGTTCCATGGGCGCCTCGCGTCCTGGCTGCTGGTCGATGACGGGCGAGTGGGGATCGCGTACAGAGTCCATCGAAGTACGTTTGGTCACTAGAGATAACGTGCTCGGCGATCGAATATGCGTGGGTAGTTCGGAGACGGTCGACTCGGCCCTGCTTTGCCGCGTTTGGATTGGCGCTGTGTTGGATGATGTACGGCTCAGAGGACTTCCGGACGTGTTCGCACTGGCGGCGTTGCTGATCGACTCGCGGTTCTTCTTTCCTCCTCCCAGTGGTGATGCTACACTGCCTAGTACGCCTGTGACTCCACCGAAGAGAGCTTTGCCACCGCCAGCAACCTCTTTCGGCGCTTTTGAAAGTACACCCATCATCCCTTTACCCACTGAATCGAAGGTCTGGCCGGCCCACCCGATTCCTGGGAAGCCACCACCAGGGGTCTTTCCTGATCCCAGTTCCTTGTCCAAGAAGCGCTTCATTCCTTCGCTTTCAGCAAGTGGTTGGTACTTGACAGCGTCGTTGAGATAACGCTCCAGTTCTCCACGCAACGACGCCTTGGTGTGACCTTTCCACGGTGGCAGTGTAGCGTGTGCTTCGTTGAAGCCAGAAGTTCCGGTGATAGCTGCTATCCGACGTATGACTTCGTGTAATGTCTCGAACTCGGCGTACTTGCGTGCTGTCATCCACCCGGTGTGATGATTTGACTTTGGCTCAATCTGGATCAGATACTCTGCTGTCGGCTTGGCCTTGATCGTACCCTTTTCTCCCGGCATGCTGTCATCAAAGATGGACATTGTGCTGTTGTGCAACGTTAATGGTGGTGGTCTTTCTGCGGGTGGGTTGTCCATAAGCGCAGTAGGCGGCTGGGGCATCACAAGCTGATCGAAGCTTGTGAAAGCCTTCTTGACCTCCTGAGCCGGTGGGTCTTCAGAACTCCTTGGCGGTGAAGCTGGTGTTGTCTCTGAGAACGACCGGCCGGAGAGTCCTGAAATGGCCAAGTCTGAGTGCTCAACATCGCCATGCGCTTCGCCCTCGGAAGACGAGGGGGTGACTATGCCCTGGGTAGTACTCTCGGACTGGTCATCGTTCAGGGTCGATGTAGACGCGCTTTGCTTTTGTTGCTCCTTTAGTCGCTTTGCGTCTTCCTCGGCAATCATCTGGCTCAGGAGCTGCGCTTCCCTCATCGCATCGTCCATAGCTTCTTGCGCCTTGCTCATGACACGCTTGTGCTCCCTCTTTTCAGCTGTGGTCGTTGTTCCTGCACCGGCCAACTCGTTCTCTGCGTTCTCTTTGACGCTCTGCAATTGTTCAGACGAACCCTCGACGCCTGCGTCAATAGCATTGAGAAGCTCAGGTTCGCCCTCTTCCAGAAGATATACAATCCACCCGTTGATCCACTCTGGCTTGGAGCAGCTTACGACAATCATCTCAAGTATAAGCTTCGCGAGGATTTGGTGCAGGAATAACCGGGCTGGCACGCAATTGTCTGGGGTAGGTGATGGTCAGCGCACGCGACTGTGGATACAATGTAGACTTTACTCACATGTCTTTGGTTCCAGATAGTTCTGTAGGATGTCCTCAGCAGCCACACTGAACTGCTTCGTCTGGTAGTCTGGGTCCAGGATGTTCGCTAGGGTGCTATCCCGCCTCATCTTGAGATATATATCGACCGCTTCGATTGGCACATCACCGGGCGACGCTTGGATTGCGGCGGCGATCTCCTGCAGTAGTATGATCATGAAAGAGGATGAGCGCGTCACGAAGTCAAGGAAATTGTCGGCTGGTCGCTTTCGGGAGAGGTGTGCAGATATGGAAAGCACGAAGGCCGTCAGAGTTTGGCGGCACGAGTTCGGGAAAGTGTCTTCGGAAGGCAGTAGGGGTGAGTACCACCACCTGCGTTGTATTAGAACAGTATCTAGGCACTGCGCGGAGGACATACTTGACATAGTCACGAATGACTGCATCCGTCAACTCCGTCAGCGCAGCGGCAGTCTCTGGCTTGAAGTCTGAGTAGTCGAGCGTCTTGCCGGAGTACAGCTGCACATTGAAGTCGTAGCCGTCGTCTCCGGACTTGCCCTTGTCTGGTGTCTTGTCGTTCCGCCAGTCGAGGACGCGCTGGGCGATGTCGACGGCCAACTCTCGCTTCCGCGCGTCGGCGCTCTTTCCCTGTGTCTCCTTGTTGTCGCCATGATGCCCCTCCCACGTCGCGTGGAGGACTACGCCACCTACAACGCCTATGAGGACCAGCCCGACGCGGCCGAGAATGAGATATGTGCCTGCGCCGAGGCCCGCGAGACAGGCGCCCAGCGTCTCATTGCTGGCAGTCGCCAAGAAGTGCAAGGTGCGATCTGTGAGAGCCTTGAGGTCAAATGGAGGCGCGCCTGCCTCTGCCTTTGTTGCTTCCGGCGTCACGGCGGTGCTATCGCCGAGCGAGTCATGGTGGTGGTCGAGTGCGGAGGAGGGCGGGCTCGGGGGTGGTGCTATGGGGTCGCTCATGGTGGTTGTGTGTAGGCGAACATTGGGGTCTGCAGTACGTGAGGAAGTCGTGGCCTGCAGTGAAGCATGGTCCGGTGCGACAGACTGGCTATGTGGCGTCCCCTGCCGCTGACACTGGCGTACTGGCCGTTTCACAGCTGCCGCTTGTTGATCGCAGGGCGAGCGCTGAATAGTATTGCCGACCCCGCCGCCCATTGCATCGCTATTTTCAAACCGCCCCATGATTCCGATCTTCACACTTCCACGCGTCACTTCTCCCGCATCCGTATCAGCCATGTCCAGCGACGCAGCCAACGACCCCGAGATCCTCGCTCATGTCCAGCAGTTCTGGGAGGGCCGCAAGCCTAGCAGTCCCATTTACCAGTTTCTGCTCGACGACATCAAGCTGACCTATGCCTCCAAAGGCGTCGTGCGCGCACAGCTGCCGCTTACCAAGAACCACGTGAACACTCACGGAAGCATCCATGGCTCCGTCTCCGCGACACTGATAGACTGGGTCGGTGGCATTGCTATCGCAGCTTGGGATAATCGAAGCAAGGCAGGAGTGTCGACAGACATTCACATCTCGTATCTGAGCGGGGCTAAGGATGGTGACACCATTGAAATCGAGGGCAGAGCAGGAAAGGTTGGCGGAACCCTCGCTTTCACCACAGCGACCATCTGGAAGCTTGTCGATGGCAAGCAAGGTCCAATTGTAGCCACTGGATCACACACCAAGTTCATAAAGATATGAACCTTTGTATGACACGCCATCTTCTTTGAGATCTCGGCCTGCGCTCCATGGTCGATCGAGCTCACTCGGATCGCGAAGATTGACTGACCCTCTCGCTACCATTCCGCGCCTAGCTTTACAGCGACGACAGCATGGGCATGTGGGAGGGTCCTACACACTGTAGATGACCCCCAATATCATGAGTAGTCACGACTTTTCGATCAAGGGCATGTTTGCTGTCCCAGTATTAGGTGTGATGAGCTTCCTACATTTTGTTGTCAAACTGCCAAGGTTTTCCTAGGAGTGTGCATGTTCTAGGCAGGGCCGATGTCACAGGTTCCTACGAACAAAAGCTGGGTTTTCAACACCAGGTATCGACATCGCGAGAGCGGGACACGCGTCGGGTATATTAGCGCCACACCCACGAGCCACACTCGGCCCGTGTCAGCCAATCACAACACGCCTGAGCCACACATCCAACGCGCCAAGCTTCCTGGTTTCCCCGTGAACCCACAGACTATGCCACAAAGACAAGCAGGAGGGGCTGCAATCTTGGAGTGCAAAGAATCAAGGATCATGTGTCTTGAAATTAAGCCCATGGCGTATGTCATATGGTAGAATGGTACTAGCTCTGACGTCGACGTACCTGTAGACAATGGTATAGACATGGGAGAATAGACTTCTTACCTCTATAAGAACTCCACAGTATTCGTAGCACATGCGACGACACACCAATATCCAAAACTATCCCTTACTGAAGACCAGCTCAATCTCAAAAGTCTGCTCTACTTTGATCAGTCACATCACATTGAGGACACGCACTCACAACTCAACACTGAATTCCCTTATAAAAAGCGTCTTATCAACGAGCACTATCAACGCTACCTCGGCTTTGTATTGAGCGTCTTCCCATACTACGTCAACACTAAGCCACACATACTACAGCAAAAAAATGGGCTGCACACCCTCCCGCCCCCGCCGCTTCGATGGCACTGGAACCTCCTACATCGACCATCCCCCAAGCAGACACAGCACTGGCGACATGGGAACGAAACACTGCCGACGGAACGGCAGTGTGGCCGGTTCTAGCACGATTGGAACAAGCATGGGACACAGTGGCATGAGCGGCAGACATGGTGGTATGAGCAGCAGCGGTATAAGCAGTGGTACAGGCATGGGCCGTTCAGGTCGCACAAGTGGAGGTATGAGTAGTGGAATGGGTATGGGGCGTTCGAGCAGGTCGGGGGGAGGTCTGGGTGGGATGACGTCGGGGTTTGGGAGGAGCCGGAGATGTTAGTTAGTCGAGAGTGGCAAACGGTGTTGAAGGGTGAGCATACGAGACGATTGGGAGGAAGGTGGAGGAGGGATGTGGAGTGAGTGGGTATTATACTGTGTGTTTTAGGTGTTTCTGCAGCGCCGTAGTTCATCATCTTAATCATTCCTGATCGCTGTAAAGCTATCTAGGTATCGACAAGACCCTATGCTGCGTGGCCTTGGCCATCCTCGGCTACAGCTCGATAGTACTACCCCACGTGAACCCATCTACATGGCGGTGCCAAACTTGACCCTAGCCCTCTGCCACATGCCGCCTATGGCAGGCCAAGCCTGGACGTCGAACCCGTCCTCAGCTAAACTGTCAACGAGATCACCACCAAAGCCCGTCAAGTCCAACATCAGCGTCTGGAAGAACTTCAAGCGCATAAGTTGGTTGATGTCAGGTTTCAGTAGCTCGAGAACAGCCTGGCGCAACATATCGTTCCCATCTATAGTGTTGCGCCAGACAAGAACTAGAGAGTCGAGGAAAGAATTGAGAACCGATGAGACAGGGTCGGCGTCGGGGTGCTTGTGATCGACCTCGGCAGAGTTGTGGGAAAAGTCGGTTGGGTCTTCGCCGGAGGGCAGACCCATACTGAGGACCATTTTGACGATGTTAATGTACTCTCCGATAGCGTGGTTGCATAGCTTGGCGACGTCGTACTTGTTTCCGACAACGTACGCGTGCACGTGGAGGTCCAGAAGGGTGATGCTCTCGTACTCTAGTCGCATGTTGGGGTTGAAGATGTAGATGCCGTCTTGAATGTACTGGATCATGGCTGCGATGGCGTAGGGGAAGTCGTCGCGGAGGCGGATGCAGCGTGTTTGACCTTCCTTTTGACGTCGTTAGCAATGAACGATGTGCTGAGTGCAGAATGAATACTTGCAATAGATGGACCGTCTAGCATCGGTGCGAAGAAGCGAGACTCAGCACATAAGAGGTACTTGTCGAGCTTCATGATCTGCTTGCCCTTGTCGAAGGAGATCATGACGTCGTCCTTCTGGATCTCAGAGAAACAGCTTCATGGTCGTTAGTCTTGATTGTTCTCGTATACTACGAAGATGGCGGCTACTTACTATTGAAGATCGGTCGTCTGCATGACAAAGACGCTGGTACGGACAGCATTAATATCGACAGCGGACTGCGACGCCAAGTCGGGCAGATACCTGCGAGGCGGATCTAGCAGTGAAAGAGTCTGGAAGTGAAGCGCACTCGGAGTCAGTGGACCCACGTCTCTGACCGGATCCTCGAAGATGATAGGGCCAGCTTCGTTGGAATATACACCCAACACCTGTTCCAGCGGCGAACTTGAGCCTTGGTCTATGTCCATGTGAGGAGTAGTGTAAGTCTGTTCGAAGACATTACCGGCGACAGGCACTTCGGATAGGCCACGAAGAGATGAAGTACGTGGAGGAAGCAAAAGACGATGTTTGAAGTCGTCGAAGGGCTTGGCAAGCTCGTCCTGGGCGGGCAAATATGGTGTCTCATTTTCTTTGTCGGGACCGAACGAAAATGTAGGCGCGTAGAAGATTTGTGGTGTCGAAGCAGCAGACGAAGCAGCGACACTGCGTAGGGCCTTGCGGTGTGGGTGACTCGACAGATTTGAAGCACCTTGGAAAGCATTGCCGAAGGCACGCTTGCGATCTTGCTGGTTCATGTTGACTTGCTGTTAATATTCGCTGCCGTTATATTGAGTCGCCTGTGGAGGATAGTTAGGACGGAGATCCTCTCCGAAGCGATTTTCGGTATTTATACACCCATGAGAAGTGGAGTGAGTGAGAAACGAGGGGACCGCGTCGTCATCGGGGAGAAATTCTGGTAGCAATCACCCCGATTCGGTGGTGAACGTGAGCGTCTGTCAAGTCCATACATTCTATTGTCGAGCCAATGAATTGAGGACGGTGGACACATCTTCCAGTGAGGCGTGAAAACTGTAGGCCCAATGTAATCTCGGAACTAGTCAACACTGGTAGCGCGCTTGCCTAGTTGTCGAAAGCGGCACACTGGCTCGGCTCCTTTCACTGTCACCGAGACGGTCTCTACCGGTCGTACGCTATTTCCAGCGAGATGCCATCTCGTCGAACAGGTCCGCTCTGAAGTCCGGTAGCTCGTCCATTGACTCGTATACAAGCGCCATAGTTCTGCCCGTACCATGTATGAAGGCTTGCACGTGGTCAGCGCAGAGCTTGATCGCCACCCTCTTGAGATCTTCTGCATTGGCTGTTCGCTCAGGTGCGTAAATAGCACGAATTGCATGCAGTAGTTGCTGTTCCTCGCCATCGACCACCTTGGCCGCGAGGTCCTCGAATTTCTTGAGTGCGAGTGCCTTCAAGCCGGCTATCCCGTATCGCTCTGCAAGCATATACACGTCAACATGAGAGCGCAGAGTGACGTCCTCGGGTACAACAAGGTCTGAGCCAGCTAATTGATCCGTGTAATCCAGTTGGTAGCAGTACTGCATCATGGCTGCGACGGCTGCTGGGTCGTCGGCGCTCAGATCGATAATACCTTTTGACGATTTCTGCTCGAGTCAGTGGGGTTGAGAATAGAGAAATGAGTGAACATACGGGCGACATAACAACTGCGCAGACCCGTGCAAACCATCGCGAATGATAGCACATGATCGACCTATCGACGTGGTAAACATCCCGCTTAGATCGCACCACTAGATCAGAGCACTGCCACTCCGCAGCAGGTGGTGAATTCGAGGTGGCAACGGTCATGGGCGAAGACGGAGTAGGCGTTACAGAAGCTGAAGTGGGCAATGCTTCGGCTTGCTTTGGGCGAACGTCTTGGGGCTTGTTCTTCTGTAAGAAAAGTCGGGCTATTGAGCTGTTCGAGATAGTCTTGCGATGCTTGGGACGGCGATTTTGGTCGCTGATTGAAGGAGTGGAAGAGGCTGCAGTTGAAATTGAGGCGTTGGAACTCGTGGAGGACGTCCGATGGAGACAGCCGAAGGATGCGTCGGAAGAAGCTATACTATGTCTTTGCGAAAGTTCATTGCGAACTACGCTGCCTCGCTTCGAGCCATATATAGCAGAAGGATCCAGACTAGACAAGTAAGCAATTGCGACATTGAACGTCAACATAAACACTCACACATGGCTACTAACGATGACAGGAGTTACAAACATCTCGGTAGTATTTGGCAGGTGCAAGGATACCACGTAAAAGCTCGCGCTGCAGGTATCTTTCGAGGCTTACTTGGACTGTGCGGTTATTGCGACAATGTCAGAGGTCACAGATGAGACCACGTCCCTGCAGCACCGCTGCTGTATATACGCATTTACAACACCGCCCTCTGGGCGCTCAGAACTTAAACAACTCATGACCACATGGACAGAAGGGTAAAGCTCAGGAAGAAAACCACCTAGCTTCCGGCACTGATGGGTGCAAAAGAAGCGTTTTGATATGAAACTCGTCAACTGCACCAATGAAAGGTTGTAAGTATATTAGCCGTAGCCCCAGATGGACCAGGATCATGAGTCTTATCGATAGTGTTTAATACCGAAGGTGCATACTCGTGGAACGAGAACAGCCGAACGCTGGAAGATTGTGGGGTAGCCGCATGGCATTCTCAAAAGCAGTCAGCAGACTGTAGCTGAAACGGGTGTTCTTCTTTATTTCGCATGGCACTTGTCCCAAAAAGACAGGTGCGCGGAAGTTTTTCGCACACGGAATTGTCCAACGAACGACGAAGGACCGACCGCGAAGGTTTCGATAAGAACTTTGGTAGATACTGCGACGAGGGGGGATCATTGTGAAGTTTAAAGATATGAAAGGACCAGGAAACGTTTACGTCACTGTGGTTTTGTCGGATGTGTTCGCATAACACTCTGATTAGGTTCGGGCGTCAGCGTTCATTTTGCGCGATGCGCGCATCGTGTGGCAGGATTGCTCCGGTGACCGCCTCCGGTCCTGCACCACAAATGAGGCTCAGTGACCATACTTGGGTAGTGGCGACATGATAACAACGTCTCGTCAGAGATACACGTGCAACTCAAAATACACGTTAAGGTTCCGCATTTCGATTGCCGATGTTCCCCAGTATTGCCATGGGAAACGCGGCCCACGCTGCACGGGTGTTGGTGTCAGTGATGTCATTCCGCAACAAAAGGGCCGAACAGCAACAAGAAATCCCATTGGTGCTCCACACGCTTCTCGACTCCACAACGCGTCACAGTTCGCGCGCTTTGTTACTGATACCTTCCCATTGGTAATGGCGTGAGTCTGGATGCCGCTTACATCTACATCTGCAGATCGAGAAGAGATAGAACGAGGCACATCATAACAGCAAGATGGGCCAATCACTATGGACGCATTGTCACCGCCCTCGAGTGTCGCCACCACCTTTGACGTCGCACTTCTCCCGATTTGCTATCAAGCAACGGGAGCCCTAACCTAACCCGCACCAGTTGGCATGTAGGCCTAGATTGACACCCTCTAAGCGTCATGGAGCATGCTACGCCTAGCTAGTCCGATGATGATGCGTTTTCAACATGGGATTTATGCGAAGCGGCTAGAGGCGTTCTCAGTATCCCATATAAGAAGATTCTTCGGCGCCTCTGACTAAAGCTTATTTACACAAATATCTCTCTTCACGTATTGATACCCAACAAATCATACATTATGGCTCCAAGCGCAACCAACGATAACCAGAATGGCAGCACTCAGCATGCTCCCACAGGCTCAAAGAATGGCGACCAGTTCCGCAGCTATGCCGACGACCGCAACGCCTCATCCGAGGACGTCATCTACACCACCTCCAACGGTGTCCCATACCCTCACCCATACGAGAGCCAAAGAGTAGGCGAGAACGGCCCTCTACTGCTCCAAGACCACCACCTCGTCGACCTTCTATCACACTTCGACCGTGAGCGTATCCCAGAGCGGGTCGTTCACGCCAAGGGTGCCGGTGCCCATGGTACCTACACAACCACAGAGTCGCTTGAGGACCTTTGTATGGCAGACATCTTCAAGCAAGGGAAATCTTGCCCTGTCACTGTCCGATTCTCGACAGTTGGTGGCGAGTCTGGCTCGCACGACTGCGCCCGTGACCCTAGGGGTTTCAGTGTCAAGTTCCGTACCGAGGAAGGCAACTGGGATGTAGTTGCGAACAACACTCCTGTCTTCTTCATCAGGGATCCCGCCAAGTTCCCACACTTCATCGTAAGTACCTCAGTGATATTCAGGCATAAAACAGACGCTAAAATAAACGGCAGCATACCCAAAAACGAGACCCTGCAACCCATCTTACCCATGCCGACGATGCGACAGCGTTCTGGGACTTTGCCTCGCAAAACCCGGAGTCGGCTCATCAGTTCATGATCCTCTTTGGTGACCGAGGTATCCCCGATGGATACCGCAAGATGCACGGATACCACGGCCATACCCACAAGCTTCAGAACAAGAGTGGCGATTGGGTGTATTGTCAATTGCATTTTAAATCAAAGCAGGGAACTGCTTTCATCACACAAGAAGACTCATTCAACTACGGCCCTGACTACTCGACCAAGGACCTATACCAGTCCATCGAGAAGGGTGACTTCCCCGGCTGGGACGTCATGTTTCAGACCATGACAGCTAAGGAGGCTGAGGAGGTTTGGGAGAAGCAGAAGATTAACGTGTTTGACATGACACACGTCTGGCCCCAGAGCCAGTTCCCGCTCCGCAAGGTTGGCGAGTTCTTCTTGAACGAGAATGTGCAGAACTACTTCGCCGAAGTTGAGCAAGTCGCGTTCAATCCCGCACACTTGGTCCCTGGTATCGAGCCTAGTGCGGATCCCCTCCTACAGTCCCGTCTGTTCTCATACCCCGACACCCACCGCCACCGTATCGGTGCCAATTACCAACAACTGCCGGTCAACTCCCCACGCGTTGCATACCGCATGGGCAACTTCCAACGAGACGGTAACATGGCATTTTACAACCAGGGCGCTAGACCCAACTATCTCAGCAGCATCCAGCCTATTTCCTTCAAGGAGAGGACTGTCGACCTTGACAAGCTCCACGGAAACTTCACCGGTGAGGCGATCACTTTCTTGTCTGAGATTCGCCCAGAGGACTTTAACGCACCACGCACGTTGTGGGAGAAGGTCTTTGACGATGCTGCTAAGGAGCGCTGGGTCAACAATATCTCTGGCCACATGTCCACTGTGTCCAACAAGGAGATCATCAAGCGCCAGATCGCCATCTTCAGGGAAGTCTCTGAGGACATCGCTTCGCGCCTGGAGAAGGCGACTGGTGTCCAGGGCTACCCCGGTATTGCCAACCTGCGATTCAACGGAACGCACAACGGCATGGCCAAGTCCAAGGACAACAAGGTTGCCAACGGCATGACTGGCATCAGCGCGAAGTACGCTGAGAAGAATAAGACAAACGGTGCTGCCAAGGCTGGTACGCACAAGGAGATCATCGAGGGCAAGGCCTAAGGGTTCCAGTGGCTAGATTGATTTTTGTATAATTAGCGAATGAAGTTCAATACCCTGTGAAAAGTTGTTGACGCGTGTTATTCCCGAGCTCCACTGACCTGTTGCGCTTGTTTCCTTGCCCATACCAGAAAGAAACTGAAAAGGCCTGCAGCCTACACCAAGACACCAACGAGCAAATAGGAAGACCTAGCGTCGAGGTAGGCTCCAAGGTGTTTGACTTTTCCCGTTGAGCGAGGTGTTCTGGTGAGGTTGAGCAATGCAGGACTTATTGTCACCACGTTCCTCGACAACATCTTGGTTGACATGTACTCATTCGCTCATGATCACACTCCTTCGACCACGATGCGACAGGCGCTTAAGTGGTAATGATGTGTTTCGCCTGAATCAAGGGCCAGTGGCAATGCACGCAGCCGGCGGGACCCCTCGCGCGCTAGCGCGACTGCCTCATCGGCTGCGGATTCTGTCACCAGAACCTTGGAAACCTGCCAGCACCTTGTGCCCCTCCCGATATCCTCCTCAAAGCGCGCAACGTACCCAGACCAAAGTCGCAGATATTCATCTCGCTCCTTTGTGCGCTCTCCAAGTCATCGACAGCCTCCACGCGCACGGATCCGCTATGCTGCCAGGGGTGCAAGGGCCAGGTGAACCCACGTCACGTGATGGCGGATTACGGTTGGCGTTTCGTTCCAATGACACCGTGCGAGAGCGCTTTCGCGTCCAGGTTGCCCGCTAGAGCGTGAGGAGTAAAATCGAGTCCTGGCAGCTCGGTCACTCCCACAGCATTGTCCCGGTCCAGCTCCCTAGACGCCCACCCGAAGCCATATCATGTTCCTGTCGCATCTCGGCATTCTTTTCCAGTCGTCAATCCATTCCCTTGCCGCGCTCTAAAGCTCGTGGAGCTTTTGGCCCGCTGTCTCCGCACCTGCAGCGTCACCGTTGCGCTCCAGCAGACACCACAGTCGCCGACAAGAGCGTCGTCATTGCGCGATAGCGACGCCTCTGTCATTGACTTGTATCGCTTCCGTCACGTCACGGTCCACTACCGCGTCCTTCTAGTCCCTCCTCCCGCCTCTGACCTCGTTCGGCCGGCCGGCCGCCCTCCCAAGCGCATCCGACACCACCCAGCTCGCCAGCATCGCTCTCGCTCATACACTGCTCAGCTATTGCATTTATCGATAGCGACAGCTACAGGAACAATGTCGCCGCGACGGTCATCGCGGGCTCGTACCACCCAGCCCCCACCCAGCGTCGCAACGCACAGCAACTCCTCATCCTCCGTGTCATCGGCGCGTACCGATCGTGCATCCAGAGTCAATCCCAAACAGACATCGCCGCCAAAGTCGTCGACCCCACACTCGCTCTCCTCGGAAGAGCCCGAAGAACCGCCTCACGGTGCGCAGCCCGAGCCGCCTCTAACCCGCCGACGAACACGCGAGCACGACAATGATGAGGATGAGTCGGCGAAACTCGACGACGAGCTCGAAGACGACATCGCAGAGGAAGATGAGGTCACCCGCTGCGTGTGTGGCTACCAGGAGTACCCGGGCCCGCCATCCGACACTCCCAAGTCCATGTCAGCTCTCGCGGACCCGGACGTTCAAGCCGATGAACTTGGTGGACTGTTCATTCAGTGCGACGTCTGCAAGGTCTGGCAACACGGAGGCTGCGTAGGCATCATGGACGAAGCTGCCAGCCCAGACGAGTACTTCTGCGAGGAGTGCAGGAAGGACCTTCACAAGGTCACAACAAGTCCCAAAGGGTACGTACTTGTCTTTATAGGCGCTCTCGTTTGAGCTCTGTACCCCACTACAAGTCTCCCCTGCCTATGGTCTCGGGCTGCAGCTCCCTTCATTGCGCGATAACTGCTTTTACCAGCTATGGAGAGCTAACGAGATTGCCATTGTAGTCAAAAGTACTCCCGATACCTCCCCGTCTACGATCAACAGCACGGCAAGAACCGCAAATCTTCTGTTTCCAAGGAATCGGATGGACACCCAGGCAAGGACAAGGATCGCAACAATAGGGCGAGTGTTGATTCTTTTGGCAAGCGTCGCTCGACCATGAACAGTCGAGCTGCCTACGACGAAGACGAGGTGCTACGCAAGGTACTCGAAGAAAGCAAGCATGAGGGTGGTACAGCCTCAGAGAATGGCAATCGAAAGAAGCGGAGTCGTGACGACAGTGAAGAGTGAGTCCTGCTTGTTGCTCCATGGGCCGCTAGAGACATCTAGCTGACAATCTGCAGGACAAAGCCAGAGATCAAACGACAGCGGACCGGCTCTCGCTCCCCTAGCAATTCGCCAGTGATAGAATCCGAAGACGACAGTACAAAAGCGTCTGCTCCTAAGCAAAAACCTCGCGGAGCTGCGGCAAAGAGTCAACGCGAAAAAGAACAGCGCGAGAAGGAGCGCGAAAGTCACCGAAACGAAGCCGCGAATCGACGAAAAGGCCGTGCAGAGCGGAGAAAGGGAGACGGTATGTGTTGTGCCTAATGGCGTAAGGGTTTGGCTAACAATCGCTAGATGCAGAGGAACCCGAGCCCACACCCGCCCCTACCGTCGAAGAGCCCGTCATGGCCCCAATAGCGACCGAAGCTACAGTGCCGGATACTCCTGTCGCAGACCCCAAGCCTGCGCCCGCCCCACGGAGAGGTGGACGTCCACCACAGAAGGCTCGTGGTCGACTTGGGCGGAATCAGTACTCGAGAGACACCATGCCCGCGACCAACGGCACTTCACCCAAGAATGACATTGCACAATCTCCACAAACAAACATGACAAATGGAGCGAGTAATGGGCATGATAGCAGCGATGGAACGGCCGGACACAAGCCTACCAAGACGAAGAACTGGCGGCTGCAGAAACTTTCCTGGAACGATATACGAAGGCCAGCCGGAGCTATGCAGAGTTACATAGCTCAGCGACAGGTCGAGATGGCTACAGGGGAGAAGCATGGAAGCCTCGCTCCATCAGTTCAACCGACAAACGGCGAGCTGATCCAAGAGCAGCAGAAGGACGAGGATACAGACCTGGCGAAGTTCAAGAACTTGAGCACTACCCAGATGATGGACTTCTTGAGTCGCGATCTGGTACATTGGCAGCAGATGATTACTGAGCCAACAGATAAGTCGCCCAAGTGACACACGCTGCGTCGCACAATTCTCGACTTCGGCAGCGGCAGCGGCATGTTGCGCACTTGATTTTCTTTTACTACCACGACGCTTTCGACATATGTTGCATGAGCCCAATGGGTATGGCATACCAGCGGCATTTTCTTTATACATTGGCGTTTCATCGGTTGTTTACGGATACCCTCCACTTGGCTTTTGACGCCGGGCTACCTCCAGGCGCACTCTCCTTTCACATGCCTTCGACGCTATACGTATTGAAGCTTTCCTTATGTACTACTGTATGTATACTTCGGGTGTAACGAACCACGATTACGCTAGAGCATTGCTCCCGTCGTCGCATCCTAATGTATACGAAGACGAGATTCTCAAATGACTGTCGCTTCTTTGTCAAGTCGTCATCAATTATTCTGTGATTCTGTGTGCTATCCTACCCTTTTCTAATCCGAACTACCGAGCTTAATCTCCAGCACGCCCATGACGGGATTCGCCTTCAACAACTCCAGTATCGCCGGGAAGTTCTCATCCGTCACGACAGTGTACTCGGGCCAGATCTTGCCATCCCGCGTCTTGGTATCCCAGTGTATTCTGAACTCTTGGATCGTCTCTTTGGGCCCGTCGGCGGCCTTGTGCTTCGCCATGACTGGGGTCTCAACGTTAGCGACATGTCCCAAGCAAGCTGTCTGGCCTATAATGTATTCTCCTTAGACGTACATTCAGCGCAGTTGGGGCTCGAGGAGATTGTAGATGTGATCTGCGCGTTGAGCGACTTCAACGTGATCTTGGAGGATGTGTCGAGCAGGAGGAACTCATGGCGGTTCGACGGTGGGAGCGTGAAGAGGAGGGGAAGAGACATTGTTGCTGTTGTTGTGATCTCGGTGGAAAGTCTGTGTGTATGTTGGTATGTTTGCGAAGTTTCGTTCACGATGCGCGTGTAGTGTATAAAATGATCTGAGAAGCTTGATGGGTCGTTATTACAGCAAGACTGCGGTTTGCAGGTTTCATAGACTTCCAAGGTTGGATGCGTGGTACATGGATTCCAATTTACGTCATCGGGCCAGGGTCGCGCTTTGCCGTTGGACGCGTTGCAGCGCGTGGCTGACAGGGGTGTCTGCCCCGCTCTTCATCGGATTTCTCGTAGTGGGCCAGATGGATCCATTGCGAACCATTGTGATCCTGCAGGAAACAGGAAAGACACGCTGTTTTGAACGGGCGGAACCACACGAAAAACTATCTTTGCTACTAAAGTATAGACTATGCAGGCACTCTCTTTCAAAACACTGTCTACGGATCACGAACGGCGATGCAAGTACTTCACCCCCCCATGCGAAACCTATCTACAGCCCCTTAATCTTCTCCTCTAGTGCGCGTTTGATAGCTAAAGTCTCGTTAGCAAATTCTTGAACGACATATAGTTCAAGCCATGACTTACCATTGCAGCTCTCATTAGCGTCACCAAACAACATCTTCGTATTCTCCATGAAGAACATCGGATTAGGCACATCGGCGTATCCACTCGCCATACCCCTCTTCATAATAACAACCTGCTTGCTCTTCCACGCATGCAGCACCGGCATGCCCGCAATAGCACTACCAGGTTCCAGCGCAATGGGATTAACGGTATCGTTTGCGCCGATAACGAGGGTGACATCTGTATCCGGGAAGTCGTCGTTGATCTCGTCCATCTCGAGGACAATGTCGTAGGGGACGGATGCTTCGGCGAGGAGGACATTGCATTGTCCTGGCATGCGACCTGCGACTGGGTGGATGGCAAAGCGCACGTTGATGCCTTTGGCACGCAGGCTTTTGACAAAGTCGGCGAGTGCGTATTGTGCTTTCGACACGGCCATGCCGTAACCGACTACGATGATGACGTTTTCTGCGTTGACGAGAGCTTCAGCTGTTTCTTCAGATGTGGTCTTGGTTATCTCGCCTTCGACCTTGGCCTGGGACTGAACTGTGGGGGCTATGCCACCGAAGAGGACGTTGGTGAGCGACCTGTTCATTGCCATGCACATAATATATGACAGAATTGAGCCTGATACTCCGATAAGGGCACCAACAGTTGTTAGAAGAGGGTTATCCAACATGAAACCCTCGGCTACTAATGCGAACCCGGAATATGCGTTCTGTAGAGATAGAGGTATCGAGTCAGTTTATGTCTCACATGCACTTCGTACAGTCAAAACTTACCAGGACGGTGATAACGACTGGCATGTCTGCTCCGCCAATGGCAGCAGTAGTCGTGTAGCCTTTGACAAAGGATAGAGCTGCGTTCCCAACGAGACATGCTGCGCCGATAAGAGGTGCGCCCGGTGCGTAGGTCAAGAAGGCGCCCATGGTTGCTACATTCGCCCCCAGTAATGTGCTATTGATGAGATGCCGGCCAGGCAGCGCCAGAGGTTTCGAGCTCATCTTTGCGGCTAGCTTGAGGAAGGCGACAATCGATCCGGTGAAGGTAACACCACCGATGAGAACACCAAGGTAGGCGGAAACCATATGAAGAGTTGAGATATCTCCAGAGTGGCCCAGGACGCTACCGATACTCGTGAGTACAGCAGCAAGACCGACGACCGAATGCAGTGCTGCGACTGTCTGAGGCAGCGACGTAGGCGTGATCCTTCGCCCGATCATCAATCCGGCAACAGTACCCACCGTAGCGAGACCAGCGAACTGGGTGAGAACATCAGAAGAAAAGCCGACGGCAGCCAGGGATGCCAGAAAACCTGAGAAAACACCAAGTATACCCAAGAAATTACCGCGACGAGCTAGAGTAGGGGTTCGAAGTCAGTATATGTCTCACAAGCACTTCGTACAGTCATAACTTACCTGTTGTCTGCGACGCAAGTCCTGACAACGAGGTCATGCAGAGAACACTACTGACAAGGTAACCTGCTTGGACCAGACCTGCCATGCCAGTGGAAGCTGCTGCGATGAAACCGCCACCAAAGAGAGCTGCGGGGACTGCATAAAGCCATGGGTACTCTTTAGGATCAGTAGGTCGTCTAAACATATCCAGCATTCGCTGCAGAGGTGAAGGTATGAAGTCAGTAAATGTCTTATATGCACTTCGTATAGTCAAAACTTACCTTGGAGATAACGAAACCTCCCGAGATGTTAACAAAGGCCAATAGAACCGACAAGGCTCCGAGGGTTTGCGGGATGGTCTCGGGCAGATAGCCACCACCCATAGCGTACAAGCCACCAACACCGATAATACCAGAGATGGCGTTCGTTACACTCATGAGCGGAGAGTGCAAGGCAGGTGCAACGCCCCAGACCACTATTAAGCTGTTAGCACGAGCAGTAAGATGTCTTAGAATGGCCTTAATCGCTGCGCAGCTAAAGCATAGTAAGAGAGATACATACTAGTAAGAAGTTAGCAAGATATTTCAAAAACTATTCGTGGCGGCTACTTTACCCTCGGTATCCTATAAGACTGGCCAGAGCGAATGTGAAAGCATTAGACATGAATAGTGGGCCCGTGAATTTACCTAGCGTTAGTGCAGCAGTCATACCAGCCGTCACACTAGCCACTTGCCGGGACTGCGTCTGCCACGGTGTCAGGGCAACAGTGTTGGCAACTTGGTCGGCAGGCGAAGGTGCAGGTTTGGCTTGGACCGGTGGAGGGGCCGGACGCGGAGTGGGAGGAAGGACTTTGCCATTGTATGTGACAATGGCCCCGCGAGTGACTTCGTCAGTGAGATCGACATCGTAGTACTTTTCCTTCTTATCTTTTGGGATGAGCGAAAGCAGGAACTTGGTGACGTTGTTAGAGTACAGAGTTGACGACTGGGTGGGTAAACGGGATGGAAGGTCGGTGTATCCTGCACTCGCGGTCAGTGTTGGATCATCCTAGGAAGCCACGGATACATACCTATGACAGAGACACTCTTATAATCCACCAGCCGTCCAGGCTCAGTAGCTTCACAGTTACCACCAGCTTCGGCCGCTAGATCCACGATTACGGAGCCGGGTTTCATCGCGCCGAGCATAGCCTTTGTGATCAGCTTTGGTGCGGGCTTGCCTGGGATCAGAGCAGTGGTAATGACGATATCAACCTCCCGGCACTGGTCATAGAAGAGCTTCATTTCAGCCTCGATGAACTCTTTAGACATAACCTTAGCATAGCCGCCAGCTCCTGAGCCGTCTTCGGCAATGTCGACTTCGATAAATTCCGCACCTAGAGATTGGACCTGCTCACGTGCTGCAGAGCGAGTGTCGAAACCACGGACGATGGCACCCATACGTCGAGCCTGGCTCCCACGTTAGCACAAAATGATAGGTTCAATAGGCTCAGGACTTACCGTAGCGATCGCGCTGAGGCCTGCGACACCAGCGCCGATTACTAGAACCTTACATGGGGGGATCTAACGATGTTTAGCGAGGGTCTGAAATTAAGAAGATGAAAATCACCTTTCCAGCAGCAGTCACTTGGCCAGTCAAGAAACGACCGAAATGATTTGAAGCTTCTAAAACAGCTTTGTAACCAGCAATGTTCGCCATGGACGACAGTGCATCGAAGACCTGCGCTCGTGAGATTCGCGGGATCATGTCCATGGCAAATGCAGTGGCCTTGCGGGAAGCAATTCGATCAACGGTCGGCTTATTCTGCATTGGATAGAGCATGGAGATGACAGTCGCGCCCTCTCGGATAGCATCCACTTCACTGTCCTTTCCATTGATGCTGAGGGCCCGAACCTTGAGCAAGATGTCACTCTCCGAGAAGACATTCCTGCGATCAACAGTTTGGGCACCGACTTGCTCGTATGCTTCGTCTGTAAATTGTGCTGCACTGCCAGCTCCGCGCTCGATGAGAATTCGCGAAAAGCCTTTCTTGAGCAAGAGTTTCACGTTCTACAGAACAACGTTATTAGGTAAATGTGTGTCTCGTGACCAGCCATTACAAGGGGAGGTTTTACCTGTGGCGTGATTGCGACCCTTCTTTCACCAGGATAGCTTTCCTTGGGTACTCCAATAGTGAGGTTAGAATAAGGGCCTGCGGTGAACGGCGGGGTGCTAGGTAGCTCCTCGTCGTGCGGATCCGATGCCTGCCCGGATGCATACCGCGCGACAGCGGTAACCTGCGAGACATGGTGCTGCAGGGACAGCGGGTGTGGGCGGGTAAGTCCCCGAAGGCTTGTTGTAGCCAAAGTATGTTTTGAACTTTCCAATAGAGGTGTCGTTTTCAAACCAAAGGTAAAAGCACACTGCTTCAGAGTGGCAAGTAAGCTGCCCCGCTGCGGGCGAAGGGCAAGCGCCCTACGGCCAGCGAGACAATTCAGAGAAGGACTCATGCTGTCTCGAATGAAAACGAGCAAAGGGAGAAGCTGGGAACCCGCATCTGCTGGCGATTTTCAAGAAAGTTCCAAAAGAAGGCACGGCTATCAGCTGGAAGAAGGCCAGAATGCAGTGTGAGTGAGCACCACAAGTGCCACGGTTTGCGAGGCATGGTGGTACAATAAGGCGGTACCTTTGGGCCGCGTGTTTGTATTCTGCCGAATTAAACACGACCGCGCATTGCTTCCCCGCACTCCTCCACTCTGCCCTGCATGAACCCAGCCCAGGATTCACGAGTCCACGAGACATATTACAACACACTCCTCTCCTCTTCATGAGTCTTCGACGGTTTTCACGCGACGTTAAGTGCGTCTTGGTTGTTTGGCAATAGAATTTGCAATTCAGAACGTTATGAGCCTTTATCCACAATGTTGTCCTTTCACGGAAGATGGGTGCAGGTTCCCCGCTCGTGCCAGGCGATCACGCGCTGTGGGGCACAGTCCCAACCGTCTGGTATATCTTCCGTTCGAAGCGCGCTTGGTGTCTTAGGTTCCGTCCACCAACGCATCCGGCTGGAAACACTCACAGCAAATGCAATCAATCGCCCGATTCAGCGACGCGCACACATCGGAGGGGCCTTCACAATGGAGTGCTTCACTGCTTGGATCCCATTCTTCACAACTGCAGACAATCACTCAAAATTCGTTGGGAGAAATGTAGCAGTAACGACTTTGTTTGGACTTTGTTCAATTCAGATCACATGGTGGTAGGCAGGAGAAAGGCTAGTTCAAAAGAGCACATATTGTTACATTACAACTACCAAGATGCTAAAATCATACTAAGGAGTGACTGTGCGACGAGCGAATGCTCAATGTAAAGCCAAAGAGTTATTTACAGAAACGAAGAAGAGTATTAGTCATGATAACCACCGTCAACCATCACCATCTCGATTTTTCATGCGCCCATGCGATGCAGATATAAGTCGTTGTTGTTGTCGGAAGAACTGCAAGAGTTTACTCGTCACGCTTGTTCTTGAAGTAAGACCAGCCACCCCAGTTGAAGCTGGCGTTGACATCGACGTCCCAGGTGAAGGACTTCTGGCATCCCCACTTGGAGGTACCACCGACGCTGATGTCGAGGTTGGCCTGGGTGGCAAGGAACTTCTTGGTGAAGAGACGGCAGTGGGTACCGAAACCCTTGCCGTCCTTCTCGAGGTAAGCAGCCTGGAACTGAACGCAGCCACCCTTGTTCATGCCGAACATGGAGAGCCATGCGCCAATGATGCCGTGCTTGCGGTTGACCTCGTTCTGCTTCTGGGCGTAGGCGGCGCAGAGAGAAGGATCGAAGGGACCGGGGAAAGTAGTCTGACCCATGCAGTAGGGCTGCTGGTTGTGGAGCTTGTGGCCGCAAGATTGGGGCTTGCTGCAAGAAGGAGGAGTAGGAGGGTTGTAGGTACCCTTGTTGTAGCCGTTCGACGCGACAATGACGACTTCGAACCCATCCTGGCCCTGACCAACGTTGGTAGCAGACTCCTTCTTGACATCCTGTCCCCAGAGAGTGCACTTGAAGCGGGTGACCGAGTCGGGCTTGTCGCAAGAGCACTGGCGCGGGTTCCACTTGGGGTCACGCTCAATGTAGAGGTTGAAACCAGTGCAGGTGGAGGTAGAGTCACACTTGGCAGCGCAAGCAGCAGTGTCGTAGCTGGTAAGCTCGTAGTATCCGAGGTAACCGCTGCCCTCAACGGAAGCACTGAGGTCAACGAAAGAAGAGGTGTAGCCAGATGGCGACTTAGCACTAGTAGCCAACTTGTGGTAGACCTCGTTCTTCTTGAAAGCATCGGCAGTGTCGGGGGTGGTAGGTGGGCCGTAAGCGTTGGGCTGAGCAGCACATGGGTCATCGGGGTTGATGAATCCGCAGTAAGTGCCGACCTCGATCTGAGTAGCACAGGCTGGGTCGGCAGTGAAAGCGTAGGTGTTGGTCCAGTCAACCGGGCTGCACGAAGATGGTGCAAGGTTGGTAGAGGATGGGTTGGCCGCGGGTGCGGTGGTGGTGGCAGGAGCAGGAGCCTTGGTAGGAGCAGGAGCAGGAGCAGGGTTGTGCTGCTGGTTCCAGTTCCACCAGAAAGTAGGGTCGCGTGCCTCAAGCTGGGCACCAGCGGTCCTCTTTGCCTGCTGAGCAGTAGCAGCGCCAGTAGCGGCAGCGGCGGCGACATCCTGAGCCTTGGCTTGGTTGTAGGCTACTTCTTCAACGAGACCAGCCTTGGGGCCCTGAGCGAGGTTGTTGGTCATGGAATCGAATTGGTTGACATCGAATGCCTGAGGGGCAGGAGATGCGGCCACGAGGGCAGCAGCCCCGAGGAAGAGAGAGTAACGCATATCGAAAGATCGAAAAGAAGGGTAGCGAAAGTGGTGTAGGAGATTGTAGTAGTGAAAGACCGATGCTGATGAGCTGATGATGAGTTATTGCACAGTGTGCCGGAGGGTCTTATATACATAAGATGCGCATAGTCATGCGCTGTCTACCTCGGTGATAGAGTACTGATTTGAGATCGATGTCATGGGTGGAGACGAAGAAAAGGCCGGTAAGTTCGACCTGTCTTCCTGAAAGAGTTGGCGGCGGTACCTGGAAACAATAGTCCTCCAAACTTTAGCCTAGCTCCGGGTGAACTGTCGTGGTCGCCAACGCCAGGAACGTGCAGCACGCATGCAGGTACCGGGGCCGCCACCAATAAGAGCCCAATGGCAGTCTGAATCTGGACTTGATAGATGCAAGGCTTATCAGCTTATCTCATCGTGAATCCACGAGGTCAAAGGCTTTGCTGAGTCTCTCAAGGCCATGTTGTTGCGATGTGATGCTATCTCAACCTTTAGGACGATACTACGTCAAAGATCGACACACCAGAGATGATGCCGCTGCAGGTGTCGACGACCCGAGGCTTTGCATCACGGCCAAAGTGAATCGCTAAGCGAAAGCTTGGGTTATTTTTGATCCCGACGTCGTCCCGAAGTGTTCTAGAGCCCCACTTAAGCGGTTAGCTTAGAGACTACTTTCACTATATCAATAGTCTACCTCCAGGGAACCAGACTTGCGCGCGCAGAGGTCCCGATCAGCTCATCAGGGGTAGACTGTTTGTGTGAACGTTTCAGCGGTGTTGATCTTTTCAGCCTTGCCTAAAGCGACTTCTTTGTCCGTTCCTTCGTTTGTACCCGTTGGGAATCTTCCGCGATGGATTTCCTCAGATCTTGTGCTAAGCATTGGTACTTGCATCGATTTGCACATGGATAGCACATTGCGAGTGATAGCACATTGCGAGTAGTAGCATGAGTGACCCGTGATCGCTACGATGCCATAATCACTATGCCTCTCTCCACCCGCGGCGATGCGAGGCAGATGCGAGCAGTCGAGAAGTGGGTTTCTTTGGCCAGGAGCTAGGTACCTGAGCTAGCCATCTTCGTTCTCTGGAGTTGTGACGATGTGGATGCTCGCGTACAGATGCTGTCGATGGACGTCGCAGAGGTCATGCAGGGAGTCGCTGTGTACCACGGGACTCTCAGGGGCCCGAATGTCCTACCCTCCCTTGGCTGGTGCCCGGCAGATCTCGCGTACCCGCTCGCACACCGGTCTATACGCTGCCAACCTTCTGGGCCGAGAACCGAGTCTGACGGTATACGGCAAGTATCCTCGTACTGGATGCCTTGTTGTCTTCGCAATTTATTGTTGCGGCCTTGTTGTTCATCTGCCTGATCAACACTCGGGATAGCGTTCGTGCGTCTCGACACTATCGATAGTCGCTAGACGAAAGTTGTTCCCAGGGTCACCCCACGATGCACTGTTGTGCGCTGGCGAGTCCATCGTCGATCTAGCACAACTGTTGCTAATCCTGTGGTGATGGGTTCCAGGAGACGAAGAAAACCTGGTGTGGATCGCTCCGGAACACAAGGGGTGGAGACTGCCTAAACGGCTCGGTCGATCTCGCTAGCGCCCTAAGGTTTGGCTAGCAGTCAAGTGCTGCCCAGGTGCTCAGCCTCACCACCGCTTCTACTCCTACCGCTACTGAGCGTCAACGGCTGCCCTGTCACCATCTCTCAACTAAGTCCGCTCGCGTTTCTCAGCTGTATTGCCAATGCTCTGGCCCCTCAGTGTCGTCTGTGGCTTGACGTCAGGCCATGAACCGCCATCTTGGCTTGCGCCTCCGCCACGACTTGGTCATCGACTACGTCGGATCAATCGCGGGGTACCAAACATATGCTCACAAATAATGTAGCGACTCATGTATCGTAGGTATGCTCGCTTGGTCAATCGAGATCCAGACTTCTGCAAAGCCTGAGGCAGAACGCCACCGCAAATAGACCAACTCGCTCTCGGTATCGTGAATACGAAACGTAAACAACCCTGAGCGCATGAGCCACTTGGGCCTCCTGAGCCACACTTCGGCCGAGATCCGGCTAGTCCACTGCTGACGGCGAAAGGGGCCCCTTCGGACTTAACAAAGCGGAGCGGCCACTGCTCAGCGCTGAGCGTAACAGCGAGCACGCACTCTTGAGGTCATCACTATTGCCAACACCCAGTAATTGACACGAAATAGGGCAGCGCATGGACCCACAGGATATCCTTATCTTCAAGTCTGGTTGAGCAAATCGTTTGATTTGGTCACGGGTGCATCTTAAAACCATAAGCTCTCATGTGTTGAGAGCTTGTCTCAGATTCCAGAGCTGGACTGCGAACGAATATTACGTCGTATCGACCATTTTGTCTCGATGCACGCGTAAGGGCATATTACAGTCTGCGAGTTCGATCGAGTATGAGAAAGACAAAGCTTCTCAGCGGGGCAGTTCTAAACTACATTGCTATCAATATCCTCTCAGCATGCTTCTTTGGTGTTTCATGGAGACAAGCAACTTACTCGCTTTCTATCTTTCACAGGTTCACAGGTTGGCAAGTCGATGGATGAGAGTTCCCACAGCCAGGGCCGATCATCCTTTCTGACGACTATAGTACTTTCGAATTTCCTGACGTGTCAAGAGTCATCTTCTTACGATTTAGCAAGAGCGTACCGCGAGCAGCTGTAAAGCTTCGTGGGCAAACTAGACCTTCCACTTGTTCTCCTGTCCAGTTCGGATGTGCCAATGGATCGTCAAGGCGTAGGCGCTCCTCACGCTATCTACCAAACACATGAGCTGGTAAGAACGGCAGCATTAACAAATCTTGTGACTCCGTATATCGAATTACCCGGAGGCGAGAAGGTTGCCAGAACCGAGGCTTGAGGCGAATGGAAACCCCCGACGGATCGATTAATGTACATTCATATGAGAAGAGATTGAGAGAAGTCACAACGAGTGGAGACGGTTTTACTCTACTTGTCTATACATTCTTTCTTGAAGCCGGAAGCTTAGATCACCGTATGGCTGATGATCCCGGGTAAACCCTGCATATTGATCGGAAGAGACGAGCGAGGATTTACCAGATCGCATATTACCCAATTACGCGACCCGTTTACCGAGCATACATATTGCGGGTTAAATTACCGCGTACCAGTCGAGACCAAGTTCTGTAAGCACAATACCCCAGGATTCCGGGACCTGGATATGGCAATACTATCCTAAGTCGTCGGTTTGGCTGTCGCCCACGCATCACCTGATCTTCAACTCCACCCCAGATACATCGATATTGCCTCACCGATGCTGGAGACTATTTTAAGCGCGTCAATCCGCGGCAGAGCACTATCATGCAAGTCCAGAGCCTCCCTGTACGCAACATGGCAATCAAAGACCCATCCAAGCTTTTCGTATTCTCACTATAATGCTTTTTTGTCTTCTTGGATCATGGTGGCACGCCACCACCAAAATACCACAGAATGCGACAGACTTCTGACTGCAACGCAGATCACTACCTTTGTAAAGTACTGGTCTCCGTGCATCTCCAGTTGCTCTTGGTCATAGTCTCGTATCCCTCATATCGTCAAGGTCCCGACTTCGGCGCCACTAGATCACTCAATCTAAGGAGCATCTCAACCACCCTGGCTCATGTTTAGATATCGTTGTCTTAATACCGAATTACTTCTCCCGAAGCTAAATTTGGGAACTGGACTAGCTGTTTTCAGGCCACATCGCCTCCAGACTACCACAAGAACCATGTCGGAACATATCCGATGCGGCATAGCGAGGCAGTGCAGGGCATGAAGGTCTAAAGCCACGAAAAGACGTGGTATATAAATCAAGTCTTCATTCCTTCTTGTTGGAACCCATCGCAGATCAACAGCCTTCACTACCAACACTCACTTCAACGCCCACCACTACCAACGGTCTTTGTCTCTGCAACAGCAAACATGCACGCCAAAATCGCTGCTCTTCTCCTCCCGGTCCTCGCCGCGGCCAACCCTCTGCCCCAGACTACTACCGACGATGCTCCTCCCGCAGAGCAGATCACTATCGTTGACACGTCATACTCTGGTAACGGATGTCCTCAAGGCTCCGTGTCCACCAGTACCTCGACCGACAAGACTGTGAGTATAATCCCAACGCTTCCCATCTGGGCTTAGGAGATGGATGTAGTCTTACTTCCGCGATCCATATCACTATATACCTCCAAAGGACTGGAGAGTCGGTATGGTAAGAAAATCGGCTCACACTACGACCAGGTCATCACTTACGGATTCGATCAATTCCAGACCTACATCGGTCCTGGTACCGTGCCAGCGGGTAAGCCCAAGCCCGTATCCCTCACGAGAAACAAAATACCAATAACTGCTCCACAGACCGCAGCAAGAACTGCCAGCTCCACCTAAACTTGAAGTACCCCGGCGGCTTCCAATACGCCGTGGTAGACGCCACCTACCACGGCTGGGCGCGCCTCGATGAAGGCGTAACCGGATCCTTCATCACGACCTACTACTTCTCGCAAGACGCCGGCAAGACGCAAACCACGCGTATGTCTGCCGTAGGCGGCGGCGCCCTGCTGAATGGCCAAGTCTACACCAAGCAAGACAGCGTTGAGACCACCGCTACCATCTGGTCGCCATGTGGCCAGAACGGCATCCTCAACATCAACAACAGAATCTCGCTTACGAACAAGAAGTCTGACCAGGCGGGTGAAATGAGCAACGACGATGCTACTGTTGCTTTTACCCAGCAGCTTCATGTTGCGTGGAGGAAGTGCACACCTTCTGGCTCAGGTGGTGGAAGTGGCAGTGTTATTGGCATTGGAAGCCCCAGCGCGGATATCGACTTTGAGTAGGGGATGAGTTGGAGTGAGCATCTAGGTAGCGGGTGGTGAAGGGGTGGCTGTAAAGGATGGACGATGATGGGGTTGGACTTGTAAATAGTCGATTACGGTGTTCCTGTTTAGTCGTGAATGTCAAAGTTGCTGCTTTCTGAAAAGGTCACTCGGTGACGTGATCTAGAGAATTTTGGTCTGCCAATCAACATCGTAATGGTCGCAGAGGTATGAGAAATTGATTATAGTGCCTGCTTTACCTCCATCGAGGCATGCGTACAAAGCTAATGATATGATGCATCTAAAGCGAAGAAAGATAGCAACGTTTTCCTCATCGAGCCTGCAGATCCCTCGGCCCATCTGACACCAAGCTTAGACCTCAGACCCACACTGATCTCGTAATCTCAGCACATGGCCGTTCCACATGCCACCAAAACACTTGCTTCCCATAAACCAACACACTGCCCAGAAAAAGCCCTCTAATCATACAGAATGCCACCCAACAAAAGACCGAAACATGGCACTACCGCGAGATGCGTCGATCCTGAATGGAACGCAGAACCTCAAGCCAACCACCGTCGTCAACATCGCCGTCCCCTATGTATGCGACAAGAAAGTATCAGGAAACTGAAGAAGATCAATAGGTTGCCACTAGATACTTACCATTAAATGCAGCCATGTTTGACGAAGATCCACCCCCATTGACCACGATTGGGTTGCTATCGACGACATGGACTGCCAAGCCGTTGCCTGCAGACGTGACTGGTGGGTCTGTAGCAGAGTTACGAATGCGAATGAGCGTGATCCGTATCCGAAAGGTACCAGCCCGACGAATGACAAGCTCGGGAAAGCGCATGTAGCCCACGCCATGGGGGTCGGCCATGTCCATGGAGGCAATGGATCCATCCGCTTCATCATCGTTGAACGGGTGAATAGAATCGAAGACGCGCCCGGTGAGCAGTGCGTTGAGAGCATTTGTGTCCACAGACGCTGGTGTGTTTGGACCAGGGACCAGAGCGGCGACAGCGACCAGGTTCGTCGAGTCTGCAACGGCTTCATTTGTATCGGCGTTGATGGTTCGTAATCGCACGACAATGGATCCAGGCAATGCTTGACCAACCTGGGCAGTTCGCGGTGGCTGCACCACGATGTCCATGGCGTACCGGATCTCTTCCGGGGATAGCGAATTTTGACCTGATCTTGATCTTGATCTTCCTGAAGTGCGGGCGTTTCCGGAGTGATGTCTTGAACGAACGGACCTGCTTCCTAGCGCCCTTGGTCTCGCGACGTCAGCCATCGAAGACGTGGCGTTGGCTAGCTGATGATCAGTCTCGCCGTTGAGTAATCCCGCGATACGAGCGGAGCGTCTTAGTGACGCGTGGCTGCGGCTGTTTCCGACGGTGGTTTGCCGCGAAGTGGTCCTGGAATTGGATGCTGATGGCGGGTCTGACGTATCTCTCCGAGAAGATGCGCCCCGGGTGGGATGTTGGTTTCTACCTCTTCCACGTCGTGGGCCCCTTCGCATCTGAAGAAGGCTGAACCTGTTTCTCTTAGTAAATTTTCATTAAAGACCGTGAGTCAGACAGATGATAGCTCTGCCGCTATGTTGTGAAGTGGTGTCTTTTGTTGTTGACGCGAGAAACGATGTGGAAAAAGCAAGGGAAGCAACAAATTGCTGATGAGTAAGTTGCCGGACAAGACTGAGAAGAAACTCCAACATATGACGAGGCCTTGTATCAACGATAGGCGGTGTTGGATAGTAAAGATATAGGAAATGAAGTCAAGCCACGAGTCAGACCTCTCATCTAAACTCGCTTGGTGAACATGGGGCCGCCCCTCCATTAGGATGACGATGGATCGTTCGGTGCAGTTGAACCCAATACTAGGGCCCTTTAATCTCATAGCCGCCTAGCAAAGAGCAAAAGTGCAGCAGCAAGCGATATTTCGACAGATATAGGCAGAGGTTGAGGTTTGGAAGTCGGTCGCCAGTCCGCTTAGGCCCCCGGTACTGCCCCACATCCCGGCGGCCCTCCAGTGGAGAGACTGCCCTTTGCGCCTTCCTTTGCGTTGTTAATGCAGCGATGCGGCTAAAAGGCGGGCAGCTATCCATGCGCGGAGGATGGAAAGACGCGTAAAACGGCGGACGACGGGCGGCCAGAGAAGGAAAAGACAGCGCGGAGTGTGTGGTAGAGATGCAGCAGATGGTGTTGCAGGGAAATTGACGAATGTGATGCGTCACAGGAACCCGGCCGGCCATGTGGCAACAGGGATGTAGGATAAGGACAGGGTGAACGAGCAACCAAGCGAAATGAACTGCTCACCTTCTGGCTTGTCACTCCCGCCCGCCTGTTCCTGAGCGTGTGCGGGATATTATCTCGCCGTTTGCTTGTGGCGTGGCACGATGACGCTGCACTCCTTTGCTGCGCGAGCCGTGCTTGACGTGACTTGACTTGACTTGCTGATGCCAGCGGATGTGCCTCTATCTCACTGTTGCAGCGTCGATATCGGCTGGGCAGGGGCTTCTTCGGGGCCTCTAGAAGGTGCCGGCTTTGTCAGAGTCCTGTGACGCTCTATGCTGCTGTTGTATATCAGCCATGCTTTGCCCACACAGCCAGACGTGTCTTTTCTCATCCAACACCCATTACTGCTTTGCATTGACGGCAGAACCGCCAATGGGGCGTCATTCTTCCAGGACCACACCCTCTGCAGTCAACGGAGCACTTCCGACGTACCTCTGCTTGGCTGCCGTATTCGATGTCAAGCACTATACTATACACGGCCGGAGACAAGCCTGAAAGCGGCGTCGGGATGTCGTGGACCGTCGTCGATGGTGGAGGTGATGAAGATTGTCTCACTTGATGAAGGAGTCTGGAGCCAATGCCTTGGAGTCCTGGGCGGCAGTCTGCTTCCTGTGGTCAATCGGCCATCTCAGAGACGGTGAGTACGCCGTCTTATACAGACTCCTCGGACTGCCAGCATTTAGAAGACTTTTACCTGTTGCAGTGGGCTGCAGGTCTCTCGTGGCTTGCCGCCCTGCGCTATTGGTCTGAGCTGAGTGTCGCCCAGTTCCCCAACGCGTCCGCCTGCTTCCATCTTTTCTAGTATGGTGAATCACGCCGTCCCTGTGCCTGTTGCGCATCGGTTTAGCGTTGCCGCCAACATCATGTCGCCCATGGAGCTCTGGAGTATGGCGTTCTTGATGTGCATCTCCCAGCCAGTAGCGCCGGTCCGCCCTACGGCTAGCATCGCACGATTGCCGATCCGAGGCACGACCACGGACCAACGTCATGGTAGAGCTGCGTGGCCTCCGCGAGACTACCAATTACCAGTCCATCGCCCTGGTACAAGCCTGCGTGACACGCGCCGCTGCACTTTGCGGCATCGCCATCAGCTTGGCGAAAAAAGACAATCTCTTCCCTCAGGCCTCAGCAAGGACTTCGTCCGTGCGCGCCTGCCCTTTTGGCAGCCACCTCCATCTGCCATGAACATCACTTCCGCACACCCCTTCGAAGAACTCGACGCAACTCTCAATACTATCACGGACCCTGTCCGAAGTTCTCCGCGAGTCTATCCGTGCCAGAACAGCGATACTCGGAAGCTGATTCTTGTACTACGAACGGCTACGTGCAGCTCTCACATGGCACCTTAGACATCTGTCAGCTTCATCGAGAGCTGTTTATCCAGCTTTACCGGATTGTGTAACACCTTCTACCTCGATTTTGCCGTCCTCCTGGTCTGTCTTCCGAATGTTGTTACGCAAACCGGTTCTGCAGGGTTCCAAAAGAAATTTGCCGTACCCCATCCTGTTTGGCCTTGTGTACAAGATCTGCTCACACGAGATTCTCATCACGGCCGATATATGGCTTCTAGATGGCACTGTATTTCGCCCGTAAATTCTTGAGCTGTTTGGTTATCGAGTGCTACTAGGGATCTTACTTATTAAGACCCTAGTCTGTGGTCCAGCATTCCCTCCGGACTTTGAGGTTTCCCAGCACGAACCGTCGTTTGACAGGGTGCCCCTGTCCTTTACCTCGTCCCGCCTCCTAGTGGCCGCATCCGATTTGCGCAACATGCGCGAGAGCTTGGATGGGAAGGCCGGCAAGGATTGCTCACTTTAGCGCTGTATGCGGTCCACTGGAGACTTGATTTATCGAACCGTGGAGGCTGAGAATGATGTGGTGCTTTCGCGGAAGCGGATGACAGTGACCGGAACCACATGACTGGACAGCTTCTTTCATCACGAGATCCGGCAATCTGGGACCTACTCGTCAACTTGACTGCTAGATGCGGAACCTCGCCGAAGTTCTGTCCAGGTCCCACTTCATCCACCCTCTTCCAGATGTTTGCGCTTCCTTTACTCCACTGTACTATTCCAAAGCTACACATTCAGAACAGCCACTTATCGATTCCTTGTTGACCAATCGATCGCCGCCTCCGCGTCATGCATGTGTTTGAATGCATAATCTTTCGTCTCAACTGACGTTCATGGCCAACAAGTTTTTTATCAGCAATTTGCTCTCGAATTTACTTCATCAAAAGCGATATACGGGCCGCACTGCTCATGTCAGTCATCGACCCCGGCGCATGCGTGGTCAAAACGCAGATGATCGCATGGATTACCGCTCCTTTCCGAGGAAAAGGACACCTGGAACTTCCACATCGGGATTTCCGTCTCAGATGGCGTTCAAATTACACGATTACATCTGCGTCAGATCTGTCTTCAAACCCAGGCATTCCGTCGACCATACTGTTGGGAACGCCCAGAAGCCATTCCTAAATCGATTGGGTCCCCATGCGATTATGTCTCAAAACAATGTGAGGTGCGGAAATTAAATACTTGTACGACGTTTCGCACATCGCCGCCCTTCCAGGTACACTGCGACCCTGCGCATGCAAGAATGGATTCTGAATTCGAGATCGTACAGATCCATGAAATATCTAGCGCTTTCAGATCTGCCACCGGCTTTTCACATGTGCACTGAGCAGGGATTGCAAGTACTTGAGCGCGGGCCCTCATCATTCCATCCGGCATACTACCGACCAGCCTCTGACGGCGGGTTGAGAGTGACTGTAGAGGAAAGCTCATGTTAGTAGAGTGTTTGTATAGCTTTCCAGGTTTAGCTTCGGTAGGAAATTCTGACATCAAGTGGTCAGTATGTGCTTAATCTCAGTCGCTCCAAATAGCGCGTCGATCGATTTTGAGGAAAAGCTGATAACATGTCGCTACCTAGGCAGGGTCTATCTTTCAACTCTAGCGCAAACATCCATACGGTCACACTCGCATATATCAAGGCCGCTGGTGTTGCAAGTATAGAACGAGGCAATATCTTTGGAATCGCGACTCATATATGAACGCCTCAACGGGCTGCCGCAACCACAACCCCATGCGACTACCCGGACTTCTTCTTTGCATCGAAACGTGTAGGGACATGTATTGAGAGGCGCCCGACGGCTTATAAGTATCACGTAGGACGTGAGGTCGCGGTCCGCGACACAAGAATCCGACACTACGGGTCCATCGCGCCTACGTTAGTAAAACCGCTAGTCATACCATTGAGGAATCGAGGCCGCGTGTGCTGAGTACTACATCAAAGGGTCTGTTCGTTGGAATCCATCTCTCAGCAGCCACTGAGACAGAATCGATCGGCCTCTGCTTAGTGCGCATATATTGGTCGGAAGCAGCATTCACGCGCGGGCACACGACAAGCAACGCTGAAGATACTGCCTGCGAGCTTGAGTGGAAATACGAAATCTAGTAAGATTTGCAATGCCACGTTGTTGATGTGCGAAGATGGAAGCGAGGAACTGATTCGTTCCACTCAACATGTCCTTTCAACTTTCTGAGCTTCTCTCCAATATATATAGAGATATATATATATATCCAGCTGTATCGGTAAGTAAATTTTATTGATGTGTAGAACACTCGATGCAGTCGTACGACAAGTACATGGTGGTATGAACATTGCGACGCGCAAGCACTTCTTACTACACTGCAGCAATATTAGGGTGCGCGAATCGATTGACATGTAGGAAAGGCCTGCAAACGGGCCTACTGGCTAGCTTGCGTCATGCGGCGGCAGTCGCCTGGTTCTAGTTGGGTACCTGCCTTCCCAGCAGAACGCAAAGGCCGCCCCTTCACCTCACCTTTCACGTACCTGCCAGAACATGAGGTGAAAGCTCTCGGTATGGGTGGCATAGGCTCTCACTAACGTTTTCTTTTCTTTGTTCTTTTGGCACTTACCTACGTCACTGCTACAACTGCAACTCGATAGACCTCCATCAACATGTTACAGCGGTGTGCGCGTTTCATCGGCTTTCGCAATGCCATTATATTCATTGCCGGCTTGGGTGTCCTGCTTCTCTGTAACAGCGTTCTGTTGCTCTGGCAGTTCCGCTCGCCTTCACGACCCGCACATCGCGACAAGCTAATTGACCATGGACCAAGCACGCAGCAAATGCATCCCATCGATGAGCTCATGGTAGACGCGCAACGCAAATTTGGAGAACTCATCTCAGAACGAACATACGACCTGAATTCGGCAGCCGAAGCATACCGACAAAGGCGTGGTCGTAATCCACCACCTCACTTTGACGCCTGGTTTGAGTATGCGCACAAACATGATGCGGTCATCGTGGAAGGACTGTTCGATCAGATCTACCGTGATTTGAGACCTTTCTGGGGTGTGCCTGCAAAGAGTATGCGTGGCTTTGCACAGCACTATGACCATCACATCACCGTAAGGAACGGAACCGCTAGCATGACGGGAAACCAGGGCCCAGGCACGCCGACGGACCGTATGTTCGCGTGGTGGGACATGGTAAGGCGCATGGAAGGCATGCTGCCTGATCTCGATTTCGCCGTCAACGTTATGGATAAGAGTCGAGTCATCGTACCGTGGGAGGAGATGAGCAATTACACCCAGATTGAGACCCTGACGAGGAAAATACTGCCTGGTGACGAGACCAGCTCCGAGTACAGTGGCTTCCAAGCGGTGGACGAGACGTCTGAAGAGCTGCTCCAGGTAAATTGGTTGGGCCCCGGAGAGCCATATTGGGAGATGGCGCGGAAGGCATGTCCACCAGATTCACCTGGCCGAGACCAAGTCGCCGCCACGAACCTTGCTGGACCTCCTCCTTTCCCTCGGAGCTATCCAGAGCATTCGTATAAAGGCTACGTGCAGAAGTGGGACTTGGCAAGAGATGCTTGCCAACAAAATCATCTACAAGAGTCGCATGGAACATTCATCGAGCCGATCTCTATATCAACTACCCACGCTTTGGTTCCCATCTTCGGTGAGACCAAGTTACAGCAGAATGCAGACATCGTCATTCCTCCTGCTGCATATCTCTCTGAGACGTTTGCAGGCGGTGACTACTCGGGTACGAATCCCGATGGCAAAAGCTGGTCGACGAAGATCGCAGGTGCTGTATGGCGGGGTGTCGCTAGCGGAGGTCGTAACAAGGCAGAGAACTGGACGCGTTTCCATCGGCACCGCTTCGTGTCCATGTTGAATGGAACATATGTGCACAACCTGGAGATGGGCGCAAAGGTAGCGAATGGAGGCGAAACGTACAGCCCGCAGTCATACACCACGTATCATCTGGAAGCGACAAGACATGTGAATATGGGTGCTTGGCTTGACCGGATTGCGAATGTCGGCTTCACGGACCTTTTGTGCTTTCCACATTCCGGTAAGCGAACTTGCGACTACAACGAGCAGTGGTTTGGGGCTGTAGAGAAGGTTCCCATGTCCGAGCAGTTTAACTACAAGCTCCTCCCTGACATTGATGGCAACTCATTCTCTGGACGTTATCTCTCCTTCCTTCGTTCGACATCCGTTCCCATCAAGGCGACGATCTACTCCGAATGGCACGACGACCGGCTGATACCATGGCTGCACTTCGTGCCAATGGACAACTCGTTTGTCGACATGCACGCTATATTGGACTATTTCCTAGGGACTGGAGATGACCATGTGGCGGTGCTGTATGGTGCCCACGACAAAGCAGCGGAGAAGATCGCATTTAGCGGCCAGGAGTGGGCTAACAAGGTCTTACGCAAAGAAGACATGTACATTTACACTCTGCGGTTATTGCTCGAATACGCGAGGCTTTGCGACGATAATAGAGAGCAGCTGGGCTTCGTCAGGCACCCAGTCAAAGGCGGTTCAGGAGATGAAGCATGAGAGGGCAAACGGAGATGCGAAACAGTCATTGCATGGAAGTACACATCACATGTGAGCCCGACTCGTCCTTCTGCATCGACGGGACTGCATCTGACTCGACCTGTATACGAGCCATGGGTGGCGCATGTTGTACCTGCCTGGCCGTGGCGACGCGCAGGACCATCAGCACGCATATATGCCGCCCTGTAGGTTATGCGCGTGTCAGAATCTGGAGGCACAAGATCTGAATCGTGTGAGGCGTGCGTATACGAGCCTCATGTTGACGTCGTGGCACCTTTGTAGCGCGAAATCGGCGATGGAACAGATTGATAGTAGTCTGGATTTTCGAGGCACTCATGTTTTGTAATAGGAGCTTTTTCTTGGGATGAGATGACTCGATGTGATGCTAAGTGATCACCAAGGTGGCTGCGACGATGTCGGGTTGGGGGGCTCAGGCCATGTTCAGCCTCACGTCGCTGCCCCTCCTAAATTTTATACTAGCGCGATAGCTCGCATCTCTCGCGAACCATTGACGCATCGCAGCTACCCCACATCTGGCATGCAGCAAAGCCTGGCAAATATTTGTCGCGCCAGACTTTTTCCCTCTTCTAACGCTTGTTTGACGAGGCCGCTGGCGACTCTCTCATTTTCTTTGACTCAGAGACGCAGCCGTAGTCCAGTCATACTGAAACAGCCTGCCCTAAAGTCCAACACCCCGCGCGCGTCCACCCTTCACACACTCTCCTCCCCACTGCGGCCGCACACACGTCCGCGACATTATCTACACAACCAGTCCATCCCACACGGGCACAACAGTCCTAGAGCCGCAGCAGCCTCCACACTACTACGAGACTACTTCCAGTTCGACGCTGCTTCCCTCAACCCCCTCCGCAACCTCGACGCGTCGGCGCGCTCATCAGTCAGCATGGAGGACCTCACCAACACGCTCGCGACGCTCGGCCTCGACAAGGTCCCGCAAGAGCCCAACACATACCCCGCCCTCAACCCCTTCGACATCTACCGGAGTCACATCACCGAGCTGCTCTCGTCCGTCTCAGGCGTAGACAAGCAAATAATATACCCCACACTAGCATGGACGGCAAAGCCGGAGCATGGAGACTTGCAGCTGGCCGTACCTGCGCTCCGCCAAAAGAAGAAGGACATGAAGGCCTTCGCGCAGGAGCTGGCAGATGCCTTCCCCGAGTCGCCGCTGGTTAAGAAGCCAATCGTCACAAACACGTCCATTGGCTTCTTCTTCAAGCCAGAGACGCTCACTTCGCTTGTCCTGCCCATGGTTCTCAAGTCCAAGGAGGCATATGGTTTCAACAAGAACCTCGGCCTAAAGAACCCGCTCGACCCCTCCTCCGGCGCGAAGAAGATGATTGTCGAGTTCAGTTCACCCAACATTGCGAAGCCCTTCCACGCTGGTCACTTGCGAAGCACAATTATCGGTGGTTTCCTCGCAAACCTATACGAGGGCGCTGGTTGGGACGTCGTTCGCATGAACTACCTCGGAGACTGGGGAAAGCAATACGGCGTGTTGGCTATTGGTTTCGACCTCTACGGTAACGAGGAGGAACTCGTCAAGAACCCTATTGGACACTTGTATGATATCTACGTCAGGGTCAGCAACGTACAACACGAAGAGGCGGAGAAAATGAAGGCTCTCAAGGCCGAAGCTGCGAAGCTTAAGGAAGAGGGCAAGGATGCGTCGGCGCAGGAGGCCGAGGTCAAGAAAATCGAAGCTGAAGGTATCGACGAGCAGGCTAGGAAGTACTTCAAGGGCATGGTAGACGGCGAGCCTAAGGCGCTCGGCATCTGGAAGCGCTTCAGGGTGAGTGGACCGAGCATGCAGGGTAAAGTACCAATACTGAACTGCGCAGGATCTGTCCATCGAAAAGTACAAGCAAACATATGCCCGACTGAACATTCACTACGACGACTACAGCGGAGAGTCCCAAGTCAAAGATGAGAGCATGGATCTCGCTGCTAAGATCATGTGGGAGAAGAAGGTCTGCGAGGACTCAGAGGGCGCTGTCATTGTCGACCTTACAAAACACTCCAAGAAGCTAGGCAAGGCCGTTGTGAAGAAGAAGGATGGTACTTCGCTGTACCTGACCCGAGACATTGGCGCTGCGATTGAGCGTGTCGAGAAGTACCACTTTGAGTATGCTAGTTCATCCTTACAATTCCCGACACTTTACTAACTTCGTCCCAGCCGTATGATCTATGTCGTCGCATCACAACAAGACCTGCACTTGGCCCAACTCTTCAAGATCGAAGAGCTCATGGGCAGGAAAGACATCTCAGACAAGTGCCAACACATCAACTTTGGCATGGTTCTAGGTATGGTCTCCATCCCATCTCGTAAAATCCGTCCAGGTCACTAATAACACCCAGGCATGTCGACACGAAAAGGCACAGCCAAGTTCCTCGACGACATCCTCCGCGACGTCGGCGACAAGATGCACGAAGTAATGAAGACGAACGAGACAAAATACGCACAAGTCAAAGACCCGGAGCAAACCGCTGACACACTGGGCATCTCCGCCGTGATGGTGCAAGACATGAAGGGCAAGCGAATCAACAACTACACCTTCGACATGGACCGCATGACCTCCTTCGAAGGCGACACAGGCCCATACCTGCAATACGCACACGCCCGTCTCTGCTCCATATACCGCAAAGCCTGTGACGCGGACCCCAGCCTCGCTGATCTCGATCTCACATCCGCTGATCTGAGCTTGCTGAAAGAAGACAAGGCTGTGGAGTTGGTCCGCCAGTTGGCGTCGTGGCCAGATACTTTCCTCAACACGCTCAAGACGCAGGAACCCACTACGGTGCTCACGTACTTGTTTAAGATGGCGCATGCGCTCAGCAGTAGTTACGATCACTTGCAGGTTGTGGGCTCGGAGAAGAACGTCATGATCGCCCGGTTGGCGCTGTATGTTGCCGCTAGGCAGGTCTTGTACAATGGTATGAGGGTGCTTGGACTCAGCCCTGTCGAGAGGATGTAGAGGTTTGTACAGAAAGAAGCTGCATTCATTGCATGGATACGGGAAATGAGAAATGAGACTTTGTTCAAATTACCATCCAAGGCATGCATCGCATCGCGAAGCAGAGATGTAACGAGACTTTTGGAACACAGTGTGATCGGATGGAAGGTTGATCGATTGCTTGTTGTTACATACAACGGGCTTTCTAGCTAAGAGCTACCAACTTGTATACTATGTAACATGACGATATGTTGACAGACAGACAGCCGGCCAATGAGGTAAGACAACAAACTGAACTAGCTGCCCAATTTGAAACGCCATCCGATGTGTTGTAAAGCTTGCTCTCCACACACTGCCGGCGGGATATGTACAGTACAACACAACCCGTCTCAGTGCTGGAGTTGAGAGGTTGTCTATTTGAGTGGAGTTTATGTATGGTTATATGTTCATGATATGTAGTGAAGGTGAGGGGGTTAGGAGCGAGTCGTGATCGGGTGGTGTAAAGTGGGAAACGACCAAAGGGCCAATGACTCCGGGGAAGTGCTGGGGAAACAATGCTGGAAAACGACGCTAGAACGCTGCAAACAAAATGGAACAGTGTGCCTTTAGGGGAATATTGCTGAGTGTGCTCGGCAAGGGCGTCAGGCCGCGGGCAGGGGAAAATGTGGTTGATCGAATGCGCTAGCCCCCTGTCATCTCGAAGATCCGTTTGACACCGCGTCTAGACACCCGAGCAACAGCTGCAACAACTCCAACCATAAAGGCGGCACGAAAAGACAGTACAAGAAGACTCAATGCAAGAACACAGACGGCCCACCCCGTCTCGTCCGGTTGCTAGATGCCATTGGCAACAGGCGGCCCTCCCACCCGAGGGTCCCCAGGGGGCAAACCTGGAACTTTGTGCGGGTGTGGATGGGGAGGATGCGGGTGATGCTGGCAGCCATGTGGGCAAGTAGCTATCGGTTCGTCGTAATCGTCGTCGTAGTACTCGTCCTGTGGATCCAGCGACCCTTCATCGTCACGCCGATCGTAGCCGCCAGGCGGAGGGTTTTGGTTGTGCTGAGCGTTGTTGGCATTGTTTTGTGCCTTCTTGCTCGCCTTCTTGCCCTTGCGCCCCTTCATCCTGGCCTTCTCCAACAGCCGCCGCTTCTCTGCCAGACGCTTGCGCTCCTTCCTGTCCTTGATCTCGTACTGCCTGATCAGAGCCATGGGAGGATGGCCAAATATGTCCTCGTACTCGCAGAATTCGCATATCCACGGCTGACTTGGCGGGTTGTGGAAGTTGGCATACTCTTGCTGAATGCGACGCTTGCGGGCAGCATACTCATACAGCTTTGAGGCGCTACGTCGCGGCTTTCGAGGCGGCGGTGCCTGTTGGGGTGGTGGAGGTCCGGTCGGACGTCGTGCAGTCCCATTGGGCAGGGGCGGTGGGGGGTATGCACCTGCTCCGTTCATGTTGGGGCTGGTCTGAGTGCCCTGGGTGGACACCATGGGCGCATCGGCGCGCACGGGGGGGCGTGAGCGGGCAGCTTGAGGGTGGGGTGAAGGAGAGGCAGCGGCATTGGGGTATGCGCCAGGCGGTTGGGGGTACTGGCCGTTTTCCTGGCCCGGCCAGACCATCTTGTTGGCCGAGTCAGAGCCGCAGGTGAAAGTGAATTGGGTCTTGCTAGCAGTATGCTTGGCGGCTTCCTGCTGCAGAAGGCTCACGTTTTCGTTGCCCGGGGGTGGCGGGGTCGCGTTTGCGTTGGCAATAGCAGTGGAGATGATGCCGCTTTGCTCCGGAGGTCCTAGAAAACAAATCGTTAGCGCACGGACTCGTTTAGTAGTAAAGACGTATCAATTCCCGAGGTGACACCGTACGTTTGCTGCTCCCTTTGGCGTTGGCGAGATTGGTCGAACTGGCCAACACTCGCCGTTCTGACCGTCCCGAGCCAGATCGGCCGAAACGTCCTCTGCCTGCGCCTGAGATGCCCGTTCCAGAACTTGTCGCGTGTTGGGGTGTCGAGGGCGCCGAGCCGTAGTAACGCGCGATGCCATCCCCATCGTCCATGGCGCCTGCCTCGTGAACTGGTGCGACACCCATGCTAGTCAGGTCCGCGGAGAGGCTCGCGTGGTGTGACCCGTTGCTACCCATGTTGGGGATTTTGCGCTTCTTCTTGTTGTTCGTGTTCTCGAATGACTCGTAGCCATCTACCGAAGACGCAGGCGAACCTGGCTTGCGATATGCACCAGTCGCACCCGCTGCCGGCTTGCCCGACGCTTGTCTGCTGTACTGATAGCTCGGGGACGACGGCAGCGGTCCGTTTCGGTCGTCCTCTTCCTCCTCGCTCTCGACCTCGGAATGAGTGTGGCCACAATGACAGGCGTGGTGGTCGTTGGCCCCAGTCCTGTGAGGTCTGACGCGCTCATCGGCCGTGTATGGCGGATAGTTGAAGAGCGGCCCCGTAGAAGGCGGGTTGTGCGGGTAAACAATCGTCTCGGCCTGCTCGGGGGACAAGCGGGCGCGCAGAGAACGGGCGGGCAGAGGGCGAATGGGCCGGTCGGGGTACATGGAGGATGACGTGTCGGGCGAGGAGCGCAGCGGCGAAGAGCGGTTCCACTCGTAGCCTGCGAAGGGAAGAAGCGATGTCAGATATCTGGAGAGACCGGGGATGAGGCTCAGAGGAGGCATGTTGGTGCATCATGGTGGCAGAAGGAAATGGTGAAAAGCGTTGCAGGCAGCCCACAACGACTTCCTTTACTTACCCGCAGTCGCCGCTGCCATGGTGGCAATCTTTCCTCCAAAGTCCGATCACCAAGACTGTGGGGCGTGACTCCCAGCAGTCCTACTATATCCAAGTCGGTCCCTCTCGTGCTGTCATGCCCGTATTAGCAATAGCCCACGCGCAGTGTTTGTCGCGTGTGCACAGCTGCCTACTGAACACGGAGTTTCTCCCAAACAACGTCGAGACGGGGTGTGGCGGTACTGGAGCTCTACGCACCTTTTTCGAGGGGTTTGTGTGAGGGACGGTACTGGTGGCCAGTTAGCGGAGAACCCCTCTATTACCCGTCCGTGTGAATACTGACAGTATACAGCTGACAACAGCTTCAAAATAGCCAACAGCCACCAGACCACAAGGAAAAGATGGTGTCTCGAAGGTGGTTGGAACGAGTGACAGCGTTGATGATGCGTCAATGCCGAAGACGTGGGATTGGGGTTCGCCCGCCGCCAAGCCAACACAGGCACTTGGGCTCAACTGATGTGGCCTCGGGCTCGCCAAAGCAGGGTCCGTACTAGTGTATATCGCGATGGATCGAGTAACAAGCTCGCAGAGCAGATACAACGTGCAGCGACGATAGCAAGAAACAACAGAGCAGTGTATAGGTGTATGCACAGCTGTCGGAGAATGGCGACGTAGGCTTGCATGCAGGCTGTCTTGCAGTGACCGTGCTGGTGGCGCTAGGGCGAGCAGGGGATTGCGGATTGTACCTGGCCTGCCGACAAATGATAGCCTTGCTTGCCCTTCTCGCCTCTTTCCTCGGAATTCTTTGCTTTCTAATCTTCTCGAGAATTATCCAAACGCCGTTGCTTACGTCTCAAGCCCCTTGTGCTGCCCGACACTCGGAATACGTCCACGGTATTGGAGCCTGCCGAGACGTCCGCCCGCACTGTCACCGCCCATGCTTCATAGTGAAGGAGCAAAGACCACACGCACAAGACTTGGTGCACCATGTTCCATCTCTTGCAGAAAGGAGTACAATTGAGATGCTGTCATCCTCGCCTGCTCCAAAGCTGTAGTTGCAATAGGCTCTGCATTAGCAGAGACATGACTTATCTATCATAGTATACACATCCATGGATATGTAGCGACGTGATTAGTAGCAAGGATTATCTGTCATCAGATTGACACCAGGTGCAGCGTCGGTGGACAGGTAACTTCCTCTCCGGATATGCGCGTTGCCTCGCACGTAGCCATGATACATCAGACTATACCGAGTAGGCGCACAGGGAGGATGAGTTATTCAAAGGGATCGGGAACTAAGTAGCTCTCAGTCATATGCTTGGTATCGGATTTGCTCCGGCACCCCGTCGTACCTGCATCCGTGAGCTGACCCCGCAGGCACATGGCAAAGTCCAAACACCAACCCAAGTCACGTTCACGCTCATGACACTCCACAATGTCCATGGACCACAGTCGGGACCCTTGCCCTTGGGTTGCGCTTAGTGACTTTGGCGGAGCGTTCTGCATGGGGGCAAGTCCTATCGATTGCGTGCAGCTAGCTACGTCATCCTTGATTTCAAAGCTAACGACTCCTAGGCCATCGGAGGGGCAGTTTGGCATGGCATAAAGGGGTTCCGGTACTTACTTCACCACCACGTCGTATAGCCAGAGTGTGCTCACAGCTCCAACAGCAATTCTCCGTATGGCGAGCGACGCGTTGCTGCCGTTGTCGCCCTGAAAACGCGAGCCCCAGTCCTAGGCGGTAACTTTGGAGTATGGGGTGGCCTCTTTAGCAGCTTCGATTGCGCTGTGAAAGGCATCAGGTGCGGAGGCTCCTACCTAGACAATGAGGAACCCAATCGCGACGAACAACCAGACACGTACTGATTAATATCTTTGTAGGAAGAAGGAAGACCCGTGGAATGCCATCATCGGAGGTTTCTTCACTGGAGGCGCGCTGGCGGTTCGAGGTGGGGCCAAAGCCATGCGCAACAATGCTATCGGTTGTGCCGTCCTCTTGGCCGTCATCGAAGGCGTTGGCATCGCATTCAGTAGGATGCTGGCTGAGAACACCCGGCTCGAAGCACCACCACCATCGTCTACCTAAGGAACAGTCGTCGCTGCGAACCAGAACATCTGGCACACCCTTTCGGCGTCGCACATCGGCGTCGCAATCACTTTAGCTTGTCTCTACATTGGAGTTTACGAAAAAGGCCATGAATCGATACCCAGTAACTTTTTTTCGAGTCGGCATTTAGGAACTGTACTGGAATCAAGGATGGCGTTGTATCTCTGTGGATAACAATGGGTTGTCTTGCGCGTGTAAACCAGGAACATGGCTATGTTTGCCTTTTCGAAGTGGTATACCTTTTCTGATGAAACCACCGTCGCATTGTCGCTCCAGCTGTGCCTTAGGTACGTCCTTCAGTCCTGGTTACTGAAGCCCTTTGCAGATTGTCCAGTCAGCTTTGCTTTGCTTCGCTCTCCATGCGAATACTCACTTGTGACGCAAGATGACATCCTTGATGATGGCTAGCAAGATAAGCTGAGATAGCGAACATTCGTTCGGGACTGACCGCATCATCTTTACCAACATTGCGGCTCTACGCTAAGACCAAAAGAGGAAATGCACGAAGATGAGGTCGGTGCACACATACAATCCGAGACCGCTTTTTGCTTTTAACCCACGTGCAGCGCTGGGTGGAAAGCTTGACACTCCAAAAACAAAGAGCAAGCTCATGCAATCTGCGGTGAGTCGATAGTTTTAGGTCTGTTCTTGTCGTAGTATCCAATCGCACATTTCGTCCTCCCACGCGCAGCAGGTGCCTGTAACCATAAAGTTACCGGCAATAACAATTGCCCGCTTTGAGGCAGGTATCGCAATTGGTGGTTGTACTGTTGGGTCGTACTGGCGAACCGGGCTTCAGTACCATGGTTGCACTGATGCGTACATTCCCCTAGGCGAGAAGGTAATCACACCGGTACTTATATTGTCGCTCCATCCGCAACCTTGCGAGTGGGTGTTGCGGCGCTTCGTCCTCTTTCACTCGTTCTTTCCGCTCCAGCGCAACAGCGCGTTCCTCTCGCTCACCGCGACTGCCCAGGTGGTCGACTTCAGTCACCTCGACCCTGCCTCTACACCACTCGGGACCCCGCTCACGTTCCACCCCTTCGCTTGACGCGTCCGCTCACTAGCTTGCCTGGGTATCGAATACTCACCTTCTGGGTTGATATCGCCTTTTCCTTACCTTGGCGACCCTCAACCACAGGGTATAATTTCAACTGCCGCATACACACTCTTTTCCCTTTTCCTACTCACCCCCACGGAACACCGAGGCGAATACGCCTTCAATTTCGCCCAAGATGATAATCGGTTCCGACGGGCCTTGCTACCTCATATCAGAGGCATGCCCAAAAGAGTATGCATACTGGGGCTATCGACCTTCCTTGGCCACGAACATTGCCTTCGCTGCGCTGTTCGGTCTCTCGACTATCGCCTACCTTGTGCAGGGCATTGCTGGAAAGAAATGGCTTGGCTTCACTGTCGCAATGGGAACGGGTTGCGCGATTGAACTCGTCGGTTATATTGGGCGCATCCTAGCACATGCAGATCAGTTCGCTGAGGTACGTCTATGAATTATCTCATCAACGGAGTGTCTTCGTCAATTCCAAGGACTGACATGACGCAGAACCCTTTCCTCATCCAGATCATTTGCCTGACCATCGCACCTGCCTTCCTCGCTGCTGGCATTTACCTCTGTCTCTCGCGCATCGTCACCGCCGTCGGCCCCGAACACTCACGCATCAAGCCCCTCTCCTACCCCAAGATCTTCATCCCCTGCGACTTCATCTCCCTCGTGCTACAGGCCGCTGGTGGAGGTATGGCCAGCGTCGCGACACACAACGGCGAGGACCCGCAGAAGGGTAACAACATCATGATCGCCGGGCTAGCCTTCCAAGTCGCAACCATGCTTCTCTTCATTCTGCTCGCCGCTGACTTTGCATGGCGCACCTACCAAGGACGAACGTCTCTTGGCCAGATATCTCCGGATCAACAGCCGGCTATTATCCGTCGTTCATGGCCATTCAAGGCTTTCCTCGTGGCGTTGTCGCTGTCTACCCTCTGCATCTTCACAAGGTGCGTATTTCGCGTCGCGGAACTGAGTGAAGGCTGGGAAGGCCGTATTGCCAATACCCAAAAGTACTTCATCGGACTGGAGGGTGGTGTCATTATTGCGGCAGTCCTACTCTTGAACTTGTGCCATCCGACTCACTGCTTCAAGGATGCAGATGATGTCCGAGGAATGCAGTTGCAACGTCTCCCTGACGGAAGCACTACGGAGTTCCCAGGGCTCAACGCGCTCAGTGGTATGCAGCAAGCACAAAAGTGGATGTGAGGTCTTTGCGGAGGTACCATTCAACCTCTTCGAATGGCATTTTGAGCAAGGCCCAGTGCCGAGGGTCTGACTCTGATTTGCTTCTTGTACGATAAATTAATCCAATGAATTTGCAATAGATTCCAGTTTCGAAGTAACACGATCAAGCTTACATGGATTTTATTACCCCCATGTGCACTGGAAGTAGCGGCGCGTGAGACTAGTTCATACATTCGCAATATCCGAGGCTTTTGCGTAGTGAGTCAGGCTTCATCTTCATACAAGTTTTCACAGGTGTGTATATACGCATGTGCGTGTGTAGGTATATGTGCGGCCAGGAAGCATCGATAGGGAGCGGTCGCTCTTACGTACTCCTTGTCTTACGATTTATCAGGACGTGTTGTTATATCCATGATTATCAACCTTATCTGCTAGAGGTTCAAGGTCTTGGGTAAACTCATAGCTACTCCTGACTGTTCTAGATTTAGTGTTTCTATATGGAGGATGCTCTCCTATATGTGCATTTACATTGCAGTATACGACATTTCGGCTGTTCTGCGGACTATGTATGTGCTCTGAGGGATTCGGGCAACTAAAAGTACCTGATAGCTTACAACCTACGTCGCTGGTGACACTTCACAATTTGAGCGAAGTTTTCGGTCCTGGGGGCTTCACCGACTCGTTTGCGCTCCGTTTGACGCGCGCCCGGGCACTTGTCGACCTTCAGATAATCCGATGCCTCTCACTCTTGCGACCATCAGAGAGCCCGGCCCACCTTGTGACACTGCGCTCAGGCTCTTCTACCTGTCCACCTTTACCTTGGGGAATACCACGCGACCGGTCAGCCGCTAGCAGAAGGCTCCCAGTACTTCCCTATGTAATCTCTTCACCTGTCTGCTCCAACACTCCTCCACACTCTCCACCCTACAAAAATTTGGGGCATTTGGTAGCTTACAACAGTGTTTGCCTTGCATACATAATCTCCTTACTTGTCGCCTCCAGCATTCGACACTCTTCTCTTGCTGTGAGCATTGTCGCCATAAGGCCTTCGGTAACCGACAACAACCCATTACTCAACATGAACCAAGCAGAAGATGTCGAGGTCGTCCTCGGCCATGAGCGTCGCTATAAGTTCCACTCTGGTACTTTGGCGCGTAGCTCCACCCTCCTCGCCGACTTGTTGACCGAGTGCAACGCTGTCAAACTGAACAGCCGTGCCAGGAACGCCGGTATCAAGACACGCTGGATGATCGAACTCAAGGACCTACCTTCTGAACAGTACCCTGCTGGTCGTCTTGAACTTGTGGTACATACTTCCAGCCCCTGTTATATCTTACGTCACCAATAAAAGTCACTAACAACAATGTCTCCAGGAACTCACACCAACTGCCGAGCGAGCCGACGGTCGCAGCGGCCTGATCGTCAACGAGAATGGACGTGTCCCCCAAGCCGTTAAGACCTTCGAGCACTACGAAAGCATCTTCTACGCCTTCTACAACAAAGAGCTCAAGATTGCTGACACCGACATGTCCGCCGCCCTCCAGGACTGCTACCAACTTCTCAAGATCGCGGATTACCTAGGCTGCACCGTTCTTATCTCCAAGCCCATCGAAATCGCCCTGCTGAAACACGGCCAGGACTTCTTCCGGGCCATTCAGAAGAAGCCACACGCATGGATTGAAATGTCGTACCGAATCCGCAGCGAACTCATCTTCCGTGAGTGCATCGTCCACCTAGTCGGCAACTGGAGGGTCCTGAAAGCTTCTCGCAGCACCCTCGACTACCTCCGTGAGGTTCCCGGTCTACGCGGCCTGCTCGAGAAGTACCATCGTGCGATGCTCAGCCAGTGCAAAGCCGTCGAGCTCGCCGTCATGTCCCTCTACCCCGGTACCATGCGCCTCCCCGTCGAAGACTTACCCATCAAGCGCGAAGCCTACGCTAGAGACATTCTCGTCTGGATGGCACTGACATTCTTCCGCCACTGGATCGGACAGCGTCTCATCATGGACAAAGGCCGACACAGCTCTGACTGTGGCTTCGAACTCTACAAGGCCATCGGCACAGCAGGAGATTCCTACATGGACAAGTCAGTCATCAACCAGTTCCACACGAAGTTCCCCATGACGAAGAAAGCCATGAATGTTCTGGAGAACCATCTGCTTGAGATCAAGGAGTGCATGAAGAACGTCGTCGACCAGCACAAGATCCTCAAGTCAACCTGCCAGTTGGATATCCACCGCTTCCCTGTTGAGTATCTCACTTGCACTGAGTTTGACAAGGGAGATTACCCATGGGACAAGGACAGCGAGGGTCCTAGGGTGCTTCCGGCGAAGAGGGCGTACAAACCTGGTGGAAACGACATTGCCCGCAAGAATTTGGATACCGCGAGGATGCATCAGGAGAGGAGTTTGAGTGTGGATGGTGAAGACGAGGAGGATGAGGTCGAGCTTGAGAGTGAGGATGAGGAGGATACTAGGGGAAAACGGGCAAAGGTTGAGTAAGCTTTGGTTGGACGTATCCGCCAGGCGGTATTGTTGGGTTGGTCTTGAGCATCACAGGAAGCAGTGGGGACCTCCAGGGCGTTGTGTGATTTTTTAAGAGTGAGGGTCAGGCTGCTTTGTCAGCGTCAGGCGGGTCTATGGTTTCATAGATACCGCTTGATAATGGTTCGAGTACCTCCACGTTTAGACAAAAGAATGATGATTCTTGCTTGTGTTTCCATGATTTGTATGCTCCTTATGGTGGTGAATTGAAGTGAAAGGAAATATTCTGACTTTGATGTCCCCTGAAAGCTTCATTCAAAGTGTCTCTACTATCTCCCCTGATATCCTCTACTCGTCATCGAAGCCCGTCGGTCTCGGCCGTGGTCCCTTTGGTACTGTGCCAAGTCAGCAAAACATCCTCTAACACCACATCTCCCCCTCTGCGATCCACCCAGTTGCCTAGCAACTATTTTCCGCCATCCGCCACGTACCTGGGTATGTCATGGGGATCTTGGGGATCTGCTCCTCGCCCATATATCTCCGAATCGGGGGAACAGTAACGACCATTATGGGACCTGCGCATCCGACCATGATGGAGTAGAAGTATGCCGGCTTGTTGATAGAGGCCCATTTCATGTAACGCAGCGGCTGCTGGAAGAAGCGCGGGGAGGGGGGAATGCCGGACATGGTCGCTGTATTGCTGTTGGTATGTGAGCGCGTGTTTCGGAGTCGCTAGGCAAGTATGCGCGTACGTATATAGTCCCTTATCGTGCGTCGGTATATCCGGTAATCAGCAGGCTCAATGCCTCAGTCTGGTGTCGCAATCGCAAGTTGTCGCCGCGGGTCTGCGTTCGTGAGGTCGCAGTCCGTAGCTCACTCACCTCCGCACTCCAATCGGCGCGCAGCGATTTTCCGGGACCGATAGGCTTGGCAAAAGCATACGTATCTCCGTTACAGCTCTCCACACGCCGGCGCAACTCGACAAGTCCAATCTTCGATCAACCACAAGATGAGGTGGTTACTTTCTTTTACCGTCGCCTTCGTTTGGTCGGTGGTGGTGCAGGCCAAGAGTTTCACTGGCAACCGCTTGCTGGTTGTGTTGGAGGAGCAGGCCGAGAGGGAGAAGTACAGTGTGTTCCTGGAGGACTTGACGTGTAAGTTATGGTTTAGTTCAATTGCTTTTAGAGACAGCGTAATGTGTCTGGTTTGCGCAAGTTACGATACAAGAATGAGGCATTGGGAAAGCTCCGAAGCCATCGAACTTGCAACTTGGCCTTGCGCAGCAGATGACGAACAATTGAGTCCACGGATAATAGGGCCAATGCTGACATCAATGTGTAGCCCGAGGATACACCACATCTGTCGAATCACCCAAAGAGAGCAAGCTCTCATTACTAAAGCACGGCGAACGAGCTTACGACCATGTCCTCCTCCTACCCGGCAAGTCGAAAGGCCTCGGCCCTGCCCTCACAGCGAACAACCTCCTCGAGTTCATGAAGAAGGATGGAAACATTCTAGTGGCCCTCTCGAGCGAATACGCTATCCCTACCGCCGTCCAGGCTATGCTTCTCGAAGTCGACATCAACATCCCAGCGGACAAGGGCGCATTGGTCGTTGACCACTTCAACTACGATGCGTCATCGGCGAAAGAAGAGCACGATGTGTTGCTTCTTCCGTTCCCCAAGTCGCTCAGGCCAGACACCAAGAACTACTTCGCTGGCGAGGGGTACATTGCCGTGCCACGCGCTGTCGGGCAGGCTCTTGGAAACGAATCGCCGCTCACCTCGCCCATCCTCCGCGCTCCTAGCACCGCCTACAGCTACAACCCCAAGGATGAGGCTGACGGTGTCGAGGACCCCTTCGCGGTTGGCGAGCAGCTAAACGTCGTCTCTGCGATGCAGGCGAACAACGCGGCGCGCCTGGCTGTTGTCGGCTCAGCCGAGATGCTCCAGAACAAGTGGTTCGCTGAGAAGGCCAAGCTAGGGGACAAGGCTATCACGACTGGTAACCGCGAGTTCGCGCAGAAGCTTTCTGAGTGGACCTTCAAGGAGACGGGCGTGCTGAAGATTGGCAAACTCCTCCACTACCAGGATGAGGGTGCTAGCAAGAAGTTGAACACCAGCGCTGCTGTTCCTGAGAATAACCCTGGAATCTACCGTATCAAGACCGACGTCGTAAGTTTGCGTTAAACCGCGTTTTAGAAGAAGGTACTAACAGTCACAGCACTTCCAAGTTGAGATCTCCGAATACACGAACGACCACCTTGCTCCCTTCGTCCCCTCGCCGAAGGATAACATCCAGCTTGAGTTCAGCATGCTCTCGCCCTTCCAACGCCTGAACCTCTCCCCAATCGCACAGACCGCGAACGCGACCATCTTCGGTGTCGCATTCAGGACACCCGATCAGCACGGCATTTTCAACTTCCGCGTCAACTACCGCCGCCCCTTTGTCACCAACATCGATGAGAAGAGGCAGGTTACCGTCAGGCACTTTGCGCACGACGAGTACCCGAGGAGTTTTGAGATTAGCGGTGCGTGGGTCTGGATTGGCGGTATCTGGGTTACCGTTTTGGGTTGGTTGGCATTCGTGGCCGTTTGGCTGTACAGTGCACCCAGCGAGAAGAGCACAAAGAAGACGCAGTAAATGGACTACAGAGTCTTGGATGTGGGAATTAGGACCGGCTATGTGTATGTAAACAAAATACTCCATCGGCGATGCGCGGTATGTATATTATGGATAAAGGGCAAGAATGACCCAAAATTTTGTTGCGAATGGAATACCAAAGAATACCACAATCTGTCTCAGATCTACCGTTTTCGTTCCCTACGTTATCCTCGAGAACTTCACTTATCTCTTTCACGCCGCCGTTTTCTCAGAGCTTGCTCTGTTCCTCCAAGACTCGAGGATGCGCTACCTTCCCGGGCTTCAACTTACTCCAGTCCTTCTCATAATCCTCCTCCACATCCGGATACGGTCCTAACGGCGTGATACTAAGCGGGTTGATATCACCATGGCTCTTCGTATACTGTAAACGCGCAATCAACGTCAGCCATCACGATACCCTGCACTACGCTTCGCAATTCCACTTACGTTCTCCTTGATATGCTTGAAGTCCGTACTCTCCTTGAAACCCTCCACATTATGATACAGATTCTTGAGCCAATTGTTCAAAACAGGGTAGTCGTGTCGTATCGAACCCAGGTTCGTTTTGAAGTGCTGAGAGTAAACCGTGTCGAAACGGACGATCGTCGGGTACGCCAGAAGATCCAATTCAGTAAGTTTGTCGCCCAGGATATATGGTCCGCCGTTGCTGTGCACCAGTTCCTCTAGTCGATTCAGCGCAGCAAAGAGCGGAACAACACCCTTCTCATAGCCTTCCTGAGTCGGTGCAAACCCCGCTTTGTACACGCCCGCACAAACCAACGACTGCAACCACGGACTAATCTCATCAATCTTTCCGCGTAGCTCCTGAGGATAAAAGTCACGTCCCTTCTCCCCCTCACTCCCCAGCACGGAATCAAAAGCCCGTGGTAACCACTTCAACATCTCAGCACTCTCATTGTTTACTATACGACCACTCTTCTTGTCCCAGAGAAGAGGCACGCTGTATTTCCCCTTGTAGGCTGGGTCGTCGCGGAAGTAGATTTGGTGCATGAATTGGCTGTTGAAGAGGTGGTCGGGGGTGGCGTTTGGGTAGCTGGCGTCGAAGCGCCAGCCGGGTTCGCCTTTGGGGTACGGGCGTACGATGGAGATGGGGAGGTAGGGTTGGAGGTGGTTGAGATGTCGGATCAGGTTTGGACGGTGAGCGAAGGGGCAGAAGAGGCCTGAGGAGGTTGGCAAGACTGTGCGATCAGAGTGTGTGATATAATATGGTCTTACCGATGTAGAGGTGGTATCTGTCTTTTTCGGGTGGGAATTCACCTCCTTCTTGGATGATGCCGTGCCAGCCATCGTCGGTGCCGTACTTGTGGATTTCTTTGGTGGACATTTTGTGTTGATGGAATGGATGGATGAGATAGAAGATAGGAGACGTCCAGAGAAAGAGGTTCTATTAGGAGAAGCTGTGGTTATCTGTTCATCTATCGTTCATTATGCTAATTGTTGTGTACTGAGAAGCTGGAGCTCAGTTGGGGGCTTATAGTGGGGTGTCTCGACGCCTCCTCATAAGCTCATGCAGGGACTGCGGAACTGATTCCGAAGTCGAGCTACTTTCGGAACTCAGGTGCAACACTTCAACTCTTCGCAAGTTACACCACACGGTACACCGCATGTCTCCGTACTCGTTCGCGCAGTTTGCGTTCCACTTGTGACGCCCGGAGCTGGCTCCCTCCCTGCACCTTCGACATTGTTGAGCCTTTCCGAAGCGGACGCCAGCTCAGGCTGCAATGTTGCCGAATGAATGCCATACGCATGCAGACATTGAGAGAAGATCTTGGCTTTGCTCATGAAGCTCGCAATATCGGGATCACTGACCACAACATGTGCTGATGCGACAGCCTTCTTCTGATCCAGACGCCAGACGTGCAGTTCGTGCACACTAAGCACACCAGGTATGGCCTCCAGATCGTGTTTGACATCCTCTATCTTGACGCCCAAGGGAGCAGATTGAAGCAGGATCTTGCCGCTACGCTTCGTGAGGGGGATTGCGGTAAGAAGAATCATGATGGCGATCCACATACTAACTGCCGGATCGGCATAATAGCGATTAGGCGACTTGACGAACCATATGATAACGGCGGAGATGATCACACCGATGTTGTTGATCGCGTCGCCGATAACGTGGATGAGAACTCCGAGGATACCCAGATCCATACCATGCTTCTTTGGTTTCGCGGATATGTGCAGGTGATTTGCATGCATGGGTGCAAGTGATACGCTCTCTTCGTCGCCGTTGCTGCCATGACCGTGGTCGTGATCATGCTCGTGTAGGAACAAGGCACTGATGATGTTGAGAGCTAGGCCGACACAACCCACGATCAGGACTAGCTTGGGATTCTCGACGCGCTCAATGGAGATGAATCGTTCGATGGATTGTAGTGTGATGCTGACGCCTAGAGCAAGAAGGAAAGAGCCGTTGAAGAAGGCGCCAAGGAGGGAGGCTCGCGCCCAACCGAAGGAGAGGTCTGGAGGTGAGGTCTTGCGCTCCGTCACCTGGACAGCTACCAAGGCGACAATGAAGCCGATAAGGTCGTTAAGCTGGACAGAATGTTAGTGGCTTGACGCAAGGAAGGTGCGACGCAGGTATGGAGGAGACCGCTGGACGCACATAGTGGAAAGCATCAGCCACAAGGGCAAGTGATGATGTATAGAAGCCTACGGAGATTTCGGCGGCGAAGAAACAGAAAGATATGGCTATCACAGCCCTTAGGCGGGTCTTTCGACTGACTTGGAAGCGACCATGCTTGTGCCCATGTGCATGATGGCCTGGCTCGTTATCGTGGTGGCTATGGGCCATGACGTCTAGGAAGGAATGATCGTAGGTGTTGAAGAAGATAAAGAAGTAGAGCTCATGCTATAGATGGAGGACGTAAAATAGCACACGAGGTTGGACACCGAGTACCTGCCCGGCCTTTAATAGTCGTTTGTACCATGTTCAGGAAGATCTGTGAAACACGGGGATCTAGTGACAGTGCGAAATTCGAATCAGAATTGATAGCAGGTAGATACTTAATTGAGCTCATAGACATACTACCTGTATTTTCAGAACCCTTCAAGTTCATGTACTACTTGTACATACAGGTCAGTGGCAGACTACTAGATCGCGACTACCTGCAGATTGGGATAGCCACGTAGTTACTGACGGTAAGAACGGGAGCCATCGCGCAGGTGTGCTTCTCGATAAATGGTATGTTATCGACGGTATGTCATCAGATAGCTCCCGAGGTCGCGTCCGGGGATAAAACGTGAAGCGTATGAAAAGCTGCCGCGCGTCACAATGTGTAGCTCAGTAATCTGCTGCCACACGATGGACATGTTAAGGATAGATGCTCTAGCATACGTGACTGGACACAGTTTTAGAGCGGCAGTAGATTGTTGGTAGCGTGAGAGATAGATTCACATGATAGCGCGGAGGACCTAACCCGATGCCGCTTAACGCCGGAAGTGCCAACACCGCCTTTCGACCAAACGGCCTGGACCCTCCCCGCCGTCGCAAATAATCTCGCAGAACCACCAGCCTTCACACGAATAATTCCTCAGACTTTGATCGCTCTCGACATATATCTCCACTCACACTCAGCGACTGACTATCAGCAAACTCCAAGATGGGTAACGGAGCCAAGTAAGCCACCCCATATGTGTCTCAACGCCCTAGAACAGTCGCTAACATTTTTCCAAAGAGCGCAGCAGAAACGCGACAGGAAGGGTTAGCATCCCGCCATAGAAGCCGCCTGTGAGACAGAAACTAACTTCGTACTCCAAATCTACAGGCGATGCCGGTCCCAAGGAAGCAAAGAGCCAACTGAAAGCCGTACGTAACCCCGCTCCCTCGCGCGATCCTGCAACGTCGCGGTCCCGCATTCATATCACAGTTACAAGTCGCACTGCTAATACGACGCCAGAACGCCGCCGCTCAGACCATCAAATGCAAAACCTGCTTCCAAACGTTCCAGGGCACCACAAGCCGCAAGATGCTTACCGATCACGCAACCAACAAGCACAGCAAGGAGTTCGATGTCTGCTTCAACGCGGATGAAGGCGTTGTGAAATAAGCGATCAGACTTCCGAGCGAGTGCACAACGACCACGGACGATACGACAAAGTTTGCTATTTACACGAGCATGAGATACCACGGGCGAGGAGTGAGGAGTTGAAAGGGGACGGCCATCTATGGCGATTTGACGAGGCATGATACACAGGGGTAGGGATCGATATATCAAGAATCCGACTATTGGCTATCATACGCCTTCTTTTCTCATACTACTACAGAGGGGTGATCTCCTCTTTGATTGACTGACGGCAGTGGTTTAGTGTTGAGGGGCCTAAGATTGACGACGTTCCAAAGACACAAGCATAAGTTGTCGGATTCGTGTAAGCGGGAGACGACGAGTGTGACAAGCACCCGGCCGGGAGACTGAGCATATATAGCAGACACGTGCTGTTGGCCCATTCGACAAGGACTTCGGAAATGCATGGACGCTTGGCCACTCACTCCTGTGGAACCACTCGTCGATGCATCTCAAAAGACAGATCTTCCCTGATGCAAACAAGCTACTTCGAAAATGGCACCTAAGCATACTCTCTAGTATGACGCCATTCTGATATTGCACCACTTCGCTTCCACATCGCTATCCCTGTATTTGTGTATAGTAAGCGGGTATCTCTCGCGTCTTATTCCATTGCGTGATCCGTACAATAGGGTCGAACTTGCAGTCCTGGTGTACAGCACGCATACCTATACTAAATGATTCCATCTCGAAACACGCAAGTCGAGGTGCAACGTACAACAGCAGTAACTCGAGTGTTCCTACGTCCTCAATTACCATCCTGATGTATCATCCCCAGTTCCTGTCTCAGGCCTGACCAAGTCTAGCCCGCGATGTAAACCCCACTTCCACCCCACCAACGTACTTCATCACCAAGCAGGGTTTTTGTTTCGCCACAACAACTCTATGTTCAATGTTCTGATTCTCATCTTAGCCACGTCCTCTGTATTCGTAGAATCAGAATATTAACATTGTAAATTCCAATTTTTCCATCAATTCCCTATCACAACCGTCTCCTTAGCTCAATTGGGAGAGCGCCAGACTGAAGTCTCAGTCACTAAATCTGGAGGTATCGTGTTCGATCCACGAAGGGGACAACGTGCCTGAGCTTGCTCGGGATTATTCGAACAATTCTTTTTGCGGATGCATTGGCAATGGCGGACCCGTCCAAGCTATATCCTTTTTGCTGGTGTTGACGGTTTGGCTGAAATATCAACAGTGCTCCTCTTTGGAATACACGGCTACCCAGATCTCTCTTAGTATAAGAAGAGCTCAGAGCCTCATAGTTGTCACTGAGTGCACTGAAGGAATTGGCTGGGAAGCTCCATTTTGGTATCAATTCTCTTTTTTTGAGCACCTGCATGTCATACGCGTGATGCTTGTCACACCAATGCCCAGCTGCTTCCTGAATTATTGAACACCCCTTCCGTGCACTTCTCATGCAAGAAGACACGATCCTCCGTAAGAACCGAAAACACCGTACTGTCCCTCAGGAAACACGCCCTAACGCGAGCCTCATATCGCCAACCGATTGTTGTCCGTCCATCCCACCCACACTCCACCAATCTCCCTTGCGATATCTTCCGCCGTCCTCCCGTTCGCATCCCTCAGACTCCTAATGTCGATCTTGTCCTCCGTAAGCCCCCTCATGATACCCATGGCCTCCGCCTCCTGGAACACCTGCGTCGGGAAGTCCAGCAGCGGATAGTTACTCGCCAGCAGCAGTAACAACCACGCGACCTCTCTGCTCTGCGCATGCACTGCCGCATGTAGCCCCGACTGCATATCCCCAATCGGATCCTGGTATCTCAACATCCTGTCAATACCCACCTCCTTCTCCGGATGATCTGTCGTGCTCATTTCGACATCGCCCTCATCGTCCTCGCTATCATCGTCGTCATTCAACAGCAGCTCGACCACGGCTTTGTAATCGCCTTCGCGACAGAACTCGAGGAACGCGCGCGCTTTCCTGTCTTCTGGGTACGCTTTCAGGTATGATTCTTCCGTGAGGAGAGGCAGGATATCGAGGTTCTCTTGGATTCCGCCTTCGTTGTTGAGTCTGCAGAGGACCTTTTGTGTGCCGTCGCCTGTGCTGGAGATTTCTTTGCCGCAGTGGGGACACGAGGTTATTTCGTACGCGGAGAGGAGACAGTCCCTGCAAAAATTGAATTAGCGATAGGATGCGATTGCGTTGAAGGGATGTTGCATACCAGTGGAAGTGACACCCGCAGGTCAGCTGGACGTCATCGGGATATGTTTCTGGTGCCGCTGCGGGTCCTTTGCCGGATGACGATGCGCCGCCCTCGTACTCTTCGTCCTCGTCGCGCTCAAGTTCCACCTCCAGAGGTTTGTCGCAGATGACACAGGTAGACATTTTGGGGCTTTTGCTATGTGATTCAGAGATGTGAAGGTGTTGGTGATATCTGGCGGGGCTATAGCGGGGTTTGTACTTTTTTTGTCGCTAAAACGGGAGGGCGTTCACGCGTCACGCGTCAGAGTTTACACGGACGTCATCGACCTCGCGACAGCGTCAATGACTTGGGAGGGTCTTGCTGCTTATGAATCCATTATGTCCTTGCATTAATTGGCTAGTGATGTCCCTATTATCGCAACCTTTGATAGCTCGGGTTCGTCCACATTATAGGGACGCGTGCGAGCGCGATCCTCTCCCGTCTCGTTCCCCCCGGTTTGCTCTCACCAACACGACTTCTAATTGCGTCTGTCACAACCCTCAAACCGTTGCTAAACCGTGTGCCGATCTCGTGAGCTGTCGATCGCGCTGCCGGCGGGCCGTGATCGGTTCGAAGGACTCGCTGCATGGTACGGTTGGGCGGCATGTCTTCGTCCTGCCCATAATCTTGCTCTACAAGTCCTCTCGACCTGTTCTGATTTTTCTTCTTCAATTGCCTGAAATAGCTGTCGTAGAGCTGACCCCAATCCACCAGGATGACGCCCTCTTCCATACCCCAGTACCTGATCGACTTATCCGACACCGCCAGTGTCCAGTGCTGTCCGACACTCATGGTCACATTGCATCGAGACCGTGATGCGGAGAATATTCGGGCCCATCCGTAGCAGCCTCGGCGGTCTTCGTCTCGCCATACACCTGTAACCGGGGCTTCTTGTTCGATCGAGAATACAGCAACAGCTGGATCCTCCACCAGGAAACGATTGAATTGCAAACGGAAGGTGTGATTTCGACAGCCAAGATTGGAATTGATTATTGTGTGAGGTAGATGGCATACTGGGCCTCGATGTGACATAGCCGGTCTCGATGTGCAGGTATTCGGATTCCGTGGCGGGCTCAAATCGGTGGCGCGTCGACACATATTGCAAAAATGATCCGAGAACTCATGGTCGGTCTTATTGGAGTTGAACATGTTCAATAGTGGTTGACACAACATTCTGAAAGCGGATGCGAAAGTATTCGTAGAACAGTCAGTGTTGACAGGAAATGACCAACAAGTCAACACGTTCAGGGTGGTGCAGACAATGCCATGCAGGCTTTGCTTGTTTCTATGGGCGATCAAGTTCTCTTCCAAATATCATCTCCGGCACCCTGTTTCTGCCGCCGTAGCTAGGTACGTGCCGGACTACTCCTCACTGTACCATGGTAATGTCGTTGCGTGGCACTACTCATCGGTCGCGCTCCGCGGACTAAGGCAGGGAGGGGACTCACCTGGCCGGCAAGTGAGGAAAAACAGCATGCGACTTTTGTTTTTTTGAGATACCAGAGCTAGCGCGCGCCCGTTCTCTCGAAGGAGCGCAAGCTCCGTCTCACCGTCATCTCGCCAGCGAATGCCTGCTGCGGAGTCGAAAAAGCATCGCGATTATCTATGGAACAACAATGTACATATGCATGGCGTACGAGCGAATTGTAAGAATCGCTCGCTCGTAAACTCCACAAAACAACGTATGACACCAAGAGCCTACACACCACTTCAGCCATCCCTCAACCTGCTTGGCAGAATTGGCTGCCATACTGACCGCCATGGGCATCTTCAGAATGCCATGCTTGGGCTAACGTAGTGCGCTTCCTTGCCATATCAAATCTCCGGCGCGCACGGCATCCTCAACATACCAATCTCGACTGCCGTTAATTGTTGAAATATCGTAGAAGCATCGAAGCTTCCACGGGCTGTGCGATTGTGGCCCGTGAATCAGTGTAATTACCGCCGAGCATTTGCAATGTGGCGTTTCTGGTGACGGAACGAAACGAACTTGACTTCCTGAACACCAGGGAGTTGTGCATCAAAAGCGAGTTGATTTGCGATGCCTACCACAGTGTCAGCATGTGAAGCTTCCAGGTTGTCAAGCCACTTTCGTGAGCGCATTAAACTCACCACTCCATTCCTCCTCTGCCCTCCTATCTTCTTCAGCCATCTCTTCAATGCTCTGGATGCTCCTCATCTGGGGCTGTTGCATCTTCTCCAACTCCATCCTCGCAGTCATCTGCTCCATTATTGCTTGCTCGGCATCTAGTTGTTGTATGCTATCTTTGTTGCGCAGTAGAAGACGGTGGGATGCTGACTTCCAGATCGCTCTCGAGTCTCCGATACGTTGCTGAAGAGGCCTTTCCCAATCTTGTTCCCAGCCTCGTACTGGCTCTTTGTCCGCTGTAGGCAAGGCGGTCTGGGAATGGAATGCCGGTGCGTGGAGAATTCGGGAGTTGGCCGTCGATTTGGGTTGAACGGGTACAGCGGTCGATCTTCCCAGCCCAGAAGGGCAGTACAGCCGCTGAACTTGATGCTTGCGGACGTGGAGGGGTCGGATCGTCACATCAACAGCGGAGTCGTATCTGTTGGGGGGAGGTGGAGGCAGTTCTCTCCTGAGTGCTCGCTGCAGCTCAAATGACTCCTGCCATGAGAGTACCGAGCGTGGGCCTTCTAATTGGCCTGGCAAATCTGCCTGTTGTTTCCGGGGTTCACCGAGAGCTCGCTTGGACACCCTTCCAGCAAACCTCGGTGTTTGCGAACCCAGTCGACCACCGACAAGTGAATTTACACTCGCATTTACTAGCCGAATAGTTTCGTCTGGCGGACAATCTTGAAGTGTGGCCTTTCGTAGGCTTCCTGCTGACGGTGCCGCCCATTTAGTTTTTCCATCCCATACTTTGGTGCCGCCGTTGGGTCCTTTTTTCGGCGGCTGCTCTCTTCGATCGATGAGCCCTTTGCGTGGCGTGTGCCGGACATCGGGGCGACGTACTGGTGATGATGCTGTCTTACCCATGTCCACATAGCTAGCGGATTTGTACTTGCGGTGCGGATGGTGATTTCGTAGACAACTGCCAAGTTTTCTCGCCCAGCGGCGGAGACGAGATTCGCGTTTGTGTACGGCCATGGTCGTAATATGAAAGCCAGGGTATTCGTTCCTGACGTTTTTGGGGTGAACTATTGCGTCGAAGATGTAAAACGTGGCTGCTTGTGAGAACGTTCGTGGAGATGCTCTCGTGACCAAATAAACCGCTACAACGTTTAGCAACGTTCTCATAGCAACGTTGTCCTGATCCAATCTTCCAGCGGGGCCGATGATGATGCTCCTGCCCTGCTTATCCATCCGGGTCCCTGAACAACGCTGACGCCTGTTGCGGATGCCCGTTGGGTGGCTGCTTGAGTAGGGACAGCAGTTCCATGTTTCCAATGATCTAGCCGACCAACGCGTTCAACGCGTCCAACGATTTTACCGTTTGACCCAATAGATACCTGGGAAACATCCTTGAATTTTCGAGCAACGAAGTGTTTACGCTCGTAATTATGGCAGCGCAATTGGTCCATCGCTCCGCTGATCAGTCTCGCGTGAGTCCATCTGGTATGCAAGCTTCTACCAACCTGTCCAGGAGATCCCAGAGGCCTTTGACCAGTCTACACGCTTCCCAGATAGCACCGCCAACAACCAGGACAGACACCGCAGTGACTGCGATTACTACACCCACCACGACGAAGCCTAGCACGTGCGTAATCGACAGAAGAGGTTCTGTGACGCGCCATTCCACTGCCTTCCTCCCGACTCGTGCGAAATAGAACGCCAGGAAGCCATACCGGCGCACCTGTATATCACGAGGTAGACGCCCCACATATCTCAGCCACTCTGCAGCGGTTATTGTGACCTCTTCGCCTCCTCCGACAGAAACATTGATCTTCTGCTCGAACCTCGCAATACGATTGCACAGTCCTCCGAAAGCCAGCTTGGCAAGCAAAGCTTGGTCGCTGATGCATGCTATGCGCAGCTTTTGCTTGTCACTGAAGAGTGGCGTAATGGTTCTCAAGACTGTTTCCATGGAGGAGTGTCCAAGGCTGCACCAGAAGCAGCACCGAGAAAAGTGGACCTGCTCCTCGTGGAAGCACTTTTGTATCAATACTTCTTTGGCGCAGTTGTAGAATTGGCGGGAAGTGGGGCGGGCGTTGAACCAGAGTTCCGATGGGGATAAGTAATTGCAGATGTTTAGGACGAGTTCGTCCGGTAGGCGATCCATCGAGACTGTCGGCGGTGGTGAGGGTCCGGAAGGTTTGGAAGACTTCAGAGATAGCCGCTGCATCGCATTGCGTTCTGGAATTCCATTCTCGCCTCCGGTGCAGTATAGCAACATCCTCGTGAAGCGCGCAACGAGCGAGAGAGCGGGATCCGACGATAAGAGCCTTGCGGCATTAATACCCATCATTGTGATAAGTCCTGATATTGCGGAATGGTTGTACGAGCTTAGCTTGCTGCACCTTGTCTTTGCGAGGGGGCAAGGCAAGGCATCATATTCGGACTTTGTACCGGCTCAAGGCTTTGGTTGGAAGGTGCTTGATGCTGGTCTCACACCAATGGGTGGCTTACAATTGGGTAAGGAGGCGTGAGGCTGAAGAAGCTGATGGTTCTGGACCGCATGGCATCAGGCGCAACGTGGAATCGCAACTGTTGATGCAGTCATGCCAGTTTCCTAAAAGGGTAAGAGGTTGCGTATACCTCTGCATTGGATTTAAAGAGCAAATAGCTTTTTATACAAGTGACAGGGGGGTGTGCCTCGCATAGCGGCATCGGAAATCCACCGACAGGCGCGGATCGAGACGGGTAGTTGTATCGAAACGGGAGCAAGGGAGCCCTGTAGCATCGTAAGACTGAGCGTTCCCATAGACGTGGAAGGGGGATGAGATCTGATCTTGACATTCGGTAGATGTTGAAGTACACCCTTCAGGCCCCACCTGTCTCTTTCCTGGTGGTGTGTGATTGAGTGCTGACGCAAAGAAACTTGCACTTTCTGCGATGTGAACTGCGCCATGCTGACTGCGAACAACGGCTGACTGCTCACAATCACGGTGCTATCATCAGCAGCGGTTCTGACACTTTCCGCAATGCCATTTTTCGAATAGGCCAATGGAGCGCATGTGCGGGAAGACGGATCGACATCTACCGGGTTCTTCTTGATTAGCATCCATGGACCAGCCTTCCTGCAGGTGCACCTGAACCTTCTGAGATACCCAGTCTTGGTCACATCCGCTAGGAAATGTATGCCTGAGCAGATTGATGCAACGAAGCTTCAGCGGATTCTGATCTCTGAAGGGTGAGTTCGTCAGTGTCTTCTTTCCTGCGTTGAGTAATCCACCGAAAGCAGGGTGGCAGGTTGCTCCGAGGACGGGATCTCCGCAGCACGGACCCTGACACGCCTCAGCCGCTTCCACGCCAGGTGACGTCCACCGGGCGAACTCCGCCGCCCGCCCTCTGACAGCCATACGCTACTGGGTTTCACATCGCAAATAACTTTACGTCGTCAAATGTCTAGCGAGAAGCGCACATCTTGAATGAGAAAGATGCATGCCTTGATGGACAAATCTTTGCAAAAACTCGGAGTATTCGAAATCTCGCCGTGTCTTGGAGAACGGGCCGACAAAGAGCACATGCGCGAAATGAACCGAGGTGCCTTGGTAATCGAGGCCTCTCCTATATTTTGCAACAAGTCCTAGCCACCGGCCGAACCTCGTTCGCGATCAGTAACCGGTTCATCTTCACACCGAAGGGGTTTGTATTGCACCGCAGCTTCTAGAAGAGACATACATGTATATTAGCACGCGCGAGCTGGAAAGTAGCAGAATAGCATTACTATCACCAAAAGACATAACCGTCAAAACTGCAGGAAGGCATAGAAACCAGCGTTGAGGCTAATCAAATTTCCATACCACGTTTGGACTCAGAGAACACATCAACCAACACCGAAATTCACACAAATTCTCGAAGAACACTCCCAAGATGCAGAACAACCGCCAACTACGTGATCCGGTCACGTTGCCATCCGGACTTGTCTTCAAAAATCGGCTACTCAAGGTCGGTAATAACAAAAAGCAACGCGGTGCGACCATGTTCATAATATTTCCATAGGCAGCGATGGCAGAGACTATGTCAAAGTCTCACGACCCAACAGATACCCTCATGGCGGCCTACAAGGCATGGGGAAAGGGAGGATGGGGCGGAATCATAACAGGTACAAACCGGCTCCTGCTAATTGACCTTGCTCAAGACTGACGATCTAAGGAAATGTAATGATCGATGAGCGCTGGCTCGGAAACGCCCTAGATGTATCTCTCACACCCAGCACTAACCCCGAACTCATTGCTCAATGGCGAAGATACGCAGAAGCATGTCGTGTCGAAGGCACACCAGCTATCATCCAGCTTAACCACCCCGGCCGCCAGAGTCCCCTCGGAGCAGGTTCCAAAGGACTGTTTGAGAAGAACATCGCCCCAAGCCCCATCGCATTACAGTTCGAAGACAACATCTGGGCAAAGACGGCGCAAAAGCTCATCTTCGGCACCCCACGAGAGATGACGGTTGCAGAAATTGAAGACGTGGTAAAAAGACACGCCGACGCAGCCAAGTTCCTTAGCGAAGCAGGATTCGACGGCGTAGAACTACACGCCGCACACGGATACCTACTGAATATCTTCATGTCTCCAAAGACCAACCAAAGGCAAGACAATTACGGTGGCTCGGCGTTTAACCGCGCCCGCATCGTTCTCGACATCATCAATGCTATCCGCGCTGTCGTCCCATCCACGTTCACAGTCGGCATCAAGCTTAACTCCGCAGATCTTCAACGCTCAAGCGATATGGAAGAGGTTATGCAACAGATTGGTTACCTTAGAGATACTGGTATCGACTTCCTCGAGATCAGCGGTGGATCGTACGAGAACCCTAGGATGATGAAGGGTGACGAGCCACAGCCTGGCGAGAAGCCAGTATCCGAGCGTACCGCAAAGCGCGAAGCTTTCTTCCTTGATTTTGCGAGGGTGGTTAGGCAGAAGTTTCCAGATGTGGTTTTGATGGTTACAGGCGGTTTCCGTAGCTTGGCGGGTATGCGTGCCGCGCTTGAGGAGAATGCTTGTGATCTGATCGGTCTGGCACGGCCAGCTGCTGTGGACGCGAGTTGGGCCAAGAAGGTCTTGGAAGCGGAGGCTGCGGGTGGTGATATAAGTTTGAGGTTGGATGCTGTGAAGCCGAGCTGGCTAGTCAGCAAAATCCCGGTTAAGGCTTTAGGTGCTGGTGCTGAAAGTGTAAGTCTGATCCCCCGAGAAGGGAAGATGCGGATGCTAACGAGACTACAGGCTTTCTATGGAGCGCAGATTGAACGTATCGGCAAAGGGTTGCCAACACGAACGCCTCCAACGGCATCATGAGATGGATATGGAAATCTGGTTTGCGCTGTTGTTTCGGTTAGTGTCTTGATCTGGCTCGTTGCCTTTGTGTATAATGAAGTTGGTCGTCTGAGTCTTGTTACTCTTGTGTGGTTAGACTCCAGCACAACACGTACAGCGACGCAGCTGGTCTCAGCAAGAAAGCTGTAATGAAGTAATCTAGGCCTCATTTGCATTGGTATGTGGTGAAATTGCAAGAACTCTCAATCATCGCAGGTTGCTGAGAAAAGAGTCTCCAACATAGCCTTGGATACTCCACCAATGAGCGTCTCCCGTTAGGTAGAAGTTTTCAGTAAACCGTGCACTCAACAGATGTCTCCAAACCTACCCGATACGGTATGCTTGACTGTACTAGCGCGCATCGTCCGCAGAGTTGCCAACCCTCCCGTATTCAATGGCTTTCGTGTTCCTGCCCTATGCAGTATACTGGACTCCACCAATGAACGGTTTCCTTTTGGTACCAGTTTTCAGTAATGGGCCGCCTGTTGCAGCAATCGACGGGTTTTAGATCTTACCCAAGACAGTAGTTCGTAGTAGAAACCTTCCGACCCTAATGCACAATGTTTCTGCTGTAATCAACGGCTGCGACTTCTTGCCCGATGCGGCGTGTTGATATTAGCCAATGGACTTCTAGTTTGGAGGGCCGAGTTGCTTTTACACCGTCTTCGATGGATCTCAGAAGTTTCCTGATTCGGATATCTACGCTCAGCTCATGAGCACGCGTTCTACGTGCCTCAAGTATTAGGTTTTGGCCGCTGTTCACCTGGCGAGTGCTCGGGCTTTCGATGGTTTTTTGAACCTTCCTGATGCGGTATGTTAAGCTCAGACCACCACTGAGCCGCGGCGATCCCAAAAGATTTGGGACTTGAACGGCGGGCTGCATCATTGTGCTCTCCACGTATTTCGTGTTGTTCACAACTCGCTGCTTTTGTGCGGCACCTCCGCCCATGTCTATATGCTCCAATTCCGTCCGAGCATTGTCGCGCTCTCGAGTTTCGCCAAGTAAAACGCTCCTTCCGTTCCTGTACCAGACACCAACGATCCAGCAATGGCAGTCCGCCACACGACCAATTGCTCGCCGCAACATACACTCGCGATCGCGCTCGTACGTCAGTGAGGACATTCCCTTCGAGGATGATGCAGATCTACCACCTGTTGTCGATCAACAACCTCCCAGAGAGACTACCATAACACGCACCGAGCGGGCTGTGTTCCAGAAGTTGTATAGGACGTTTGATAGTGAAGGGCGTCAGCAGAAGAAGAAGAAGGACCATGCAGTGGAACCCGACCAAACATCAGAAGAGCAACATGAAGATAAAGAAGATATCTCAAGACCCTCGCTAGACAAGGTTTTCGACGAAGTGCTGAAAGGCGAACCGCGACTGCGGGCATTGCGTACACAGAGGACGAGGACTCGGTCTACCAAGCAAGATGCCGCAGATGTAGAGGTGGGCAAGGCGCAGAGTAGCAAGAAGAAAGGCTTGAGTGTGGAGGCGGCAAAACTCAAAGAAATGCGTCTAGCGGAACAAGAGCGAATCGACAATCTCATACGCAATGCCCCCACAGACCGCGCCCTCTGGCAAACCCTCGAACGCGAGGTCTTCACCAAAGTACGCGATCTCGATCTCGACAACGCCAGCAGCGGCGCATCGAAGAAGTCGTCCGAAGCAAAAACTGCTCACAAACCCTCCCCACCCTCCACCGATGCACGCATCCTCTTCCACAACTACCCCCACCACCTCATAACCGCCGTCTCGACCCTGCGCACCGAATTCCCCGCCTCTCCCCTCCCCTTCTCCATCCTCCCCACGATCAAAAAGCTCGGCCGCTCCTCGCACGCCCTCGGCGCAACAACAACCCTCTACAAGCACCTAATCCGAACGGCATGGATCCAGCAAGCCTCCTATACAACGATCAACATGCTGCTCAAAGAAATGGACGACAACGCCATTGACTTCGACACCGACATCCTCGGCCTCCTAGACGCAATAATCAAAGAACACAATCAAGCGAGGAGTGGTGGGCTGGGCAAGGGAATGGCGCTGTTGTACGGCATGGAGATGTTCGTTGATGGCCTTGCGAAGATTACTACATGGAGGAATGTGGTGGCGGAGAGATTGGGGTTGAGGAGTGAGGAGAAGAGAGCGAGTAGCACGATTGTTAGGAAGACGACTAGGTCGGATGATAAGACTTGGAAGGGCGTCAGTGGGTGGTGGAAGAAAGATGGTAGTGCACAGGGGCCTGGGTCTGGGCCGTGCGAGAAGGCTGGCGCGCAGGAATATATGCCGCTTGTTGAGGGCGTGAATCCGGGTGCGGATGGGTCTTTTCCGGAGACGACGGCTGTAAAGGACGGTGAGAGGGTCGACTCCTTCGAAGACGCGGTTCCAGCGAGCGAGGAGCCCGCTCCCGAACAGCCGGAAAGAGACGAGCGCGCCGATAATAAACGCGCAGAAGTATTAGTGTAGCATCATCATGTACAATACATTGTATTGTCACTCCAAACACAAATATTCTCCCCACTAGACAAGACGTACTTGCTACTTTCTACAATGACTCAGGTAACCATAAACCACATCATACACCTGCACAACATGCCAAATTATAAATAATCAATTCCAAAACGCCTACTATAGACCCCACACTCATACAATCATAACGATGAAACCCGAAATCTACAAACTCTCCCACCCCCCATTATTAACATCGCCCTCCAGCCTCCTCGCAATCAGGCTCTGCACTCCGCCTTCCAGCCAGACCTTCCTCAGCAACGCATCATACCGCTTCTGGTTTAGGAAAAGTTGGTGGTGACGGCGCAGCGCAGGGTCAACTTCACCGTGCTTGTCGAGATAAGGAGCGACGTGCCAGGTGCCGTGATCGAGATTGAGGAAGAGAATCATGCATTTGCGTATGTGCATGAAGAGACCAATTTGGCCGCCGCACCTGTGAGGTTGATGTGTTAGTATGGAATTCTCATGAATGATGTAGGGACTGTGGGGGAAGGACGTACTTTGCCAAATGCTGGTTACAGCCTCCACGATTCTTATTCGTCATGCAGCATACGGCTTGACTGCACATGATCTCGCCGCAGAAGAGGCAGAGTGCGGGGTCTGTCAGTTCTTTTCCGGTTGTTGGGCAGCGGCGGCGTATCGCTTCGTCGGTTAGGGTGTCGTAGTTCTTGGGTAGGCCGACGAGTTCGAAGATGGCGGGGTGGGATAGCGAGACTACGGGCTTGAGCGGGTTGTTGCCAGCTTGCGCCCAGAGGAGATGGCGGAGCCAGCCTCCTACGATGGAACGGGTCGTGTGGGCTGCTGATGTATTGCTAGCGAAGGAGGCAAATATCTCGTCGAGGGACGGTAGTCGGAGGATGGAGGAAAGACGTGGGAGTTCGGGCTCGTCTGCGCGTTCGGCAGCGACAAGTGGGAGGTCGATGCCGTAGCGCACATGCATGAGGATGGCCGCTTTACGGACGAAAGGCAGAGCGTAGGTTGAAACCATGGTTTGTATGAAGCCGAGGAAGTTGGGTTCTTTGAACTGTGACGGAATGGACATGTTATCTGTGTCCAATGAGGCGGGTGAGTCGCCCGTGTTGACGACGTTAAAGACGACACAGACAAAGAAGAGCAGGTTGTTCATCTGGTCAGGTGACGACACGAACCCGTTACCGACTTTCTCCTCACTGACAAATTGCTCGGGGGACGACACGAAGGGTTCTGGATGCAGTGCCATCTCCTCGGCCGCCTGGTTCTTCACACCTAGTGCGAAAACAAAGACTACCCGAACGATCTCAGCAAGGTAACACAGCCGCATTATGTGATGAATGTCGAGATTGGTTGCCGGCACGACGCCTACCGCACACTCTGAGAGGAAGATAAATGGGTCCTGGCATAGCAGTGGTGCGATGCTCTTCAGGTCGAAACTCAATACGTCTGGGTCAGAGATGCCTGGATGTCCGACCAACAGCTGGCGGAACTGGCGACGCTGGCTTTCTGAAAACTCATCCGTGGTCTTGGTTGGCCCCTGACCACGAAGACTTCCGATGGCGATGTACGACGAGACAGTCTCAGAAAACACCCGGAGATGGGTGATCGCTTGCGGAGAGATTTTGTCGATCAACGTCCCGCGCACCGATTCTGACTGCACGCCTCGCTGAGCAATCTCGGCGGCGGCGATAGAATACCCAAGAGCTTGTGCAAGGGCATCGGTATGCGTGAAGTCGTTTGTCACTGCTGGTGTATGCGGATATGCGAACGAGGAGTGAACGTTGTTGACTTTCAGGGTCTCTCTCAGCCTATGGTAGATCTTGATCAATTCTCCCATTGGGACATCCTGTGTGAGAGCCGGACTACTTTGAGAAGATCCTAATCCAGCTTCAGCGGTCTCGGGAGGCTGCACACCTAAGAACGCTGGGACCTGGAACCGAGGGGCAAGTTGTCCTGGTTGCGACAGAGCAAGGCCAGTCGAAGGTAGCGGTGGCTTCAGGAGATCGGGTAAGCGACTCGATATTGGCTGGATGAAGTCCCGTTCTGCGTATTCATATAGCATCTTTTGATCGTGAGACAAGTCCGCTGGAACCTTTAGACCCTTCTCCAGACTCTTGTGGGTTGCAACCAGTTGTGATTCCAGCCAGGTATCAAATGGCTCCTCTGTCTCAAGCACACCCGTGCTAGACACCTTCTTTGCTTTCCAGATAATCGGCAAAAAAATGTTTCCAAGGGCTTTGCACAGGGGACACATAAACTCCTTTAGCTCAGGCCGCTCGGGGTGATTGCGCGCAATCTGGCTGACATGACGCCTCTGCGTAGCATTCAGGTATACTTCAAAGCATGCGAAATGCATGATGTGCCCGCAGCCAGTAGTGACTGGACCAGGTGTAACCGAAAGAGGAGGGAATCCTTTTCCTAGTTCTTGCCGTTCGCTGGTAACGCGCTCGCCTGAAGCAGTGACTTTCTCTACCGTGCGCCGGTTCTTGCCGGCCACACCGAACGGGCGCAGGTCTTCAGCAGATCGATCAAGACTGACCGGCGTCTGCACGACTTCGTCCACCCACTCTTCATCATCAAGAGGAGTTTGCCGCATGATTCTGCTCTCGGAGATGTATCCAAAAGAACCGTAGAGTCTCTGCTCGTTACAGTCTTCCTGGCACAATATACATGTGCCGGAGGGGTATTTTAGGGTCTTCTCCTGCTCAACGAGTCCGCCGGTCTCATCTTCCAAGTCGCTAAAGTCATCTTCACCCCAGTCAAACTCCTGGTTGGCCAAGAACTTGCCCTGTTGCTCTTTGAAGGCTGCCATGACTTTCGCCTGTCGGTCGAGTGCTTGCTTCTTCTTGAGCTCTTTGTGTTCCTTGTCCTGAGGTGCGGGTGAGGCAGTATCCATCCTGTCGGCTGGCATATTGATTGCTGCTGCTGCAATGATGAAAGATTCTTGTTGGCGTTGTTTTAGCCTATGGAGGATCAGGCTTATCTTTGGTTCGCATGCTTTGAAAGCTTCGTTGTCTTGCAAGGTCTTCAGGATCGATAGAACAGTGGGGTGGTCTTTGACGCCCACATTCGCGTTTTTGGTCAAGACTGACGTGACAAAAGAATCGGGCATCTTTTCAGACCATACATGATCCCCGCTCTTGTCCTCAAGAATAGCCACAAGAAGGAGCTGTAAGACGAACTGGATGTATGTTTCCACGCGAGTGGCTGGTATGCTCGGTGTGGCAGATCCTGCCCTTAGCCCGTATGCCAGTAGGTAGTATATGATCTGTGTAAACAACGGTGTTCTAGTGAATGCCGACAAGTCTTGGAACAGACCTGAAGGAATCGGGCGGAGCTTCGGCTCATAGACGATGTCGCTAGCTTGCTTTCCAGTCTTCTTGGACATGTAGGCCTTGTATGTGTTCTCTGCTTCCTCTCTCTGATTGCGGTTGTATTGGTGAAGGTAAGGATCTACCAAATCGATGTACTCTTCCTTCAATTCGAAAGTCCCGCTATCAGACAATCCCTCCGGAGCTCGGAATTTGGTCATTTCAGACAAGACAGCAGGAAACTCGTCCATGTTCTGAATTCGGTCCGACAGGCGTGCGGTCATGTCAGAGAAAGAGAGTGGCTTAAAGCACAACACATGAGCAATGTCCTTGCGCATAGATGCTAATTGAGACTCATCGTTGTCCTCCGCAGGTATCAACGACGTACGCTCGCTGAGAATGATGATGAGCAGGTGCACAAAGTCCTCAACCACGTCGATAGCTTGACTGTCCTCGAAACCATGGTGACTGGCTTCATACTTGCCAGTCATCCATCCGTTTAGTCCGAATCGGTCAATCATCGATGCGAGGAAGACCGACGGATTGCAGAGAACAAGTGCAGATTGTAGGAGGAAGATGTCTCGCTGGTGCGATACGTCTCTCTGTGATACACTTCGATACTGCGTCATCTGATGTCGTAATGTGATGCCGTTCCTGACCCAAATGCCTGCGCGCATCTGAGCTAGCCATGAGCACACTCGGAGGGGGAAGTCGAACATGGCTAGTAGGTACTCCTCAGGTTGGTGCACGGGAATGGACACCATGGCCGGGTTGAAGTCCATCTGCAGTTCGCTGGGTGAGAACAGAAGCAAGCGCAAGATGTCGTTCCGATCCATGCTCCGCGCTCGATCAATGAGCCATGATAGAGTGTAATGGAGTGCGTGATGGAAACTCATGGGCTGTGTCGCGACAACATAATCGACAACCTTGTACGATGGCCCATAGAAAGTAGAGGGTTCAGCGTCGAATTCAAAGACCTCCAATATCTTGAACCTCGTCTCTTCTTTGAGCTCGGTCTGGTCAAAGCGTCTACGTTCAGCGCCTAGAGAGTTGATGATGGCTACCTTGGCAGCCGCACGTATAGCACGCTGAATGTTTGATGGGTCCTGATCGCGGTTCCAGGCAAACGACTCTGCAAAGTGTCTACACAACTTGTTGATTTCTCTGGTGATGAGAGAAGCGCTGATCCATGCTTCCGACTCAAACTCCAGATGCTCGCCCACTTGGCGAACATTTGGACAGATACCTTGGTGAAGCTTTACGAGGTCTAAGAACTGTAAGAGGTACCGTGGCTCTTCGCGAATTCTCTCCTGGACAAATTCGGAACCCAGAAGGTACTTCATATCGAGGAAGAAGTGGTACATTCGACGATTAGTCACAGCCCCTTGTTCGAAAGCTAGTGTCGCTTTGGGGTCGACGTTTGAAGGGTAACCGACCTGACGGGTGGTCAAGAAGGTGTAGAGAATAGCCATAAGGTTTGTAAGGAAGTTGCCACGTTCGACAACCTCGGACGTAATAGACGGAGTTGTCAACATCTGCAGAGAAAGGTTGATGATGGAGTGGTCAGGCTCACGGTCGGCAATGAGGTAAAGTTGTGCGAGAGCAGTATAGACGCCAGCAAAGCGTAGACCTAAGAGGCGCTTGAACTCAGGGATGGTGACGACGGTGCTGATGAAGACATCGCGGATACCGATGCGCAATTGCTTCCACATGCGCAAATCATACAATATCAAGTGATCAAGCCTCAGACGTTGCCAGAGGTCTTCGTGAGGTGGTGTTCCAGGCTTCTTACCGTAGCCTTCAGGCCGTTCTAACCAGTATTTGGCTGGCCGCGCTGGCCGTAGTGGTAGTGACCGAGTATGAGGCGTCTCTGGAACCGGCAGTATCGGTTCAGCATGGCTAAGAGACGGTGCCATGGGCTCGCTATCTGACTCGGCCGGAGTGACACTCTGCTCAAGCCGAGCACGCTGCGGTTGTGCAGGCGGTGGTGGCGGTGGTGGGGGAGCAGGGTAGCCTGCCATTGTGGCTTCAGACACTTCAAGCGCCTCGTCTGCGCTTTCGTATGCCTCCATCTCCACGTCACCATCATTGTCCTGAGCGCCGACCTCGTCAATGTCCATATCATCTTGGGTGTCTGCTGCAGGCCCACCGTCATCATCGTCGTCGTCATCAGAGGCTGTAGTGTCATCATTGGTATCGGTGGTTCGCTGTCGCTGGACCCGGATGATACGAGCTCGTCGTTGTAACAGCATGCCGTTGAAGAAGCCATCCATTTCAGCTTCCTTGTCTTCCATCTCGTGATCGTCCAAGCCATTCTTACCAATACTTTGGTTAGATGCTTCGCTGCCAATGCGCCATGGCTTAAGGAGTTCTTCACAGACGGTGCGGCGAAGTATCTGGTTATCCTCGCCGACACTGCAGCCTGCAATATCCTGTATCCACTCAATGAGTACACCACCCATCTGCTCTCGGAACGTGTCTCTCGCGGATCGAATGGTGACAGTGAGCTTGATCTCCTCGATAATCTTGGCCATGCGAAGGAGGTCTTTCAAGTCGGTCCTGTAGACTATGGCACTGCGGCCGACGTCGTTGATCTCATAGGCCTTTGCCAGGCCGAACGCCAGCTTCTGTTTGCACGCACGAGCGACCTGATCTCTGACGTCGTTGACCGTGTGTTTCTCATCATTCCACAGTACTAGGCAGAACTCGTCGCATTCCTCTGTCTCGTCACCCGGCTCGTACCATCGCGAGGTAAGGCGCGACTTGCGCTCGTCGTCGAGGATCGACTCTTCCGTCTTGGGGTGGCGCAGTTGTTCCGGGGAGCAGGAGAAGACGTCGATGAGGTAGTCGAGGGTCCGTGCAATGGTGGTGCGAATGGTCTCTGCGAGTTCGTCTGGTAGCATAGAACCCTCTCTCGCCTTGCCTGCAGCCTTGGACTCGCGCTCAGGGTCTATCGAGTGTATGTTGCAGTGTACCGGCCGTATCCAGGCCTCGTCGTCTCCGCAGTCACAGCAGCCAGAGTTGCCTGGCGACACGCTGACAAAGACCTGGTGCCCCTCATGGTCGGATGCATCGAAGCAGCGGGCGCACAGCACGCAAGTGTCGTCTGCGCTGCAAGTCTTACACCGGTATGTAGCCTCGCCGTTCTTAAATATATGCCCACACGGCTTTCCTCTCGCCGCTGGTGTGTATTCAGCGCCTTCTACAGCACCCTGGGCGTCGCGCAGACTCCAAGGCTTCTCCGCATCCGTCGGAAGCCCATTGGGGAAGAAGTGGGCTAGGAATTCGGGGCGGCCAGCAAGAGAGCGGAAGAGAATCTCGCGCAGCTCTCGGTCAGCGGCGAGTTCGAAGCGATAGTTGTGTCGTCGTGGGAGTTCGCGCAGATGTCGGCATAGTTCTTGCTCGTGCAAGGACATGTACATGGTGCAGCTTTCGCGGCGGGATGGTGGGGGGACGCGAGTTGATGGGCGGAGGGGAACAACGGAATTCCAAGGGTGAGGTTGTTTATGGTGCTGGAGTACTGGTTTTGTGGGCCAGCCACCAGGGTGAGTCTTTGGTGGGTGGAAGGCTCGATGTGGTAAGAGAAGGAAGCAGGTGTAAGATGCGCGCTATGTCATTGCGAGCATCATCTCGTGAAACAGCGCGGACCCCCGAGGCACGCGCGACGCCACCAAGCAGCCAACTGCAAACGCCGCGGGTCTACAAAGGCAACGAATGTTTTTGCATGTTCTGCCAATCGCTGTTGCATGGAAAGATATCAATTATTCACTGCACATGTTCGATCGGTTCCTTGTTCGCGACAGCCTGGTTATGGTTCTCCATGTACTAGTAGCAGCATGTTGTCTGTTTGATGCAGCTCTGATCTGTATGTATGCTAGAATCATCTATTTGGCATGTACCAAACCTTCGTGCCGAGTCAGAACTTCCATAACACACTATCAAACGCTATCATGTTGACGGGGCTTCATGAATGGGATGTAGGTCACATCGTGCCTTGGTATTTCGCATACTGTAGTATACACCACAATGTACAGTGTCCGCTCCAAAGAATCGTAAGAAAGTGTCTATTTCATGTTCGAACTGAGGTATGGCTGCTGTCCTACTCGTCGTCCTCGGCGGCCTCCATGTATCGCTGCTTGATGTCCTTCCATTGGCGCTATTATTTGTATTAGCGAATGCCATGTCCACAATAACAGTCTGACGTACGCCGCGGTTGAGACCGTCCCAGATCTTTTCTGAGCCTGTGTCGAACGCCCTGTACTGCTATCAGCCTCTCCTTTCCCCAAGTTCCTCTTCCGGATGCTGTGGCTTACAGTTGGAGACCGAAGGCGGAGCCGAAGACGGCGAACAACATGGTGGTGTTGCTGCGGAGGACCGCGCTGCAGGCGATGGTTAGTCTCGTTCGATCGAAGGTGTGCGCGAGGAGAGACTTGCTTGTAGACGGTGCCGATCATCTGCGCGGGACCATTAGCAGACATTCAAACACGTTATCCGATCAATTCACTTACGCCAGACATTTTGGAGGTGTCGAGAGGGCTGGGTTGACGGTGGAGAGGGATGTGGTGGTGCTTCACTGGCGATGTCAAAGGCTGAGGTTCGTCGACAAGATTCAAGCTCTCGCGTCACGGGGATTTGCGCTGCGCTAATTGGCCCGTCGTGCCTTCCGCTTTGACGTGAACTTTACTTCCAACCCCACCACCGCTACCAGCTCAACCTCGACGACACGCACCAATAAATCCTCAAATCCCTCCGCAGACGCCTGAAAAGACCTGGCGAGGTCTCACCAGAACAATTGGTGTGCCCTGGCTCGTTGCGATCAGCTGACGTCCTTTGGCGCATCCTACCTCCACTCCACCTCACCGCAGGCGCGACCGACACAATGCCTTCAGTAGAGACTCCCGCAATCTCCAAAGCCGGCATCACAACCTCCGCAACCGGCGAACGCCACATACCAGCATCCGTCCGTCCCGACGGCACCCTGCGCAAAGAAATCCGAGTCCGCCCAGGCTACCGCCCACCCGAGGATGTCGAACTCTACAAGAACCGCACTGCTGAGGGCTTCCGCAACAGAGGAAAGGCAGGTGTACCAGGTGCCGAGGCTGTGAAGAATGAGGAATCTCCCAGCATATCAAGTCCTGCTGCAAATAAGAATGCCAAACGGAGGGAAGCTAGGAAAAAAGCCGCAGCCGCTGCGAGTGATGGGAAAGAGGAGGACGGAGTCTCTGCCGAGCCCAAAGAGACAGATAAATCAGCTGAGGTCCAAAAGAATGAGACCGCGAAGCTCGAGGCTGAGAAGGTTGTCGACCCTGAGGCTGAGAAAGAGAAAGAAGCGAAGAAGCTTACCAAGAAGCTGAGGCAGGCGCGCGAACTGAAAGACAAAAAAGACAAGGGCGACAAGCTGCTACCGGAGCAGTTTGAAAAGGTCATCAAGATTAACGAGCTTATACGCCAACTAGAGGGCCTCGGCTTCGATGCACAGGGAGAGAAGAAGGGAGAGACTTGAGCGCATACGACAAGAGCTCCTCCATGGATAACCACACGAACTCCCGAGCCGAGAAAGCTGCTTTTCTAGCATGGGCTGGCGAACCCACGACACTCGCGCCTTGGTGGTGCGGTCAAACGAGACGGCAGAGGTCTTTAAAACCCACGACTATACCGCGACGACAAGCCGCCCGAGCGTGCATCGACCTCAATAACGAATAACGCTGGCTTGGGCATATATCGCGACAAAGCTCTTTACTACTGCCATATTTGCTGCAGCCTACAGCGCCATCTACGCATGTGGTCCAAACGAGCCCTACAGACCTGCCATTAGGACTTTGTGGCAGTTAACATGTATCATAGAGTATACAAGAAACCAAAATCCAACCACGCATCTAATTCAACTCGCAAGTCCATTAGCATGTTCTTACCTACCGTGATATTCCGCCCTAAGTACCCCACGTACCGAATAGTAGCAAAAAGAGAGTGCGTGTTCGAGATTCGCCATTTCAGATCCAGAACAAAAAAAAGAACAAAAACATACAACAGCGGGGATTCGCTAGTGGTCACCCACCTAACTACTAATCCGCCGGTATCTTGCTTGTATATGGCTGAGCGGACGGGAAGCCTAATTCTCAAGATCCTATGGTCGTATGTGAAGGAACTGTTCGTCGAATCAGTAAATATCTCTCATCTCAACATCTACAGCGAATTCAAAGTCCATCCAACGTTCAAGCACTCAGAGAGAAACACTCAGAGAGGACCAGGCGTATATAAGGTAACCAATTGGGTCTCATAATAGGTTCAACGTCTCATCATTCACTTCCCTGGCGTTCTGTGATACAGTTTCCTAGATTTCAGTATCATTACTTACGCGACTTCCACTGCGCATTATAGGCAAGGAGTGAATAGCGGCAAGGAGTGATGGTGCAAAATCCGGGATGTAGGGGACGGGTCCGCGATCCAAACCCGAGGCATACCCAAGTCTAGCCAATAGACTCCTTTCTACCTCAAGCTCACTTTCATTCTCATGTTCTAACAGGCAGTACGCTACAATAACTCTCCAGCGGCCTCATAGCCGCGTCCAGACATATATTCCTACGTGCGTACTCAACCCACTCACTTTCAATAGTACTGACTTCCAACGTATCGCTCGATTGCTTCCCCACCGAACTTTTGAAGTCCTGCGCGTTTCAGCCCTTCGGAGGTATTTGGCTCTGGCACCCATATTCCAGTCTCACACGCGTAGTAAATCCTCCTATGCTCTTTATCCTCCGGTCCCTCATCACCCCACTCCGCTCTCTGGCCTGGCGCATGATATGCAATTTGCAGTTTCCCTGTCTTACCCACCATGTCAGATGCAAGCATGAAGGACTCGAGAACGGGCATCTGAGCAACGGCTTTTGCAAGCGCGCCGAGAAAAGGATCGAAGGTTTGTGGGTCGGGGTGTTGCCGGAAGTCTGCCCAGCTGAACTCGCGCGTATCGACACTTCCGATAATCCCGCGCACGGGGTCGTCGTCGGAATCGTAGGCCGGTGTTGGACCAGTGAAGTACCATTTGCCTGATGGAGCGACCATGTCAAACGTGATGTCGAGGAACTTCAAGTGTGGCCAAGACGGTGGCATCGCGTTTTCGTCTGATGGCCAGAATAGCGTTGGGTCGACGTGCGCACTCAGGGTAAGGGTTGTAAGACATTGTGAGAAGGTTCGGATTGATGAACTGAACGGGTCGTATGTGTAGCCTTCTGGCACAATGCTCGGAACTGTATACCTCTGATCTGAAGGAGTGCCGTGGCAAAAGACAATATTGGCAGAATGGAGTGAGCGGAAATGTGTCGGCGAGAGCTTGTTAGCAAATTCAGCGCGCGCCTCACCGCGCGCCTTGGGAGATGTCGCCAATTCCCACGCCGGATCATAGTCTGAATCCAACGAGTCCTGATCCGACCCCGCGTCAGAACCAGCCTCGTAGTCTGGAAACTCCCAGTCCACTGTCCTGAGCTCTGGCATTGCCACCGCTAAATCTGGTGCAACGCTTGGTGCAAGGCTTCGCACGCCCGTACGCTCGATGGTAAGGTGCTGCAGATTAGACAATGTAGGCAGATTGTCGGTTTGAACAAGGCGCAGGTGCGACTCTGCCCAACGAGCGGATTGAATATCTCTGCTGACACCAAGCTCGATCTGGAGCTCATCCACTTCCCGAGAGTCGGTCGGCGACGAAGCTCCAGCAATTATAAGTCGCACTCCGTTCTTCACACCGTTGTCTTCCCAGGTTCGCAACACAGTGAAAAGATCGCTTATAGTTTTTGTAAAAGCCTCGTTGTTGGCATGTTGATCAAGTCGTGACTCCTTGTGTTCATATGCTTCTTCCGGATATGTTGGCAATTCCGCTTTGAAACTGATCCAGGAAAGGTAGTTGCGGCGATTTCCTGTTACAATCGACTGAAGACATTCCAGCTCATCGCTTTTGACGCCTAGACGGTGAAATGTAATGGTCTCGACTGCTTCCTTCCAGCTGCGATTGAGGATCGCGAGGCGAGGAAATTGAGATGGCGAACCATTAGGCTCGAAAGATTGTCCTATTGCAGAAGCCCACTGTTCCTGGTCTGGGTAACGCTCTGTGAGACGGACAATATGATTGATCAGCTCCTGCGGTAGTTTGTCCATGACGCCAACGAGGTATGGGAGGGGGCGCACCATTGTTGCGAGAACGCTGTGGGGTAGGTACGCGGGAGTACCGAGGCGCTAGCAGGGGTGTCGTACGTGAAAGGATTGGCTAAAGAACCATTATATATATCTCATATTGACATATACATTCAGCTCAAGACTCACATCCAAGTCAAGGCACCCAGATAGATGTTCGAACGCACGGCGAACATCGGCTAATGATAATATAAACCATTAAGTTTAATAGATGCTAATCTACAGGCGCTTGACAAAAGGAACTAGACTTGAGTCTCCGCCTACTCATTCCAATTATGATAAGCAACCGGCGAAATATCCTGCCCACCATACGCGGTACCACCGAAGTCGAGGTACCCCTGCGCTCCTGAATAAGGAATTCTAGCAATGTCCTCATACTCGCCCATAACCCACACACTCTGCATACCCATAATCATATGCTGCAGCACATGACAATGCAGCATCCAGCAGCCCGGGTCCAGCACCCTCAGTCTCCAGCAACGCCATCCACCTTCCTCTCCCGCTGTACCCTTGGCACGGTACCTGTACAGATTCGTGGTATCACGCTTGACAGGGTTGTAGTTTTCGAGCTTCTTCTCGTTCTCAACAGGATCGAACGTTCCGTTTCCGCTGCCGCAGTCGTAGAAATGCGCGCCGTGGAGATGGAACGGGTGGTAGTCGAAGCCGCCATTGTTGTCGACAAGAGAGCCTGTGTTTTCTAAGATGATCTCGATGACTTCGCCGAGCTTAGCGGGCCAGGTTAGCGTGTATGGGTCCCAGCCGCCGTTTGCCATGGCCGCGGTGTAGTTGGGCATGGCTGCGGGGCCGTTCTTGTAGATGTCGACGAGGTAGGGCGGGCTGTTGGCGGCAGTTTCTTCGGTCCAGTTCAGGCCGTCGAGTTGCCAGATTGTGGTGGATTGCTTGATTTGCACGTTGTTGATGTGGACGCGGCGAGTAATTTCAGATGCTCTGGGGAAGTTGTTAGGGACGAGGGGTTCGAGGGCGTATTCGAGGAAGTCGTAGGTGGCGTTGGTGAATGTTAGAGGGGCGACAGTGGGTGCGGTGGTAGTCTTGGGACCTGAGCTTGGGTAGCGCAGGATACCGTAGCCGGTGTAGATTGCAGGTCGGTCTTTGGTCTCCCACTGGATAATGTAGTCGGTCTGGTTACCTAGCTCTTCTGCTGTCTTTGTGCTGAAGAGGGCGTCGAAACGTTGGCCCGATGAAAGCATCATGTGGTCGGTGGTGTGGGATTGCGTGTAGGAACCATCGGCTTCGATAACGTCGAACTTGGAATGGTCCTCGATACCGAACGATACCATTGATATAGCTGTGGCACCTACAAAGCGCATGCGGTAGGTCTTGCCAGGCTCAACCTCGATCACTGGCAGCTCACAGTTGCCCTCGCCGGCCGTTTCACCAATAGCTACACCAACACCGTTCAGCAGCACTGCGTTGGTCTCACCAGTCCACTTGAATGGTGTTGCAACGAGACCATCTTCCATTACCTCATCAGTCTTGTTGTAGTAGTCCTGAAGAAAGACGATGCGCTCTTCATCGTACTCAAACGGAGGAGGGCCAAAGTCTTCGATAATAAGCGGCCCTGCTGCAGAGATGGCCTGGAAGCCGATGTGAGAGTGGTAGAAGTAGGTTCCTGCATCCTCAACCTCGGGATGAATCTCGTAGTCGAAGCATCTGTGAGGTGCGATCGGCCATTGGCTGACAGGCGAGCCGTCACTGAAAGGCGCGGTACGTTGGCTGAGACCGTGCCAGTGCTGATGCGTGTTAATTACTGGTGTGTAGCATAGTCTAGGTTCTTCATACCATTGTTGTGTTGTACTCCTCCATGTCATTGCAGACTCGCACCCAACTCGTCTTTCCGGCTGGAAGACGTAGTTCGGGTCCAGGGGATGTACCGTTTACCAACGCAGACATGCGAGACTGGCATGCTACAGTATGGTTCTCATATGTAACCGAAAGATAGAAGTCCGGGGTGAACCCTCCATCATGAGTGTGGAGACAGGAGTCGTTCTTGCCTGTGGGGTAAGAGTCGTTCGTTCCTGTCGGGTAGGGTGCATTCGACTCTTGACCCACGACTGAATGCACCGCTCCTAGTAGCAAGCCAAAGACCAAAGGTGTGAACATTTTGGATGAGATGCGATGAGCTGAAGTGAGGTATCGAATAAGCACTGCCCAGCCTTATAAGCAGAGCTCCTAATATAAGACGTCAAGGTGGCGCACCTCCTCTGGCGGTGCACAATCTGACACAGCTAGTCTATCGTCTACGAACCGTGATCTACGTCAGCGATGCTGACGGCAGGGTTAGACCCGTGAGGGTTGTTAGTACAACCCAACACTTCCTGAAGAAGGCCCGAGATCTTGCCGAACGCGAAAGCGTATCGTCTAGATGTCAATTAGTCTGCGACCCTGCGTCTGTCCACAACATCGCGAAACATATTCTCCATGTTCAGCAGAGCGTCAGTACGTTGTATACAAAAATACTCGCGGCTGTCAAAATAGAGTTGCCATCGTCGCGTGGAGTTTAGGTTTCCTGCTAACGCACCGTAAGCCCCCTATCAGGCTTGTGTGCGGACCGAATGGCGGTTCTCGCTCGCCATTGCAATTACCGGATCGTCCGGGAGGTACTGTAGAACAAATGGAAGTCGACTAGAAGCACAGAACTGATGAATAGCCTGGATAATGAAGACAGTTTCGCCGGGCCCCTGATCATCAAACCTTGAGAAGCACCGACTATAAGTATAACTTTGTACCATCTGCAGCCTTACCCAACGGCAGTTCTCCCTCTATATATACATCGGCCCTCCTCTTCTGAAACCACGTCGCATCGTCAACGTCATCGATATAATGTTCGCCCAATTCGTATTACCGTTCCTCGCTATGCAGATGCTCGCATCAGCAACACCGCATCAACACCGGAGAGCCAACGGCGTCGAGATTACGAGTCTGACAAAAAACGTCACATCGACTAGCGGACTCGGTAATGTCGCTGCGGCGGGTAACCTTTCACCATTCGGCGACATTGGTGTAGGTTGTGGCATCAATTGGCAAGCCGACGTGTCGTACGGAGGTATGTACTTTACTTTCCAATGTGGCCGGTCTTAACTAACGCACGCGATACAGGCGGACTTCAGGCTGGATCCAGCGACTTCGGTCTCGGAAGCGGCTTCAACATGACCCCGGAAGCCATCATTATCGGCGCTGGAATCGGCATGAATGCGGCGAACGCGAGCGCGAACATCCAGTTTCATGGGGCGAAGAACGGAAGCGTCGAGCTAGTATTCGAAAGTTCCGCACCGATCGTGTGCACGCCAGGGTTCAAGGATGGAAAGTCAACTGTTTCATGCAAGACGGTTTCTGTGTAGATTGTGGGAAGCTAAAATTGTTCGATCGATACCAGAAGCCGCGTGTGGAGTTTAGGTTAGAGAGAAGAGGAGTGGCAAAGAGAAAGGGCAGAGAGTATATGGTCCGTGCGACGGGCGACCACCCCGCCATCACATTTGGGCTACGGGGAAGCTCGTCTTCGTCTTCGTCCTGGAGATATCGGAAATATTGATATCGTTTTGATAGAGCGCTTAAGACGGTGCGTGTCTTTTTAGGATACACCTACAACAAATCGCGCGTCCTCATACTCTCGGTGCATTCTGACTCTTCGAACGCGATCCGACTTCGAATGCAGCCAACTTTATTACTTATCATTTTGTGCTTGCTGTGTACTTCTTCAGGATGAAGCCAAAGTACTGGAAAGTGTCGCCTCCACCCATGACTTCCATTTCAAGATTCCACTCACTGTCTCGATTGAGGATAGGCTTGATGAAGTGCGGCTGACGGTACGTGATGTAGAGAAACAAGCCGTCATCTTTCAGTACCCTCCAGACCTTTTGACAATTAGCATATGTCGAAGCTTACACGCTTGCACCTCATCCATCAACTCACCTCGTTAAGATACCTCCCGCTGTTCTCCATAACCTCCTCCGGTGGACTCCATGGACTGCCGTAGATCATGGCATCTAGCGTGCCTTTGTCAAAGGCGACATCCACAGAGTTGCTGTCGATACCCTTCATATCTCGCACATCACCAACTCTCCACTCTACTTGAGGTTCGTTTGAGTGCCGCGATTTCATCAGATCGACCACTGTTGAGGAAAAGTCAATGCAGAGCTGGTTCGTGTAGCCTCGCTCTAGGAGATCGTATGGGACAGTCTGGCCACGGGTCAGTCATTCAAAACATGTAAACACAGAAACAATTTGCAGATTATTAGTGAAGACAAAGTGATGTTGAGCCAGGCTATCATCGCTTGGATGTTGGAGTTTGTGCTGCTCACGGCGTTCCGCGGTTTGATGATGGGAAGACTTACACTATCGCCGCTACCCAAATGAAGAATTTTTCCATCCTTCCCCTCATCCTTTGTCTTGTCGAACAAATGTTTCTTGAAGAACGGCTCTAAATCCTCGAAAGCACGGAACCACTCATGTGTTGGCTTGTTTCCTTCGGCCTTTGCATACCGTTCGTCCCAAAATTCTGCATGGCCGAGGGCTTGCGCCTCTTCAGTACTGGATGGCATGGTGTGTTGGGCCGAGTTCGATTTTCGCGCAAGCGTTCAGAGATAACTCATACGGTAAAATTCAATGCTTGCGCAAGCGTTTGGTCAGAAGACTAGGGCGCTGTGCAGTTGTAACGTGGTTGCTGGCCCCTCACTGTGAGGCAAGGATGTGGGTGGGCATCGGTGATCCATGGATGCGGTGCTCTTACCATGGCGCTTACCAGTATCTACGCAATAACATGCGACAGCAAAACACGGTTCTACAAATCGACTTGCAACCCTTCACACCAAATTTGTACAACAGATATTATGCTGCGCCATCAATCGGTACCTTGAATGCGTACAGCTAACTGGATGTCGTAGGCTTGCGCGACAAAGCAGGTACCAGGGGAGACGCCACGGTCGCACATGCAGAACGCGAAAGATCGCTCACCGGCAGCCATCTGCAGCGTAATACCGCCCCCACGACCCCATGGATCAAGTATACTGCAGAACTATATTTCAAGCGGCGCTAAACGGGAACTCCGCATGACGTGGTGGCATCGGGACACCAGGTACTATGTTGCTCTTTCTTCGAAAGACATTCCGTGATTTTGTGGTCGTGCATGGATGGCGAAGCAATGATGAGGGCGAACATGGATGCACCAACTGGAGCAGCAATGAGTTGAAGCCGATGAGCCTTTTGCTCTCCCTACAATGCGCTACAACCTTTCAACTGGCTGGCGATACTGTCATTTTTATACTGGACCACGGAGGTACATGGGCTCCTGCAGCAATGGAGGTGACAGTGCTAGAGGACAAGGTTGCACATGATTAGCCATCGAAGCGACAGGGTTGCGGGCCTCACGCCGCAGTCGGGTGGTCCTGGCCTTACATCTATTGGAAGCTGTCTCTGTCCCTATCTCCTGCATCGTCTCGTCTTCGCACTCATACGCTCCATGTCTCGAAGTTCTCCATGACATAAGTCAATATGCCGGTACAGAAGTCTCCGTTCTTTTGTGGATGCTTAGCCAGGAGACCTCGCGCGCCTGGGACAGTGTTGGAGACACCCGAAAGACGAGACACAGGACGTATCCAAGAAGAGTAACACTCAGAAGCCTTGTTTGTGTGCGCATTTCAACTAACGCTACTCAGTAAATCGGAGCCATGCATAAAACTCGTAGACGCCTCCGATGCTGCGAATTTCGCTGTCAACGATATGTTGCATTCGACTGTTTTGCTGAAGGAAACAAATCCCCTGAGCGCGGCCTTTGAGCGAGCCTGTTTGGACCGGCCCGAAGATCAAAAAGTAGCGCTGAGAAAAGCGCAAGGACTGCATGAGTTGTTTAAGCAACTCGAACGTTCAAACCAAAAGAGCAGTGAAGAATCTGCGTTCCGACGAGGCGTCAAGAGACTCACTCCTACAATCGGAGTGATAGGAGGTAGCATGGGTTTTGTGGGCTCACTGACTGCTCTGGATCCAGCTGCGAATAATGCCTTCGGAATAGTTCAGTCTGTCATGACGGTAAGAACTGTTGCTGGGCATCTAGCAATCATGCCGACTGATAGCCCTCGTGATAGATCGCCATCGGAGTCTGTGGCGCAGAAATGCAGTTCCAGGAACATGTTGAAGCCATTCTACAAGGCGCTACTGTCATTGAAAGATGCGATGAAATCTGGGACTCAACGCGACCCCGAGGTCCGCACGTTTTCCAGGTAGGAGAACTTTGCATTCCAATGTAACTTCAGGCTAATATCAGTGGCCAGGCTCTTGTAAAAGTCTATACTGATTTGCTCGACTTCTACTTCGAAGCCATGCTCATCTTGCAAAGCGACAGCTTCTTCCTCGGTGTACAAAAGAGCCGGTCTAGGCAGAGACTGCCCGAGATTGCATCATCGTTCAAAGGTCACACAGAACAGCTCGACAAGTTCATCATTCAGGAGATACTCGCCCTCAACCAGAAGATCGACGATGACCAGATGAGCATCAAAAGTGGGTCGCTCGTGAAGCTATGCTCACGTGGACTACGATACTAACCTGACATCCAGTTCACGGTCTACTCGATAATGGCAATCAAAATAAGCAGATCGAATACTACAATTCCCTCAAGGAGCGCGCCGACGAGGCATGCGCCTGGATTGTCTCTTCGATCAATTTCCGCGAGTGGCTTGGGCACTCCAATCGTGACCTTCCAATCCCAGAAATCCCAGCTTCGAAGTTTTGCATCCTGTTTGGAGACATGGGATCTGGAAAGTCTGCAACAACAAGTTTTGTTGTAGACTTCCTTACATCACATCCGATCTTCTCGGATTCAATGAAGCCACTTGTCTGCGTCTACTACTGTAAGAATGACAACGAGACCAACAAAGCGAGAAACATATACCGCAGCATCCTCTCGCAGGTACTGAAGCGTATGGGTCAACTAAAGCCGATGTTTCTCAAATGGCACAAAGAAGCGCAAACCAAGAACAGCCTGATTGACCCAACCTGGGACGATAATGCGCTGCGCGACTTCTTGGTAGACGTACTTCAGACATTCTCTAGACGAATTTACCTTGTTCTGGATGGCGTTGACGAATGCGACTACAACAGCCGCGATCACATCCTACAGTTTTTCGAAAGGTTCCACAAGTATGAAGCTCCAGTGAATGTATTCCTGTCGTGTCGGTACGATGAGTCACTCAAGGAGAGATTGCCGCCAGAACGGACAATACTTCAAATGCAGTCCTCACGCGAAAGAGATCGCATCATTGCTGCTTATCTCGTTGAGCGCCTCTTTAGGCATCAGCCGAAGGAATTCCAGGACATGATTATACAAGAGCTAGCTTTGCAAGCAAATGGGTCGGCGATATGGCTCAAGATGGTGCTAGAGTACCTGATGCGAATTAGCCCTAGCAAAGGCCAGATAAAGCGCGAGCTGAAACACATCCCCCCTCCGCAGAGTCTATCAAAGCTATACCGAAAGCTTTTTGAGACTGCGGCTGCCGAACTACCCGAAAATAATCGCGTTCTCGAATGCGCTCTTGAGACTTTAGTCGTGTCTAGACGATTGCTTACCATGGACGAGCTCACGTACGCAGTGACGCTCCAAGTCGAAGAGCAGAAAATTCGCACATTGGGCGATGCTGAAGACTATCTAATCGACTCGATACGACTTCAACAACTCATCAGTCCCTTTGTGAGTTTCTCGGATCATGCTGGAAGTGCGACTGTGCGTGTAGTTCACCAATCATTAAAAGACCTCATCCTTGAGAAGCCAGCGTCAGCCTGGGGATCTGAGGGTCGTTCTGAGAACAATAAGCAACGATTGGCAAGCCTTCACAGCAAATTATTGAACTGCTGCATCAAGTACCTACTCTTAGAAGGTCTTCAAGAGAAGGAGTTATTCCCGGATGAGCAACTGGATACATTGGAACGACGCGAAGATGGTAAGAAACTACATGTCCATGCGAAAGCAACTGCTAACAGTTCACAAAGAGTTGGGATTTTTCGGCGACTTCAACGTGGAGTCAGATGAAGATCAGCCTCGCGAGTCCAGTTCCTCACAAGCCCTATCGCGAGAGTTTGACCCGGAATCAGCTGGTCTCGGAAAGTTCTTTACCTACGCCGCATGTTACTGGACAGAGCACTTCAAGGACTGTGCACCTGGCGTACTTCCCAAAGGGGACGATATCGCCAAACTAGCACGTCGCGGATCGCCGACCCTTCGCAACTGGGTTGAGACATACAAAAGACCCAACTTGACCTTGTCTTCGCAGCGTAACTTAAACGTTGAAGACTTTGACGAACTAGTCGTGGCAACCAGCTTTGGCTCCGAGGCTTTCCTAATGACGTTTTTGAAACGCAAATTCGAAAAAGACTGCATTCGAGATGAATCACCAGCAGAAGCAGTGAAATGGCTTATGCAATCTGGAAATCTCGATGCCGTCAAAACTCTGCTCGAAAACGAGTCTCTTCAGTACAGATTTCGGGATGGATTGTTCCTCTGTCAAATCATCACTATTTGCAAGGATGCAGCGCATACCAACAGCGCGAACCAGCAGAAGTGGGATGAACTTCTCAGTATCCTTGTATGCGACTTCTTCAGCAGCGGCGATTCCCCCTTCGAATGGGCCAATACTTTTCTGTGCTCGGCAGCTCGACAAGGCTGTCTGCCCATGATCGAAATCCTCTTCGCCAAAGCCAGCAAAGAGCCAGACCTAGCCAAGGCGCTCGTGGCGGAAACTCAAGTTGACAGTCCTTACCAATCAGTCGGAGAGGCAGCATTTTGGGGCCATGCAAACATCGTCCAATACCTGCTCACACAAAAGGAGGTCGATATCACTCCTCACTTACACCATCGCACCACTCGCGATCGGCGAAACGTACTGCACTGTGCTGCATCGTCGAAAAACGCAGATATCCTTCGTATTTTGGCTGAAAGGCTTCCGAGCGGAGTTGAAGAACAATCAACGGAAGGAGACACTCCATTGCAATTACTGACATTCGGTCACCACGCGAGCATCGAAGCGATTCGGGCTTTGGTAGATGTCGGCAAGGCAGACGTCAACTCTTGTCCAGGAGGGATATATTTCTCTCCGCTACGGACTGCTATACGCGCTAAGAATGTAGAGGTGTGCCGGCTGCTCGTGTCGTACGGTGCGCGTCTTGACGACGCACTACAGCGCGATGCAGGTTCTGGGGAGATGGGGCTAGCGGACGACTTGGGAGAAGCGGAGACCTCTCAGTGCGTCTTGGACATACTGTTACCGCTCGCAAAATCGTGAGCATGCGATAGTCGTTTCTTGAGGGAAGAGAATATGTATGATCATGATGCAGGAGAGTGGAGGCTGAGTAGACACCTCAAGCCCAAGGGCACCTCATATAAGGAAAAAACCGAACACTCTGGAGCCTACATCAAGGTGAAAACATGCAAAGCACGTGAACCAACGTCAACGTAGGCTCCAGAGTGTTCGGTTTTTTCCTTGAATAAGGTGAGGCCTTCCAATGGCTGAACGAGTCATGGCATGGCATCTACACGTCTCTATGTTTCCAGGACTCGGAATAGAAACGCGCTTCCAAGATTGTAGCGTTCTCCATTTAATCCCTTGTGTTATGCAATTGCAGTCTGTGTATTTGGCCTACGTATACGGAGAGGGGGCCACCCGTGTACCGATCTCTTATCTTGTGGGCTGCGAAGGATATGGCGGTTCGTTCGGTTTCGCTGTGGTCTGCGGGGGCGAAGGATCGAGGCTGGTACGCGTGGGCTAGAATGGACGAGTGAGACGACGGCGCCAACAATGGCAGGTACGAACGATTCGTTCGCATGCGAATCGATCGCTTTCTGGCTGTTAGATAGCAAAGAGGATTAGGCATTTCGCAGCACCCGTGATGGTGGATGCGCTGTATGGGTACGAGTGTAGCAGTGCGCAACACGATGCTAGTCGCCCAGCCGCCCCAAGGCCAGCACAACGCGGACCCGAGCATGCTCAGGTGGTTCTCAGCACCCTAAGACCGCCACAACCATACGTTTATCTCGTAAATGCACCAAGTCAGAGCACAGGTAACGAAAGTCTGGTTTGTGTTGGTCACAAAATCTTTACGAGAGAGTCATAAGCTAGCAGAACGTTGGAAGGGCCGGTCAAGGGTACCTAACCTTGGAAAGCTGAAGATCTATAGGAGAGAAAAGACCTCGGAGCAGAGAGCGTGTAATAACAAGGTTGCGCATTCACGTAACAAGAGAATCGAGAAGAGAAACGGCGGGCTCACGAGCAATCAAGTTGTTCAACGGTAATAGCTTGGAAGTTTTTACACCAGGCCCCTACATCTGATCTACCTCAGTCGTAGTGAGGCGCTAATCCCACGGTCGTGCTCGTAGTCTCACATGAACCCATCCTGGTTGCTTGGCTCGTCCGCCAGTACATCGCCTTACAGAAGAGACTAGGAAAGAAGTGTCATGATACTATGAGGAAAAGATGTCAGTCCATCGTCTAGTCGTGACTTGTTTGAAAGAGAACACTTACACCGCATTGACAACATCGCCAGATATAAGCTTTTCTTTTCTCCTAAGGGACAGTCAGTTGGCATTAGTTTGCAGCTGGACAGGAGATATCATACGGGCGTGCTTATCCATAGCACCACGGCCATGGTGAGCCATAGTAGCACGGTCATGACGAAGGCGGCTTCCCGTCGATGCCAGTGGAAGCAGAGCCAATGTCGTGACTCGCTGTAATATCACCCGTACGGCCGGTGCTATTATTTTGCGTTATAGGAGAGGCCTCAGGACAGGGAGAGCCCCAAACCAATGCCAGACTTATACTGGCTATGCCAACTACTGCGATTACAGTAATCAGGAAGTCCCGATCCCAAGCGCTCTTGAATAGACCCATTCCGCTGGACCGGGGGATCGACCAACCCTTATTAACAGCACCGCCTTTGTCGCGATGTGTATTGGGTCGATGGTAAAGTGGAGGAGGTGCAGGAAGACCGGTGACGGCGGTGGCCGCGGTGGCTGCGAAGTCGTATAGGTGCAGATATCTAGGTATGGCTGTGCTAGTAGCTTGGTATCGAGGTTGGTGATGAGCTGGAGTGGAGTAAAAGTGTACGATTTGTTGTGTTCTGAGCCATTGGCTTGAGATATGTCCAAGGGTATATAAAGACTGTTGTGTGATGGGTGTCAGGGCGGATTGTCCCGATCCCGCAAGGTCAGGGGGGCGCATGCAAGAGGCTCCAGGGTCCTGCGTCTCACCGGTAGGCCTTTTTGAGGTCAGCGCAGCAGAGAAAGGCCCCTCCAAGGCTGTCACGTTCACGAGAAGGGACCGGCTGAGCGTGCACAGCCTCGACGGATGCACATACCTAGGTGTTCAACTCAGCAGAACATTCCGAGGACGAGGCATGAACTCTCTGCATTGCCACCGGGCTCTGCCCAGATGCTCTTGGGCATTCATGGGTTGCAGGCTGTACAGCCTGCATATGACGGAATTGAATCACATGGCCTTGCTCGCTGTCTACTTGACCGGCCAATCAGTCTTTCGATCGCCAGCCTGGGTCTGCCATTCGACGAGCCCTCCAAAGCCGCAGGCTGACGCGCCTTCATCCTGATAGAAAAACACTGGAAGGTATATCTACCCCGCACCCTCAGCTGGACTGAGAAGCGATTTCCTCCTTCTTATCCTGCGACTCATCAAAGATGTCGCAAGGTCCGCCTACTTACCCTTACAATACGAACGTATCGTTGACCATGAACGAAGAGGAGACTGCGTCTGGGAAACAGCATGAAGTCTGGTCTGTGATCGGGGCCAGGGAGCAGAACACGGGCAAGAACCGCGTACGACAACCCAACAAGTCTGCAATGCGACTACTTGCTATTTTCGAACGTTTACTAACACCTCGACAGTCTGCCCAGATTCTTGGAATGACAGGCACCATCAAGGGCGAGGAGACCGTAGAGAAATCTACCACCGGGATACAACAAAAGTATGGGGATAACACTATTAAATCGACTGGAGCTATCACTGCTACCGAGACGATCGACGACAGTTCGACTGGTCTTGTTATTGTGGAAGGTGCAACGGGTTCAGCTATGATCACTGAGGATACGGGAAACATTGCAGCCAAGCGTGTCAAGGGAACATCCACTGGTATAACTTATTCTAGATAGACAGAGTACGCTACTCTGATCTCGCTATCGCTTGTTCAAATTGCTAAGTTGCCCAGTCAGGCACTATTGTCCGACATCAGGCGTGTACTATTGGTTGTGATACAGTCGAGGTTCTGACTGCTACGCCACTGAGTGGCGCTCAATCACTAAGTGCTAATGCCCGTATTGATATCGCTAGAGTCCAAGCCAACTTCAACGGAACCAGTTTCTCGTGATATTCTCGCTGAAAAGGTTGGTTCTGGTGCCTGATCATAAGTTAGACGCATGCACAGTTGAGTATGTTTGATGATGTCGAAGCCAATGTATAGAGCTCGCTCACAGTGAAAGTTTGCCAACACATCCTAGGCAAAGTCTGGTTTTGGGAGTTTCCACTTACAAAACCTTTGAAAGAAATCCCAGTGTTTACACGATCAGCGCGACCACCGACTACGATATTCCCGGTCTGCCCTAATATGTGTGCGCAGGCTGTTGAATTACGCGTTTTCGGAACCTCATTCGAGCGCGTGGGCCTAAATTCCATCCTCATCGCTGCTTTTATGACGTTGGTTAGTAATTGTTCATGCTCGACATCCATAGTAGTTCAACCCTCTTCGGGTCATGATGGGTGATTTCCCGTGGAATGTGCCCTACCGCTTGAAGATCTCCTAGATATCTGTTCTTGGAGCCGAAAGAAGGCATGTTCATGGCCTTCGCCGTATATAAGAGGCATATGAACATTGAATATACCCAATAGAGAGTATGCTCGGTCTTCATCTCGTTTCGTTGAACGCTTTTCCGCCCATGATAATCGCTCTTGAACGCTCGTCTCGAAAAGATCCCCACCCTGAAGGACGTGCTGGGGTACCTTTGTTACAGTCTCTATCTCCTGCAAACGCGAGGATTTATCACCGATATGTTCGCCCTCCCTAGTGTAAAAGCTAATGACCTTCGGGGCAACGAGCTCTTGTAGTGTCCACCCGCGAGTAAACCAGCGGCTGGTTTGGAAAGATCCAGTATCTTGAACTGAAACGTCAGACAAGTAAACGTAACATTTAGCTGCTTCCCGATACCAGCGAAACATTGAATTAATAGCCTCTGAGAGTTCCGCGCTGCTCGACTTGTCAATACAACAAGTATCAACCCAGGAATACTCTAGACCATCTCTGGCGGCTTGCCTTGTGCAGAAGAGGATCTTGCGATGACCTGCTTTGCCCTGGCCTGTACCATCTGTGATGTCCTTTAGAGTGACCTCGTCGGCATCCGACCCCCAAGTATGAGAAAGGATGCCATAGGGTGGGATCTCTTTGCCGTAGAACTCATCTAGGCTGAGATGACCGTTTACGAGATGTAGGAGGCGCATGGTGAGCGAGTTCGAGAGATCAGTGCCAGCCAACAGATTGGTATGCGACGAGACATTCACGACCAGAAATCGGTGGTTTGAGGCGTCGTGCGATAAGAAATCGATTCTGTAGCTGCCGTACGATAGCTGGTTGAAAGTTACGTATTCGTACAACTGATTAGCGATGTTGGTGATAGAGAGGTGGTGGGAATAGCAGGTAGTGACGAGGCTGAACAGCGAAGGCAAGATTTAAGAAAAGTGGCGGCCGGCCCAACCGTACATGCGGCGTGAGCAACCGAGTTGGTTCTACCGAGAACCATTCGTCCCTCCCCAAAACAAATGTTCTCTTTGGCTGATTGGCTAATATAAACGAACTTCATGCAGTACTTCGTATGACGACTCTAGCCGACACGTACAATGTTCGTCGACGAACTGTTGATTGAAAACGACCTTTTGTGACTGAGTAGAAGTGATACGACAACGCATGCTAACAGGAAGGAATGCGCTACCCGAATCCATTTGCGATACCAAGGGAGGCTATGCAAAGCCTTACACCGGTGAAGGAGCCGTCCACCGGTGAGAAATCTTCTTGGTTGTTGATGACAAAATGAGTCGCCATGTTGCTTACCATCCGCCTCACTCTGGCAGAGGCGAATTACTAGATTCGGCCGCTCACGTCAACCTCGGGGGGGTTTTTTTTTCGTATCTACAGTCTGCGTAATGCTTCTCCCATAACCAGCACCAGTATCATATGACTGGAAAAAACATACACCTTGCTTATTCTTAATTTTCTATTTGTCTCAGCAGTGGATAATGCAGCATAGTTCATTAATGTCCTAAGATAATACCTGTTTGTATCTCTCGGGCGTTCAACCTCCGGCAACCACAGCCAAACCCTCATAGATCTGCCTCCTGACCCTAGAGAAAGTCGCCGCATCATTATTCCTAGGATCCAGATTACCATAAGCCCCTCCATCAATCTCAATCTGACCAGTAGCCGTCTTTCTCACAGCCACTGTTCCGTTGATGACCAGCACACCCTCGCCTCTAAACTCGGCTTGCATGCCATTAGCATTCATGAGCTTCCTCAGGTCAGCAAGACGAAGATCGCCGACATGGAAAGGTTGTGCGACGGATCGAACGGCGGTGGCCATGTTCGTAGGAACGACGTCGAGAATCGGTGTATCGTCATTCTTGTCGCTAGATACGGGGACGGCAGGGGCGTCGAGTCGAGCCTTCTTCTTCGCAGGCGTATCTACCTCTTCTTTGACTTCTGGTTCCAGGCTTGCGGCTGCGAGGCGACCGGTGATGGCCACCACACCCATGCCGCGAACATTCTGCCAACGAAGGTTGCGCACCATACTGCGGCTGAGCTTGACACTCCAGGCGTTCGTATCGACACTGGCGTCGATCATCACGCCAACTGTGGGCGTAAAAACATCGATGGCGTTGGCAGAATCGGTATTTGCGTTCAGCGCTATGCGACTGATCTCTGCGAGCTCTAGAGTCTCGCCTTCCTCGCCACCTACGAATATCAGCTTGCGAGGCTTGATAAGTGGAATAAGCTGCTGGATTGTGCGGCGGTCATGCAGGCCTGAAAAGTCGACGAAGGCGATCCGACATCGAATCTCCAGGGTTTCCGACTCGATGATGACTTTCGAAGGGCCTTCCACCTTGTCTGGGTCGTCTTCTGGTTCGCTATCGGATTCTCCGTCCCCGCCCTCTCGAGCCTCCTTGTCTTTCCGGCGTTTTTGATTGGCGTTGGCTTTGTTGGTGTCTGTGGCGTTTAGTATGTCATCCCATCTCCTCTTCTGGCCGACTGCGTTCTCCTTCTTCGTGCCCTCACCACGAAGAGCTTCGCCGGCAGTATTGTCCTCCTCTTCAGCGCGCGCAAAGTCTTCGGGGCGGATCAGATCACCAAAGTCGTCTGCCCGACGCTTCTTGGCCTGGAACGGAAACATCTTCTCTTTTCCTTTCTTTCCTTGCACTTCGTAGTCATGGACATTCTTGCGGCGTAAGAGTACGTTGACACCCAATTCCGCGTCTGTCATGCCAAGTTTGTTTCGCGCATGCTGAAGAGCAACCGTCGCGTTGAGGGCTTTCCCTCGATATCCATCACCAGAGCCTTCCGAACTCTCTGACTCGGTGGATGATCGGTCGTCGACGACATCGGCGGAGGTTTCGAGCATCGCTGCATTATCGCCGCCCATAGTAGTTTGCCGTTGCCTCTGACCGGCAAGGAATTGCTGATAGAGCGGAACCTCATCACCCTCGAGTGCGACTGTCCGTATGGTATTGAGCGGCGCTTGATCGCCCGCGGCGTCGATTATAGTTGTAGAGGGGGCGTCCTGCCCTGGCGAGGCGTTGCGCTGATTCCACAGTTCCCAGAGATATCGGCCGAGACCTTTCTTTTGAGCGCCCAGTTGACCAGCTCTCTCTGTGAGGATGACCAAGTTCTTCTCGTCGGCTGCCAAGCTTCGAATGGCATCTTTGGAGAATCCCCACTCGAGCGTCGCATCGCTTGCTAGTATCACTCGCGGTCCATTTGTGCCTAGCATCCGAGCTACACGGGTCTTGCGCTCAACCAGTGTGATGTGTTTGAAGTCGAATGGGACTCTGGCGCGGTCTTCCTCTTTGCCGCTTTTGTTCCTCCGATCTTGATCCGCAGCGCTGGCTTCAAACTCCTTCACGATGCCCTCCTCCATCCATTCCAACATACTGCGTACGTATCGCATTGTTGCACCACCTGTTCGACTCGCCAGATAGATCTTTGCGCTTTTTAGTGAGCCGTCTCCTTCCGTATTTGTTGCCTCCCGCTCCCATGTCTCTTCGAGAAGATATGCCAGTTCGAGTATACGAGCACTTGAGTCTGAAGGGATCAAGACAGTTCCACCCTTGGCTACTGTATCTTGAATCATCTCAAGAAGGGCTTCATCTCGCTTGTTGGGCGATCTAGCCACCTTGACCATACTGGTGTTTTTGCTACTGCAGACCAAAGCAGTTGGACGACGCAATTGTTCCAGAACTTCAGAGCCACCAGTGCCAGGCCCTCCAAGCCAAGCAGCTCCTGAGAGAACATGCTCTCTGGCTTGATTCCAGTCGACGGCATATACGACCGACTCCATACCATGTTGTATATGCCATATTGAACCTCCCAACGTGTGTCCGGCGCTGTATGCGGTAATGGTGAGACCATTGAGCGGAGGCGAATGCGGCGAAGGGATGGGCTGATGCGGTTGAGAATAGCGAAGTGGATTGATACGGGCGAAGTAATCGGCAATCTCTTGCGATGTAGGCGCCTGGAGAAGAATGTTTGGATTCTTTCCACCCGTAAGCGCCGAAGAGAAGGAGTATGCGGACTCGCTGAGAGCTTCGGCGGGGATGATGGACGACGCGAGCGGCGTGGATTCGTACAAGTCTTGTAGCAGCGTCCGGCCGAGCGATATGACGGGATTTGTCGCGTAGACGGGGATTCGCGTGAACAGAGGGAAGTTCTTGCAGCAGTGGACGTAGGCTCCGAGATGCGCAGTGGTCGCGTGAGTAAGCAGGATGAACGAGAGAGTAGGGACATGTCTACATTGTCTGAATTAGTCATCGTGTATGTATGGTGTATTGCTATATAGCGACTTTGCTTCCCGCTGCCAGTCTTTCCCAGGCGCGTGTAACACATGGACGGCCCATACTTCAGCTGTGCTCCACATCGCGTTCGCGACCAGATCAAGGACCTACCTCTCTATCTCTTTGAGCTTCTCTACACTGAAATCTTCATCCCAGCCAACATCGATCAAGATTTGTATGCCTCCATCGAACTCCAGCAGTGACTGCGATGCGGGCGAGGAGCTCTGTGCGCCCAGAAGGGGCGTGAAGTTGAACATAGTTGCAGCTGCTATTCAGTGTGGTTTGAGCGATTCCAAGTCTCTGTGCGCATGGCGTTCGCACGCTGGTTGAAATGGCGAGGCAGTGATGTTGCCTCGATAGTTGATGCTTGGGCAGTGACAGCATGGCCGAACGCGTCGGAGCGCGTCGGAGCTCGGGGAAGAATTGATCCGCGTGTCTGATCCTAGATCACGTGAACATCACCACCCTGCTGTCCAGACCTCGAAAAGCCACCACGAGCGCCGTATTGCCTGCCTCATGACCAGTTGCAACTGTGGACAATACAAGCTACTGTTCTTGGAGCTACGGCACAATACTTGCTGCGGCAGAGCTCGTTGACTAAGCCCGCAACATATCCACCAAGCCCTCGCAGCACCACCTGCCGCTAGAAGCATTTCTACACCCACATTGTTTCCGTCTACTGGTTCTGTTTTGGTGTGGTTCATTAGCTCATGCCTATGGTATGCGACTTGTACTGCAAGTCAACCCTGGAAGAGTCAAGCAGGCCCCGCCGCATACGTGTTCGCAGACAGCGGCAACAAATAGTCCCGTACTTTTCGAATTTAGTCGATCACCCGCCCGCACATGCATGCGCTGGGAAGCCCAGGCAGCCGTGAGTTTCGTATGGTAAAGAAACATGCACTGGATCGGCCAGATAGAAGTCTTGTGAGGGCGTAACGAGGCACCCCGAACACTATCAGCATATATTGGGAGCAGCAGCTCGGAATCTTCGTATGAGGCTGTAAATGGAGTCGCGTTAGCACCTAAGGCGGAACTTCGGAACGAGACCGGCATGCACAGCACTCAGCCCGCGCCACAAACATGCAGGAGTCGCACTGCGCATTCAACAAACCTCATCCTGGCTCATGTACAGCAGACACGGGTGGCCTCCAGGGCACGAAAGCGTCTGATCATCTCCTGATATTGTATCCACGCAAGTACCGGACAAGACGTCATGACAGATGTCAAACGGAATGGTCGGTAGTTTTCACGAACCGTTCGTGGAACCCTTGATACTACTACTGCCAGTCGCTCAACTTCAGGCCAGACATGTTTTGATCATGGCTCAACACTTGCTGCATATGTAGCCGTCTGCACATGTTGTCTGCGTCAACAGTATTGGCGAATGGGACGGGAAGTGACCCCGCAGCCAAAGCACGCCGCTAAGGTCCTTATGCAAGTCATTCGCCTGTCCCCTTCGGCTGCATACATCCGTTATTTTCGATACGCAAAAACGGACTAATAACCGTCAGCCATCGCGGCGCCGCTATCACCACGCAGGGACAATAATCTGACCCATCTTTCTTGAGTTCA